TTAAGCTTCTAAGCAACAGGCTTAGTTCTAGACAACCTAGAGGTAGTGCTATTAAAGCTTGAAGTTGTCAGATGCTCGTACTGTGAGCCAGAGTATGTGCTTAACGAGATCTTAGGTGGTATGATAATATATTGATGATTGTGGCGATGGTGTTTCTGCTGTGGCGTCGTGCTGGTTGCTACAGGATTGAAGTGGGGGGGAATTAGCGCTGTTCGCGGCCGCCGGTGTGCGGGCCAATCAGGAGTTGCCAGGTCTCGCTTAATCGACCTGGCAACTGCTAATTGGCTGCACGACAGGTCCCTGCTCAATTGCGCAGATCTAACCTCTCGCCACTTGCTCTTATCTAACACACCCCCTTTAGCTTAGAAACTCTTCAAGCTAACTGTTTATGCGTGTGTGAGGTCCTTAATTTGTTCTTAAATCCTGTCTAGAGGCACGCTGTTTAGCACTTCTGTTGACTCCCTGTTCACCAGACTGAGTTGCTGGAGGAAACCTTCCCACTTGTTCACTGGGAGTACCTTTGTGAGTCTGTCTGCTATCATGCTCGCAGACTGGACGTGTTCCATGATGATCTTTCCAGCGGCCACCTAAGATCTCGTTAAGCACATACTCTGGCTCACAGTACAAGCATCTGACAATTAAGAGTCTCACTGCTGCAACTGAACTGCCGCAACTGAACTGCCGCAATCGAAATGGCGCAACCAGCGTACCGCGACCCAACAACAGTCCTCAGGGACCAAGCCGACTGGACTGGCTAGCTCGCGCAGCTACAGGCGAGATGCCTGTCGCGCAACATCTGGGACAAGATCAACCTAAAGACAACTACACCACTACTATTAAAGCCACTCTCGCCAAGGGCTCTAACTATTACTAACTACGCGCTAGCTGCAAACACCAACATACTATTAAGGCTAACTAAGCTATTAACAACAGGCTAGAAGGCATTTAAGGAAGACCTTAAGTATTACAAAGTACTCCTTAAATAATACAAGAACAATTAACACAAATATAAGAAGGAGGAAGCAAGCCTTTAGCATATTATTGTGTTTATCTAGTTAACTATGTTGCTACATCTACTGCGCACATGCTGTCTTCCTGAGAAACTACTGTAACAGTAGATCACAGACCTACAACTCACTGTTAGGGTCAACGAACAAATTGAACAAGAACAAGCCTAAGACAGATACCTCTTAGCACTTAAGCTAATAAGAAGCACGTCACAATAGGATACCTGGCTAGCTGAGTATAACCAGGCAGCTACAGAAGCAGAGACGTACAAAGTCGCCAAATTATCGCAATTAAATGTAATAACAAAGGACTTCCTGACAGCTGTGAACAGGGTCGCGCCTATGTGGGCTACAAGCTTTCAAGATAGCAGACGCTTTAAATCTAGTATAAGTTAGAAGGAGATAATAAAACGCTACTAAGAGCACATAATAATAAATTATCCCCTTAGATTAGGGCGGCACAAGGCCTTTGTGGCTGACAATGCAGTGTTTCTTGCTAAAGGGGGTGCAGCCTCCTAGAGCCATAAAGGGGACGCCTAACATGCTGTAAGCGCGCTATCTAACTAGGGCAGACCTCAATATCAACGTACAGCAGGTAGGAAAACTACCACGCTTAAGCGGCCTTTAGATCAAGAGCCTGCTTCCACTAGGGGAGCAAAATGCCCTGCATGTGGACAACGCCACTCTATACAGGATTGCTACTATGTTAATTAAGACAGAGCTCCTAAGTAGTAGAAACTAAATAAGATTATTTCTAAACTTATTAAGTTTAAGTGTGAGAAAGATGTTACCTTTTAAGGGCTACTTTGCGCACAAAGCAAGAGCTAATTAAGAACACTAGTAGTAAAGCACTTGCACACCCCTACCCTAGAAATCCTAGATAATTAACTAGAAGGCTAAGAAATTACTAACGTTAAAGCAGCGCTTAGCGCAGCAAACTAACAGGATGCTGCTAACTATCCACTGCAGAAGTCGTTCATACTTGACTTAGGTTCTACCTGTCATATCACCAACGACCCTAACCGCGTCTATAGGTTCCAACAGCCATCGCCTAGAGACTTCATATAGGCTGGGAATTCCAAGGTGCTGGTTAGAGGATATAGATTAATTAATCTACTCCTAAGGAGTGGAGCCAGGACAACTAAGGTCACCCTTACAGACGTGGCAATTTGCCCAGACCTGCTATGCAACCTAGTGTCCTTCCGCCTACTACAAAACAGAGGCATGTGGTAGGACACACAAGTAGACCTAACAACTCTCTAACAAGCAAATAGCTAAGTAATTAGAGTAGTATTAGAAATGCTTGGCTAGTAGGTGCTTAAGTACGAACTGTCCCTACTAGCCGCTAACCACACACACAAAATCACCACACGCACTAAGAGAGGACCACAGAAGGCCTTAGCAATATGGTGGCACAAGCGACTTGGTCACCCTGGTCCTGCTGCAATTAAACACATTGTCCAGCAGACTTAGGGGGTGCAGATCTAAGGCATTACTACAGTTAAATGCAACGCTTGTGGAATAGCTAAATCGCGACAGCAAATCAGCCGCGCACTAAGAATTAATAATAACAGACCTAGAGAAAGACTTAGTGTTGACTTCTACTCCTACAAAGTATAAGGAGTTACTAAAGAAAAGAGCTAGATGCTTATTACTAACAGGTTCTTAGGCCTACAGTAGGACCTCTACTTCACAGATTATTGCACAGCAAAGTTAATTATTAAGGCACTGTTAATGTTTATCCTATTCTTGAAAAATCACTACAATATCTTAGTTAAGACTATTAAGGCAGACAACAAGATAGCTACAGTCAAACTAGGCGTATTGAAATAGCTGGCAACACAAGGAATTATTGTGGAGCCTTTAGCGCCAGACACATAAGCACAGAACGGTAACGCAGAACGCTCAGGGGGTGTGAACAAGGAGAAAGCTCGCGCAATGCGACTTGATGCCAACCTCTCCTGGGAACTGTGGCTAGAAATCACAAGGGCAGCAGTATACCTCTACAATCGAACGCCAAACTACGCAAACTATTAGAAAACACTATACAAAATATTCTTTACGCGAGTTGCCTTTAGCAATAGAATAGTAATATTACTGCAAAAACCTAACCTTGCGCACCTAAGAGCATACAGGTGCAAAGCGTTTGCTATAACAGATAACACACACAGAGGCAAATCACGTCTTTAATAACTAGACCTAAAGGCCTAGATTAGCTATCTAGTAGGCTACTAGTTATTAAATATCTATTAAATCTAGATACTGTTACTTAGTAAGGTAATAAGTACTTAAGATGTTATGTTTAACAAAGACACAGTATTTAACAGGAGAATTAAGGACCTTATAGAGAACCTTATGCACAACACACTTAAAGAAATAGCAACACATATGCAATCTATTAAGCTACTAACACCTACCTAGCAACTAGAAACAGATTCCTTTTATAAGGATGAAGCCCTAGCAGAGCTGTCACTACAAGACAAAGCAGACCTGCCAGGCTACTATCACGGACAGAAGATACAGGATAGCTATCCTACCCCTCTATCAACACCGCCACCTGCAGCACTACTTGCAGGCATTATAGCCAGTGATTAAACAACTCTGACGCAACAAGCGTCCTCAACTACTGTCCTGTGGGCAGCATTATTCCTTGCAGGAACCTAAGCTGGACGTGTTAGAACATACAGAGGAGAAGTTATAGACAAGGCTAAGATAATAAGAATACTTGCTAAAGGCTTAAAGCCCTATCAAAGTCAACTTCTACCTCTGCCCACGTTCTAAACTAAGCTTAAGGATTACCCTATAGGTAAACTCTTTTAAGAAGCTAAGCAAGAGCACCTTGCAAGCTACTAAGAAATAAAATTATAGTTAGAAGTACTACTTTAAAAAACTAGACTAACAGGACAACAGATCCTTAACTGCATGTAGGTATATACCTATAAGCTTAATAGATATTATTAACTGCTGAAGTGCAAGGCGCGACTAGTAGTTAGAGGCAATTAACAACGCAATATTACATCACAAGACACCTACGCAGCCACGCTTGCCAGCCAATCCTTTCAAACAATGATGGCTATAGCAGCTCACTATAACATGGAGCTCAAACAATACGACGTTACCAACGCGTTTGTTCATGCTACAATGGACAGAGAGGTCTACATGAGGATGCCACGAGGCTATCAGAAGCCCAGCACAATACTGCAAGTAAACAAGGCACTTTACGGCCTGCGCATCTCTCCCCTCCTCTGGCAGAAGAACTTCACTGCAACCCTAAAAGCACTAGGTTTCCAGACTGTGCCTCACGAACCCTGCTGTCTAACTAAGGGCAGCATTATTATCTTCTTTTATATTAATAATATTATCCTTGCGTACAATAAATTAAAAGAGTAAGAGGCAATGCAGACAATTAGCCACGTACAGAGCAAGTACACCTGCACAGGAGGGCACGACCTACAGTGGTTCCTTGGCATGGAGATCATACGAGACTGAGCAAGCAAGAAAATCTACCTATCTCAGGCAGCGTACTTAGACAAAATCAGTCGCCTTGCCAAGAACACAACTATACGACATGACACTCTAATGGCAACAACTGAACTACAGCCAAGGAGTGGACTAGCAGCGCCAGCAGAAATCAACAAGTATCAACGCAAAATTGGATCACTGCTGTTTGCTGCGGTCACCACGCGACCTGACATTGCGTTCGCCACATCAAGGCTTGCCAGGTTCCTTACCAATCCAGGCATCAGCCACTAAGATGCTGCGGACCGGGTCCTTCTATATCTACTCAACACTAAACAGCGATCACTGCAGCTTGGAGGAGGCATCGGCCTCTAGGTAGCAAGTGACGCGTCCTTCACTGACAACACTATGGACAGAAAGAGCTCCCAAGGCTACGCAATTAAACTCTTTGGCAGCCTCATCGCATGGAAAGCGAACAAGCAGGACACAGTAACAATATTAACAACTAAGGCTGAGCTTCTCGCTCTTACCCAGGTTGCAAAAGAAGCACTCTTTATCTTACAGCTCTTGCGCGAACTACACGTTAATATAGGCGCACACGCTATTACAATACAATGCGACAATAAACAAACAATTCAACTAGTCACTAAGGAAGTGTTGCGACTACATACCAAACTTTGGCATGTGGATATCCACAACCACTGGCTCCAACAGGAGGTGGCCGCTGGAAAGATCATTATGGAACACGTCCAGTCTGCGAGCATGATAGCAGACAGACTCACAAAGGTACTCCCAGTGAACAAGTGGGAAGGTTTCCTCTAGCAACTTAGTCTGGTGAACAGGGAGTTAACAGAAGTACTAAACAGCGTGCCTCTAGACAGGATTTAAGAACAAATTAAGGACCTTGCACACGCATAAACAGTTAGCTTGAAGAGTTTCTAAGCTAAAGGGGGTGTGTTAGATAAGAGCAAGTGGCAAGAGGTCAGATCTGCGCAATCGAGCAGGGACCTGTCATGCAGCCAATTAGCAGTTGCTAGGTCGATTAAGCGAGACCTGGCAACTCCTGATTGGCCCGCACACCGGCGGCCGCGAACAGCGCTAATTCCCCCCCACTTCAATCCTGTAGCAACCAGCACGACGCCACGGCAGAAACACCATCGCCACGATTATCAATATATCATCATACCACCTAAGATCTCGTTAAGCACATACTCTGGCTCACAGTACGAGCATCTGACAGAAGTAAAGCCTTGTACGCTAACACTACCTTTACTAGGGCCTACTACCTGGCAACCTAGAACACTAAGCAACGCTGCTGAAATATTAGCTTAATCAACGCTGATATCTAACTAGATTAGGCAGCACCACAGTTTATCTCTAGCTTTAATTATTGAGATAGTGCAGCAGTTTAAAAAGGGAGCTGATATGATGGTGCATTCCCAGGTGCTTATGGCGGCTGAGATGGTTAAGCTTCAAGCAGCAAATAAAGCTGCTTCTGAGCGTAAAGCACGTAAAAGGAAGCAGATCTAGTATAGAGGAACCCTATCACAGCAAGAGGCAGAGGAAATAATAGCTGCACAAGAGGTGGTGGTGCAGGCAGAGGCAGAGAGGCGTGAGGAGAGGGTGCAAACAGGTGGTAGTAGAGAGGGTTCTCAACGCTGTAAGAGGTGTGGTTAGGCTGGGCACAATAAGCGCACATGTAAGCAAGATACTGTAGACAGAGTGGATTAATTTGACGTACTGTGAGCCACAGCACGACGTTGTGGTGTTGAGTTATCTGCGTGTCAAGGTGGGTGGCTGCATAAGGTGGCCGGCTCAATTGCCTGGCCGACTCAATGGCCGATTACGTTAGATCTAATTAAACCTAATATTAACTCAAGACATAGCCAAGCGGTGCCTTATAGTCCTGTCCCACGTTGGAGCTTCGCACGTTACTGAGTCACGTCACAAGGCTGTGATAGTCCTTGCAGTGACATGCATGATTGTACTGGTAGACCTACCCCAGACAATATGAGTGTATGTACGTACTGCCTATCTCACGTTTGAATGTTAGTGGACAAGCATAATTGGAGCGCTGCAGTTGCAGTCGGCTTCGCTATCCCTTGGACGGATGTGCAAAGCCCGTACTCGCTAGTAATGGGGTTAGCGTTATGACTGCACATCCTATAAAATTAGAGGTATCTTTAAGGGCCGAGATGTTATCCTCTAGTTGCGCCGAGACGATATTTTGTGCAGGTGAAGGATGTATAGCAAGGATATACAGCTGTTGCTGCTTCTGATACTATGAACAATATAACTAACAGCAAGCCTAAGACCGCTGCAATTTTTATGCTGCAGATCGAAAATGGAAGAATGTATACTTTAGAAACGTCATTAGACTAATTGCAGCTTTGTACACTTGCGTCGTTGAAGTGCAGAGAGCTCGAACTAATGATCTGATTTGCCGTGGGAGGTTATTCGAACCGGTGGGATGGGCTTTACCAAACTTACACAGAGGGACGAACGATGGTCTGTAGAGACCGTTGCGGCCTCTGAGAGATGTGCTATCACGCCATTGAGATGGAAATTGCAAAAAAATCACGTTCTCGCTGTGTGTGGTGTTTCCAAGACCTCGCAGCACGTGATAGTTGGAGGTCGGGATCGACGACAACCATAAATAGCCAGACCAGCAAATACTTTTCAGCAGCGCCAATACCGGATACGGTAAAATTAAGGACCTTTGTGGTGAGCGGCCAGGAGACAACAAGGCTTCCTGTTCGCTCAGCCTTATTTAAGCAACGTACCGGCGGATTAGTAGTTAGGTGGGTGACCACTAGCAAATACCCGCTGTTGTATGTTTTTGCCATCGTTCGGCTCCTGTAATCGAACATCAGCTGTCTGCGCACGAAGATTTCACTTCGTTAACAGCATCCATTACTTTTTGCTTCTAGAAAGTAATATTGCCTGGTTTGTAAGATTATAATTATTACTAACAAATACCCCTTCCACATACGACCATAGGACGTTGAAAACAAGGCTTCCCGTTCGCTCAGCCCTATTTAAGCAACGTACCGGCGGATTAGTAGTTAGGTGGGTGACCACTAGCGAATACCCGCTGTTGTATGTTTTTGCCATCGTTCGGCTCGTGTAACCGACCTTCAGCTGTCTGCGCATGAAGCCTACACTTCATCAACAGCGTTCCTTACTTTTTGTCAGCGCTGAGCACAGGCTTCCTCCTTTGTCGTCATGTTTCTGCTTAGAAACAACAAGGCGCATCGCTTACCGTGCTCTGCGACAGCCCCTAGCCCTCCTGCCGAGGCTCGAGCCTGGTGCCAATCATTTGTGGGATGTCGGTGCAGTTCCTTTTGAGGTCCAGTCTCAAAGCCAGAATCCTAAGGCGATCCTGTACCACGTACGGGTCGACACCTCCTGTCTCTCAGAGCTGTTCTTATTTGAGGGTCACGCCGTTCGTTTGACATGCTGCTTTGCGTTGCCAACTTCGACATTTGTGACAGGCCGCCCACGTTTTGTGGCTGCATGTCATGCAATCACGCTTCTGTCATGACTTCAACCAAGGAAAAACCATTCACGACAACCCTGCACTTTTGGATTAGACTTGCGGATCTGAACACATCAGCACTGTCTAAAGGCGCAAGACCCTGCGGTCCTTCATACCGACATCTTAGACTAGTGTAGCGCGACCCATCATTCGACCGGCACGCACGCCAGATGCGGGTGCCTGCAGGTAGCCTCGGTTTGAAGCTGCGTAGAGTTTCGAGCAGGGCCAGGGTTGCAATGCACCGATGCAGAATCGCAAGCATCAGAGATCCCGTCTCCCGCCATCATTCTTCCGCACGGGCGAACAGGAGGAGTAGTAACTGGACAGGTGTTGGCCACATTCCAGCATCTCGGCAAATGGGGGATGAGGGACTGGCTGTGGCCAGAGGATGCCAATGTGGTCGCCGAGGGCAGTGTATGCTTCTTTCTTATCCTCGAGTCGGCATGTGGTCGGCAGACGTGTTAATCAGAGCAACAGATCAATCACTGACCAAGTGAATTGACACTACGGTAGCCAAACTTGCTTTGTGTACCGGACCTGATGTCTTACTTGCGGGAGCACGACATGAGTATAAGTACAACGAACTGCACTTGCATCAACCTCATCAGCTCCACAGCTCTTCAACACCAGACATACATTCACTCATTCAATCAGCAACTTTCACTCAACAACCTCACTCAAAATGCACGCCTCCACTCTTCTCGCTTGTCTCCCTCTCCTCGCAGGCACCTTCGCCGCTCCCGTGGAGGATGTCAAGCGCGCTGCATCCGCCTCCTGCCCCTCATACACAATCATCAACACGCGCGGAACAAGCGAACCCCAGGGTCAGTCCTCTGGTTTCAAGACGATGAACTCCCGCGTCACTTCTGCTCTCAGCGGCGGCAAAATCTACAACACCGTCTACGCAGCCAGCTTCTCCCAGAACTCTGCAGCCGGCACCGCCGACATCGTCAACAAGATCACTCGTACCCTGGCGACAAACCCCAACGAGTGTTTCATCCTCGAGGGATACTCCCAGGGCGCCGATGCCACCGTAAACGCCATGCCGAAGCTGACAGGTGCCGCCTTCGCCGCCGTCAAGGGCGTGTTTCTGATCGGCAATCCGGCGCACAAGTCTGGTCTAGCGTGCAACGTCGACAACAATGGAGGTACGACGACGCGCAACGTCAATGGTATGTCTAGCGCGCTCGGGACGGGGATTCCCAGCACCTGGATCCCCAAGACGCTTGACGTGTGCATCTTTGGGGACGGCGTCTGCGATACTTTGCACGGTTTTGGTATCAACGCGCAGCACCTCCAGTACTCCAATAATGCGCCCACTCAGAACATGGGCAGCACTTTCATCCAGAAGCAATTGGCTTAGGCGGATACCGCTTACTCCGACTTCGTTCCTGTCCCTACCAAATCCTCTACTTGCGTACATAACAGCTTTGCAATGTCTGTCAATAACTAGTCAACAATTCAGCACATTAATTCTTTCTCAACTACTGTCTTTGAATATCATGTTTTGAGGAAGCCTGCGCCCAGCGCTGACAAAAAGCAAGGAATCCTGTTGATGAAGTGAAGGTTTCGTGCGCAGACAGCTGAAGGTCGGCTACAAGAGCCAAACAATGGCAAAAACATACAACAGCGGGTATTCGCTAGTGGTCACCCACCTAACTACTAATCCGCCGGTACGTTGCTTAAATAGGGCTGAGCGAACAGGAAGCCTTGTTTTCAACGTCCTATGGTCGTATGTGGAGATCTCGGGCATTAACGTAGATTATAACCGAGCGGGCCATATCACTAAACCGGCCACTTTCTTTTGGCACAACCACCTTTTACCCTAATATAACATGCCTTAACAACAACAACTTTAGAATACTACTAGAGAAGGTAGAGTTATCCTTACTATCTAGGCCTTCTATGCTAGCTAATTTCGCAGTATCTGCAGCGCTGCTAGAGTGTTAAACGTACCTTATTAGTGGGTTACTAATTACCTTTACAATATTATATTTTAACTAGATATATGCGCTTATTGCTAGAAACTTACTATACTAGAGGAGCAGACAATTGTCTAGTATACACTTAACCTTAATTTGTAAGGATTTGCGCCCTAGCTAACGTGCTTCACAAGCGAGCGGCGCACCCAAGCGAGCGGCACACTTTCTCGAGCGCAGCGCACGCACCGCGACGTAGTGCAACACCATCACAAATTCCTATAATATACGTAACAGGATAATATTATTTATAAGCATTGCTATTATCTACATCCTCTATTTCTACCTTGCAGGTGCAGGAGTTATGCCCAATCTTGCTGTAACAGCTGCAGCGCCTCTCTGCGCGCACCCTCTTCGCAGGCGTCTTGCTGTCCTTACAACTACTACCCTCCTTTTTAGTAATTAAGTTAGATACCTTACTAACTATTAGGGTCTCCTCTGCGTGTATGTACTGCCTCTTATAGGTCTTGTGCTTTGTAAGCATGTTAATAGTGTCTTAAAGGCAGCCTATTTCCTCCTATACTAACACTATATTATAAGCTATCTGCTAAGCGCCTTTACTTAGCTGCTTAACCTGCTTATCTAATAAACTTGCTAGAGACCCCTGATAGTTTTGTATGCGATTTTGAATCAGCGTGGATTGCGCCTCTATCTCGCAGGCGTTGCGCGGTGTTTGCGCCTCCCAGGCGACAGTGCCTGGTGCAGGTGGCGTTGGCGTGCGCAGCTGTACATCAAGCTTTGATAACACAACCTTAGGGTTATGCAGGACTAGTCTAGCGCCTTAAAACCCTACGCAAATGTTCTCTAGTGTAAACGTCTTCTTAAAAGCTGCTTTAAAGGCTAGGAGGAAGGTTTCTTTGTTAATATAGTGGATGCAGCTGCGTGCTAAGAGCAAGATCCTATCACCGTAGTGGCGCTTTAACAGCAAGTAGGGGACAACGTTAAGAGGCTGCAGGATGTGTGATGAGTGTGGTGGCATGCAGAGAGTGATAATCTTGTTCTCCTTGCAGTAGTCCTGGAATTCTATCGAGCAGTGGCTCTCATGACCGTTAATAATGAGCAGCCTATACACCCTAGCAGAGGACGCCTTTGTATAGACGTTGAAATGCTTAAGCCACGCCAGCGCGATGTTGTTATTAGTCTAGCTAGTAGGAGAGACTGTGACAACCTAGTTGCGAGGTAGACTAGTAAACTAGGAGGAGATAAGGACCTTGCCTGCAAAGATAAGGAAGGGTAGGATTATGTGCCCTATTATAGTAACACCTTATACTAGGGTAACCTACTTGTGATTGCTAGGTTATAGTTTCTTCTGTTTCCTAGGTTTCTCTAAGCCTGTAATAACAAGCTAAGAGGATATCTTGCCTATTATAAAGCTAGACTTATTAAAGTTCTAGGTGTCCTTATCTATAATACTATACTTTGCCTTTGTCGATTGAACTAGGCTGAACTATGGCTGGATAATTGCTAGGTCCTTGCAGGCAGCTCGCTGGCAATTATACGGACGGCTCCATCGCGTTCGCAGCTCTAGTGTACGCTTAATAAAGTTATTAACCTAGTTCTTGCCTGTAGGCTTCCCACCACGCTCTCTTAGCAGTCTATCAGCCATATCTTGTACATGCACCTTTAAGGGCAGTATTCTACGTAAACTCTCTTTAAGTATACGCTGTATAATTGCCTCCTCTTCTAGCTTTGTAAGGTGTTTTAATTTTAGCTTGTAATTGCATTAAGAGTGTGTTCTGTTATGTTGTTATTATATTATAGTTTAAGGGACCTTATAGACTTTCTTAGCAAGCTGTATACTCTTAATCTGCTCTTCTTGAAGATCTAAGATAGCAAGCTGTACGTCAGCTTCAGTATAGAGTCTCTGGGTTTGGTGTTGTTGAGGCATTACGTGTTGTCGCTGCGCAAGCGTTTTGGTGGGGAGAGTGCGCCGCTCGCTTGGGTGCGCCGCTCGCTTGTGAAGCACGTTATATAAGGTAGCAGATATAGCTAATAAGATACTTAGTGTGCGTAGTAAAGAGCCTATTAGTAAACTATAGGCTAGCAGGCTTATAATATATTTAGACAAGCTTAAAATAGCCTTTAATTAAGCTAAGGATAGATAGAGGATACTATAGGAAGATCCTAAGATAATTAGCGCGTAGTTTAAGCTAGTAGAGGATACTTAAGTTAAGTATAGTGTTTATAACAACAACATGCACAACTTTAATAAAACTAGGTTCTAGATAACGTAGATTATCACCAAGCCGGCCATATCACTAAACCAGCCACTTTCTCTTACCACAACCACCTTTCACCCTAACACAACATGCCTTAACAACAACAACTTCAGAATACTACTAGAGAAGGCAGAGTTATCCTTACTATCTAGGCCTTCTATGCTAGCTAATTTCGCAGTATCTGCAGCACTACTAGAGCGTTGAACATACCTTATTAGCAGGTCTCTAATGTAGTAGTCTGGCCAAAGGCCAATAAAGGATATCTACTTCCTAACAACTTTTGCTAAAAAGCATGCACAAGTTAACTAGACGCCTAGTTAACTGCGTAGATAATATATATCCAGCTTAAGCCAAGCCGGCTAAGCTAATGTAACCGGCTAGCTCTAGCTCTTCTTTAGCTTAGAGTCTAGACCGTTACATCTAATTGCCTTTGCAATATCACGTTTTAACTAGATATACACACTAATTACTAGAAACTTACTATACTAGAGGAGCAGACAATTGTCTAGTATATACTTAACCTTAATTCGCAAGGATTTGCACCCTAGCTATGTGAGGTGGCAGATATAGCTAATAAGATACTTAGTGTGCGTGGTGAAGAGCCTGTTGGCAAACTATAGGCTAGCAGGCTTGTGACGCGTTTAGACAAGCTTAAAATAGCCTTTAATTAAGCTAAGGATAGACAGAGGATACTACAGGAAGATCCTAAGATAATTAGTGTGTAGTTTAAGCTAGTAGAGGATACTTAAGTTAAGTATAGCGTTTGTAATAATAATATGCACAACTTTAATAAAACTAGGTTCTAGATAGGTGTTGCTTTGTCTTTAAAGGTTGTAACAGGCTTAGAGAGACGTGCTTAGCCAGAGCTTGTTCAGCCAGGTGATCGCGAGTGGGTTACCGTTATCCAGAGCATCTGCGCCGCTGGGTATGCAACCCTGCCTTTCATTATCTACAAAGGACGCGTCCACATCTCTGCCTAGTATAAGGAGACAGATATACCCTATAATTAGAAGCTCTTAGTCTCTAAGAATAGTTAGATAAATAATATGCTTAGCCTTAAGTAGTTAAAGTACTTTAACACGTATACAAAGACGCATTAGGTAGGAGTGTATAGGTTGCTTATCTTAGACAGCTATAAGAGCTATCTTAACTAGGAGTTTAAGGACTATTACCTAGAGAACTAAATCCTTACTCTCTAAAAGCTACCTTACTTGTTATATATCCTCTAGCTACTTAACATAGTCTATTTCTTGCTATTAAAGCATAAGTACTCCTAATATATTTAAGACTTAGCACACTAATATATCTTCTATATTAATAAGGAAGGCTTCCTACTAGCCTTTAGGGACGTGTTCCTTAATATATTTATAAAGGTTAACTACTAAAAGGCTTTTAAGGTATTAGGGATTATTCCTACTAACACATAGGTAGTGTTAGATTGCCTTAAAGTGCAGCTATATACCCTACTAGTAGTACCTCTACCTAAAACACTGTGGTAATCTAAGACGCTAAGCAATATACATAAGTTTAGGTCTTAATCTAAGCTTGTAAGTAACTCCTTCTAACAATTACTAAGTGCAGTGCAAGAGGGGTTCTTAAAGCTTATAAAAGGGGCTGAAGAGATGCTACATAAAAACGTCCTTATTAAGGCCTGCGTGCAAGAGCTTAAAGAGCAATTAGTAGTAATAACTAAGAGAAAATTGCGTAAGAGAAAGCAGATTCAGCATAGTGGCACACTTGAGTATGGCCTAGCAGCATCGCGGGTAGCTGCTGAGGCGTGTGTAGCAGCTCAGCCATCTAAGAAGACTTAGGGTGGAGGTGGTCAACTAGGAGCTTAGTTAACTGTTCAGCGCTGTAGGAACTGCAGCAAGACTAGACACAACGCACAAACGTGCTAGGAGGGTGCAGAAACATCTTCTAAATCTAATGCAAGCACGCAGTATGCTAGGTCACTGTTTAATAGCAAGTAGTTGTAGTTGCAGTAACTTGTGTTAGTTGTGCTAAGAGAAAATGGCCAGTTCAGTGATATGGCTGGCTTGGTGATAATCTACGTTAAGGTTAAACTAAGGCTTAATAACCTCTAGGTTACTACACAAGACTCTCTAGCAATCCCTCTATTAAGTTATATATAATTTAAGTCTAGGTTTGCGTTTAACAAAGTTTAAAGCCTATTACAGGCTAATAGGCTCTGCGCTGCATACAGCGCACAGTTAATTAGCTATATCTTTAACACAATAAAGTATTAGAGTAAATCCTTAGGAATCTAGCTTCCTAATATACTACATAAGTGCCCTTTGCTCTGTCCTCTAAAGATTTACTAATTTAGGGTAGGTATTGCGTTTTAACTATGTCCTAGCGCGTTGCTGTTAGAGGGTTGTTTTTAACACCTTATAGACCACTACAGCACGTTACACGCTTAGTTCCTAGGGCTTCCTAATTGCTTAAAGTGCAAGCTTAATTCTGTCTCCTTTTAAGAGCAATTTAAGGTTAAGTAGTTAGTCTATTAAGGTTTAAAGGTGGGACAGCCTAATGGCTTGTTGAGGCGGTCCACTCACTTAGCCAGCCCACTCGCTATACACTCACGTTAAGCTTAAACATGTTAATATTTATTAGAACTAGATCTGCTAGAAGGTTGAGCAGAATTAACTCTATATCTACTAGATGCCTACAAGCTAGATGCCTACTAATGGCATAACAAAGATTCTTCATTGTTAGAAGCACATTAAATTTATACAGCAAGTACAGCTTATAGACGTTTGCTTAAAGGTTTGTAAGATAGAGAATAATAGCTAAGGGGTTTATCCTTCTGTTGCAAATTGACTACAGGATAAGGGGGTGTGTAATAATTAAGAGGAGAAGCAGATCACGTATTGTTGGCGTTGGTCTGGTGCTACTTCCTCATGTTGTTGAGCACCTCTTACCTCAGCTGCATCACAAACAAGTCATCAAAACAGACCCCGCAGCGAGCCTTGGAGAGCGAAGATAAAAGCAGAACAACAACACAGAAGAACACAATACACTCGTTATATAAATTTGCCCTTGATACCGCAACAATTCATCTAGGATCGGAGGACAGTGCGGGTCTGCCCGCGCACGGACAAGGCCCCATTTCAATTCGCACAACTCGCGTACGTGTTAGAAGAAGGCAGAGACAGTCCTTAAATAGTGTGACATATTAAATTGCCCTTTACAGACTTATAATGGAGTGTTCTGGGCCAAAATAGGGTTCGGTTTTGATGGGGACTTGGCAGAGTGTCTGGCTCACCCGTGTGTCCGATTCACCCGTGGAGTACGTCTGGGTCTATAGGGAAAAGGACTAGCAGTTACTCTGAGCAGCTCCTTCACCATACTAAGCCCGACAGACACCGCCTGCCTGAAAAGTGCAAGGACAGAATTTTGAATCGTCTCTATGTATAGGCATTGGCGATATTGGTCGCGCACCCAGCTGTCCAGCTCTTCATTCGCACCTGGAGATCAAGGTCAGGGGATTTTGTAAGTGAGTGTTTATATAGCGGCAGTCAGTAGGTGCCGTGAACGGAAACTGTCGCAGGGTAGGAGCCGTGTGAATCCCCATCGATTGTTGGCAGGCAGCGCGGCTGCCCATATACAAGCGGCCAAGCGGTCTAGATCCGCAGGGTCAACATTGAGAAATGCTTTCTCACCTGCTTGGCACGAGAAACCTCGAGGGGCAAGGGCTTGGACATCTAGGAGATGCCGTAAGCAATCGGCAAGTTCATCGTCGGTCCTCCTTAGCAGTGGACTCGATGAGTCCGTGGGAGCAGTGGAGGATAAATTGCGGTGAAAGAGGCTGCCTGCTTGCATGCACAAGCCAAGAAAGACGTGTGTTGGAGAACAGCAATCATGCGTGTCCTCCTCTGGAACACCGTGTGACTCAGACCACAACCCAACTACCACCCCAGATCCCATCAGTCTTGCAACCGCCACAGGCCGTATGGTCGCACCCAGTGGGCTTAGTGAAGTCGTATTCTTCCCACATGATAGCCTCTTCCTCAACACTCTCGCCCATGACTACATCCTCCTGTTTCGCGAGGTCTGCTTGTATCTCTTGCGGTGCAACCTCTACACTCACAACCACCGCTTCAGGCACCGCGGCCTCGTTCGCCTTTTTCCCTTCTTTCTTATCGGCGTCCACAGCAATGCCCACCTTCTTGAACCCGCCTCCGATCTTGGTGAAGCCCTTGCCCAGCCCTGCAGCACCACCGATCTTCGTGAAGCCTTTCCCAGCAAGTGCGCCCTTTCCGTCCACGGCCCTCAGCTCAACGCTCTGCTTTGGCTTCTGGCTCTCAGCGTCGTTGGAGGCGGTCAGCTTCTTCATGTCGGCAAGGCGCTGGCGGTGGTTGTGGTCGTAGGAGCGCAGGTGGTTCTCGTAATCGAGCTGGCGCGGGTAGCCTTTGTCGCAAATGGAGCAGTTGAAGAGGCGCATTGCGGCGGGAAGGGGGTTGTTGCGGGGCGGCATGACGACGGGTTCGAAGCGTGCTTGCGGTTGAATGGAGTGATACGCGAGCTTCACGCGCTTTCGATTGCAGGTACGTTGATGTCGAAGTGCAGACAAGCAAATATGTCACTCGCGCTGAGTTCAACGGCCTTAGGTTACAGCCGTTTGGTACAAACCTAGCCTCGGCAGCGAACACGCCAGACCCACATCGCAGATACCGCCACCGACCTATCAACGTCACCCGAATCAGCAACCTCACAATATACCACATGGCGCAGCAAGCACCGCCGGCGCTGCCGACCCTCGACGACGAGGAAGCGGGCGTGATGGGGCTTACGGAAGTCGAGCCCAGCCCTGTGGAAGAGACGCCTAATGAGTTCAAGGAAGGATACTTCCCGGTAGATGAGAAGCGCGAGAGACAGGAAGAATTCGGACTACCGCGGAGAACGACAACGATACTGGGTCTGGGCGGGAGTCACGGGCCGGTGTGGTGGTGTACGCCTCACATGTCTCCACAGTATCTGAAGGCAAGAAAGGCTAACAGCACCAGTGACGCGCATCCAAAAGTACTCCTCCTATGCCTTTGGCATCTTCGCCACTTTCCACATCGCCAACACCTCCTTGATCCCCCTCGCCGTCCGCTCCGTCCCAGATGCAAACCGCCAACTCCTCCTAACACGCCCATACTACCAATCAACCCTCGCCGAGCCACTCGTCGTCGCTCTCCCGCTTGTCGCACACATAACCTCCGGCATCGTATTGCGACTCTACAGACGGCGCCAGGCCCTGCAGCGCTACGGCGCCGAGACGCAAACTGACAAGCGCTCGATCCCCTGGCCCGCGCTGAGCGGCACCAGTCTACTCGGCTATGCCCTGCTCCCGCTTGCGAGCTTCCATGTCTGGAGCACGCGTATCTTGCCGGTATACATGCACGGCGACAACAGCTTGATTAATCTATCCTACATCTCTCACGGTTTCGCAAATCACCCTTTCATCTCGTTTGCCGGCTTTTCTGCACTGGTGGGAATGGGTGTGTGGCATTTCTCGTGGGGGCTCGCGCAGTGGATGGGCTGGAAACCGAGTCAAGTCAGTGCGTACTCGGAGCACAAGGATCTGGAGAGGAAGAGGAGGTGGTATGTCATCAATGGCGTCGCGGCGGCGGTTGCGGGGCTATGGCTTGCGGGGGGGCTAGGTGTTGTGGGGCGCGCTGGCAAGACGGTGGGATGGATTGGGAAGGAGTTTGATGAGTTGTATAGCAAGGTTCCGTTTATGCAAACCCCGTGAGCTGGGCTTGCATGGACTTATAAGATGAGGAAGAGGTAACGTTGGGATGGTGGTGGAGATGCGCATGTATGATTGAAAAGGTAGTGCATGACAGGCGCAGCATTGCTGGTTGTTTGGTAGTATACCCCACGAATGCTATGATAGACTTACCATATGTTCAGCGGCGCCAGTATTCAGATATCACGTGCGTGACTATATGTAGTATCAGTTTCTGAGGTAACGTGGTCCACCACCGAGCGGATCACCCCACCGAGCGAATCACCAAATGCAACTATATATCTTTGAACGTGAATAACTCAACACAACAACAAGATATAATAGTGCGTAATAGCTTGAATTAATCGCCTATCTCTACTGTATCTTTCTTGCATGTACGCTTGTTGTGTACTGTGTTGCCACACCTCCTGCAGCGCGGAATACCCCTGCTGCTAGCACCTGCCTGCACTCTCCCCTCACGCCTCTCTACTTCAAGTTGAACCTCAGCATCCTTTTAGGTAACTATTACCCCTGCTTCTACCTGTGATAGAGTCCCCCCTTCTGTATTTGCTTCTTCTTACGCTTTTTACGCTCAGAAGCAGCCTGATTTGCTTGCTTAAGACTATCTATCTGAGCTTCAAGCAACGTGTGTAAGTGTACCTTTAAAGTTAACCCCTTTTTAACCTGCAGCACTATCTTAAGAATAGACTTAGGTGAGGAACTCCTATAGTCCCTTATCCTCTTAAGAATTAGCGTTATTTAAGCCTCTATTTCCTAGGCGTTGCTTAGTGTTTTAGGCTGCTAAGGGGTACTCCTAGGTAAAGTTAGTGTTGGTGTACAAGGCTTCACTTTAAGCCTTAATAGCACCACCTCTAGGTTATCTAGAACTAAGCTAGTTGCTCTAAAGCTTGATAGGACATTGTCCTTTAAGAAGGCCTGGTTAAATACTAGGGTAAGTGCAGCTAGGAAGGCTTTCTTGTTAATGTGGTTAATATAGCAGTTTGCTAAGACTTAGATCTCCTCCTTGTACGCACGCTTTAGGGGGGCAAAGCAACCTACATTAAGCGGCTAAAGGATGTGTGAGGTGTAAGGGGGCATACAGAGGGTGATAATATTATTCTCCTCACAAAGATCCTGGAAGGCGAGTGACTTGTGGCTCTTGTAGCTATCAAGAATTAGTAGTCTGTAACTACCTACTTTCTTAACCTCTGTGTGCTTGATAAAGTGCTGTAGCCAGGCAAGCCCAAGCTTATTTGTTGTCTATCTATTATTACTAACCCCTATTCTCTAATCCTGAGGGTTATGATACCAGGCCTGGTCGTGGTTCTTAGCTTTGAAGATAATGAAGGGTAGGATAACCCACCCTGTGGCGTTGATGGCGGCAATTAACGTCACCTACTCCCTGTCACCAGGCTGAACCCCAAGTGGCTTAAGGCGCCTCTTGGAGGCTGTAACTACCTTCACAGACCCCCCAACGCCTATCTGGAAGCTAGTCTTATCAAAGTTGTACGTGTCTTAATCTAGGATACCATACTTGGCTTTAACGTTGCGTACAAGGTTGAACTAGGGGCTAATAATAGCTGGATTACTGCAGAGGACTCGCTGGTGATCACGGAGTCAAGTCACCTGAGATTTGATCTCAGGCCGGCGTTGGATCAGCCTATAGGCCCAGTTCTCCCCAACCTGGCCACCACTACGCTTAGCTAGTAGCTGGTCAGCCATTCCACGTACGTGGCTAAGCGTAGGGGCAAAGCCTCTAGCGTCAAGCTTCCTTATATATTGTATAACTGCCTCCTCTTCATGCTTCTGAAGCTTAGATGAGTTGGGGTGGGTATCGCGTCGTGGGGTTCTTCCGGCGCCTTGATGGCTAAGTGTACTTTGAGGAACCTTGTAGATAGCAGCAGCGCGTCGCTGGCTTAGTGACGCGTTAGATTTTATTGCTTGGGTAGCAAGTATAACTCTATCTGCACAGGAAAGTAATTCAAGATCAACTGGTTGAGCCATTGTAATTGATAGTAGAAAGCGTTGTGGTCTTGGCAGAGTGATTCGCTCGGTGGGGTGATCCGCTCGGTGGTGGACCACGTTACGATTTGTAGAATTGACTGCCAAAGACATCTCGCCTGCGTTCGATGCGCAGCCACTTTCTAGACGGCCAGAAATCGCGCCGACGAGCGAACGACGTCACTCAGGCTGAGGTCGGTCAGTGCTACTGCCGATCTACCAATCACACCATCAACTCGGCCGAATCGCAATCTTCTCCGAATGTCCGACCCCTCGATCGGCTGGCCCAGAGCTCACGACGGTTGCAGTATTGAAGGCAAAGCGAGGCAACATGGCACAAATCGCGTATATGAACAGACTGCTGTAGCTGCACGATCATACGATACTCATACCACTACCTTACTACAGAATACAGCATCTACGAAGTAGACAAAGGATTTTACCATCGAGACAGGTCTGAACGCCTGACCAGATACACGAAATCCATAGGAAAGGTATGCTATTCCTTGCAAAGGTAATCTGTTCTTTCCTCATATTGCGCAGATGAGCCAAAAGGCACCCTACCCGCCCAAAGTTTGGGCCTTGGGCGGAAAAAGCGATAAATCCATCGATATTCCCGTGACAGCAATCTGCCTAGCCCTCTACATATGCGGCGCGGCAATGCACATGACGATTCTTCAACTGAACCAGCGGCGAGACCACAAGTTCCTATTCAACGGTGTTTTGTTCGGTAGGTCCAGCACCCCATTGTCATTTCTCAGTCGAGCTGAATTGATATCAAACCAGGCTTCTGCATGTCCCGCATAGTCACCTGCAGCCTCAGAATCTCATCGATCGTATATTCGCACAACATTCGCCTCGCGATCGCAGCACAAATCTTTACCGCTGCCGGCGTGCTACTTATCTTTATTGTCAACCTGCTCTGGACACAGAGGCTCGTACGCTCTCTGCACCCTCACTTCGGGTGGCACGCAATTCCATCGACTATCCTTAAGATGCTCTGGCCAATCATCGCGCTTACGCTCGCCGCGCTTATTACGGCGACGGTGCAGAGTTTCTACACGCTGAGACCGAGGACGCACTTCATCGACCGCGCAGTGCAACTCTACGGCGTCACATTCCTGGCTGTGATTTCATTCCTCCCGCTCCCAATTCTCGCTATCGCTTTTGCCGTACCGCGGAAACGAAGCCACGACAAGTTTGGCGCAGGGCGGCTGAGGATCAAGGTTGCGGTGCTCGTAGCGGGCACGATACTCGTGTGTTTTGGCGCAAGCTATCGCGCGGGGACTTCGTGGCTGACTCCTGTGCCGATGACGCAGCCGTTGCCTGCTTACTACCACAAGGCCGCATTCTACTTTGTTGATTTTGGGGTCGAGATTGCAACGGTGTTCTTGTATGCGATTATGCGTGTGGATCTCAGATTCCATGTGCCGGATGGCGCCTCGGGGCCGGGAAGTTACTCGAGCAGCGAGAGATTGGGGGGGAAGGCGGAAGCTTGAGCTGTAGGCGTAGGTCGTGGTGGCTTACGTTCGCAATACGGAAATGGATATAGAATAGACGCACACTTAGGTTCGCTTCTAATGCCACGATCATAAAAGATCACCTTGTCAAAGGCATTTCCATTTCACTCGTACTTGAACACAACATCCTCCTCACCAGCTCTCTCTGCCTGCTCCGCATCAGCCTCGTAGTCCTACATCCCCACCCCGGCCCCGGAGTCGCCTCAGTCTCCTCATCTAAGCTCGCACCCGGCGACGTGACAAACAGCAACTTCGCCGACAAACATGCGTTTAGCTTCTCAGCCTGAGGCTCACGGCTACCCTTCGGGAGCAACGTGGTATACTGCCGCACGATGACATTGTCAGTGCAGTGACAGTACGCTTCGCGCACGGCGGCGTCTAGTCGCTTTCTCGTCTGCTGGCAGCTGGTTGATACCCAGGGTCGCTGCTACGTTTTGTCGGGCTTTGCGAGTACGGCTTGTGGCCCAGAGACTTGCACAGATGTGGTCTAGGTATCATGAGCTCATTTCACGGGATTGAGTAAGGCTGGTGGGCTAGTCGGTGAGGGCCAGGATGTGGTAGAGGGTGCGGGGGAGGTCGGTTTCGTAACGTTGCTTTTCGAGGTCTTGCGTGGACCTGTTGTACTGGGACCTTTACTGAAACGGCTACGGCTTTTCTGAGAGTGATATGTGAGTATTGGGCGAGAGAGTGTATATATACTGTCTTATCATTGCTTCTGCGTGGGTGTAGCAAGTAGTCACGAGCGTGATTTGACTGTCTGCTGCTGCAAGTGCTTGCAGTACGTCGTGTGATTGTTTAAGTCTCGGACGTTCTTGTGTGGTACGCGAACTTGACGTTGACTTTTGTCGTCTAACACGATCTCGAAGATGGCCATCGTATCCTTCTACTCTGACCGACTTGCTTCTGCTTAGTTCTGCTTGCACGGAGAGCAAGGAGACAAGCTCACGAACTAGCTCTTGTCGCCTCTTAAATCCACTTTTAGCGTCGTTCAGCTCTTCAGTCCTGCACTTATACCAAGTCAGTATACCACTGCGGCTCAACGAGACTGAGCTGTCTCGCTTTTTCATACATGCTGAGAACTTCTCAAAGAAGTTTGAAACCGAAGAAGGAAGGTGGAAATAGACGACTTCCTTGAAGAGTGACAGGCAACATCCATATGGATTATCTCTTTGTCTGCCTTTAGCCAGCACGCCATATTGGCGAGGCAAGAGTGGATGTTGTGGGGCTTCATGCCAGGCAGCATCGACCCTTGGTTCTGCTTAACATTCTGGTGGCCGGCACTATAATCCTATTCCATTACTACCACGTAAAATGCTAATTCGCTAACGACGCGATGGTGTTGTTGGACCCACGAGTGCGAACCGCCTTCTTGCTATGTGCTGACTTATATGTCGACGGGATCTAATCTGTCTGGGTGATTTCGTTGTTGCAGACTGACATATAGATTGGTGGACATTTGAGATTCAGGTTGAGTGTACCGTTTTGAGTGACCGTTTCAACCGCTTACGTATATCCTGCCCTCTAATGGTTGCAAATCCACTCCGCCAATCTTGCCATACGAGCTGACAAGCAATCTCATGCCCTCTATGTCTGACTGTTGTAAGGTCCTGACATTTGTTGTGAAGTTCAGCATTACGACTGCTGTCTTTCCTTCGTACCGTTTCCGGTACACAAATGTCTCTTGCCCCTCTGGATCAAGGAGCTCAAATGTCCCGTAAACGAACGCATCCTTATATTCCTTTCTCAGTCTGAGCATCTGCTTATAGAAGCTGAGCACACTCTGCGCATCTCTCTCTTGAGACTTCACATTGATCGTCGGATAATCATCATGTACTCTCATCCACGGCTTACCAGTCGAAAATCCGCCACTCACTGTTGCGTCCCACTGAAATGGGAGTCTCGCATGATCTCTTGCCATAAGTTGCAATCCCCTCTTAATCCTGTCCTTCCTTCCCGGGTCGGTCCCATTCTCGTCTAGCCTCACCGCTTCGGCCCAATAATTTTGACTTTCGACATCCTTGTATTCAGCTTCAACATCCCAGTGCTCCGATGCATTGATCATCCCAATCTCTTGCCCCTGATACAAAAATAGTGTGCCACTCTGCGCAATAAGCCACATCGCGAGCATTTTGGCGCTCTTTTCGCGCCACTCGGGCGCATCGTTGGCAAAGCGCGACACAGCCCGCCCATTGTCATGGTTCTCATTGAATACGGTCGTCCATGCATCTGTACCGTCGACAAAAGTCTGCCACTTCTCTACAATGCGCTTCATCTCCGGCAGTGTCCAGGGGGCGAAATCGTACTTGCTCGTCCCACCCGGTGGGCCTTGGCCCAGGTGTGTGACGTCGAATTGGAAGACCATGTCCAGTTCTTTTTCGCGGGCTGAGACGTAGGGGATTACGTCAGAGGGACTTGGACACAGTGACAGTTCGCCCACCGTGACGAGAGGAAGTCCGTCGTAGGTGCGAAAATGCGATAAAACTTCTGTGTTCATCTCTCTGATAAATTCGTGGATCCGTGGACCGTTGCACCACATTTCTGGTGCGGATTGAGTGAACGACGTGGGATCTGTAACGGGCACGTCGGCGAAGGGGAGGACTTTGGAGTACTTGTTGACAGTGTCAACGCGGAACCCGTCGATGCCTTTGTCTAGCCAAAATCGCATTGCTGAATCGTAGATGGCCTTTCGGCAATCTTCGCTCTCCCAGTTGAGATCTGGCTGAGATTTGTCGTACAGGTGCAGGTAGTACTCTTCGGTGTGTTCGTCCCATGACCAGGTTCCGCCTGCAAAGTACGATCGGTAGTTCGTGGGGGGTGTGCGTTTTCCCTCTGTATCATAGCGCGCAGGTTCCCAGAAGTACCAATTCCTTTTGGGGTTGTTTTTCGAGCTTCTACTCTCCTTGAACCATGCGTGCTGGTCGCTTGTGTGGTTGACGACAAGATCCAAGATTAGCTTCATATCGTACCTGTGGCAAGCAGCAATCAAGTCCTCGACGTCTTGCACTGTGCCATATGGCGCGTAAACATTCTCGTAGTTCGAGACATCGTAGCCCATGTCCACTTGAGGTGAGTCGAACATCGGTGACAGCCAGACGACATCTACACCTAGTGACGCGATGTACTCGATCTTTTCCAATATACCAGGAATATCACCCAATCCATCGTCATTGCTGTCTTTGAAGCTTGCAGGATAGATCTGATAGAAGGTTGCCTCTTTCCACCACACTCGTTTGTGGTAGAGAGTATCAGCGTGCGGGGACATGTCATACGGCTGTGGCCTCAATGCTTAGCGAGTGACGAGAGCGACGAAATGACCTGAAGTGGCAGAGAGGGTGAATTGTAAAGACTCAAGAGGCCAATGACCTCGTGGGGGATATTTGCGTGAGGTTGGATGGAAGATGTTGAGGCCACGGCGGCAATGGAGACATTTCAAGGCTTCAGCTATGCCCTATCTCAGGGCTCCATATCTCAACAAGACGCCTTAACTGAGGATGGGTGGTTCCGTGGGATTCGGAGGAAGAGCGCGATTCAGATAGTGCCCCTCACAAGAGCGACTCCGACTTGGCTCCGGCGCGTCCGACTTGGCTCCATCAAGCTCCGACGTGATTCCGAAAAGTTGTATCCTGTTCATTCCACTTTGCCAGGTCGAAAGTTCGCTTAGACTCTGTAATTCCTGGTGAGAACCGCTCTTCATGATGATTCGAGTATAGCGTGAGCGATTTGAGACTGATGCGAAGATCATGGGGCACTGCAGAATAGAATTGTGGAGGGCGCGCTTGACCCCAGATTTCCCGTCCGAAGGATGGAGTGAGTTCGGAAAAGATCATCCCTCCCTGCTCGACTAGCATAAATATTACAGGATACCTCGATGGGAAAATAATAATCGTGATTGCTACTTCTCCATCTGTAACAATACCCACGCAACATGGCTGGCAAAAAGAATCAGCAGCCAGTTGCGGCTCCAGTTGCGGCACATCTTGTCGCCCCCAATGAAGAAGCTCAACACGCCGCCGATGATGAAAAGTCGATGGGCTTGTTCGAAGCTATGAGGCTGTATCCAAAAGCCGTCGGCTGGTCGGTTGTTCTTTCGAGTGCGCTGATCATGGAGGGCTACGACCTTGCGCTTCTTGGGTCGCTCTACGGGAGCCCAATGTTCACCCAGAAGTACGGCATTTTCAACGAGAAGACTGGAAAGTGGGCAGTCCAGCCGAGTTGGCAGAGTGCGTTGTAAGTTTCATCCCCAGGGTTATCATTGAAGGCGTTCTGACACCCAAGCATAGGTCTAACGGCGCTCGGGCTGGAGAAGTCATAGGTCTGCTCATCAACGGATTCGTAAGTGAGCGCTACGGCTACCGTAAGACTATGATTGGTGCTTTGTTCGCCATGACCGCGTTCGTCTTCATACTGTTCTTCGCTCCTAACGTCCAAATATTGGTAATTGGCGAAGTCTTTTGTGGCATCCCGTGGGGTATGTACGTTATCTTCCTTCTTGCGAGACGACCAGGCTCTAATGTGCGATAGGTTCCAGACACTGACGACCCAATACGCCTCTGAGGTCGCACCGGTACAATTGCGCCCTATCTTGACCACCTTTGTAAACATGTGCGTGTATGCTCAAGATCGTACAATCTCCGCGCTGACTTCAGATCAGGTGCTGGGTCATGGGACAATTTATAGCTGCTGGCGTGAATCGAGCCTGCGTTCTGCGCGAAGACCAGTGGGCGTACAGAATTCCTTTTGCCATCCAATGGATCTGGCCTCTTCCAATTGCTATTGGGGTAGCTCTCGCCCCAGAATCGCCTTGGTGGCATGTCCGTCGAGGCGACAAGGCTGGTGCCAGAGCCGCACTGCTCCGTCTCACATCGGCAGATTCAAACTTCAACCCTGACGAGACTATTGCTATGATCGAGCATACCAATGAGATGGAGAAGAACATGAAGGAGGGAACACGTTGGAGGGACCTTTTCAAGGGTACTGACCTTCGAAGAACCGAGATCGTTTGTTTCGCGTGGATCGCGCAGACCATCTGTGGTACCAATATCATGGGTTACTTGTAAGTTTCATGGTCACTGACGGAGATCGTCTCACTGATCCTTAGTAGCGCGTACTTCATGCAGCAAGCAGGACTTCCGACCGTGCAGTCGTTCAACATGTCGATGATATCACTCGCACTTGGTCTGATCGGCACAATGGGCTCGTGGTTCCTGATGCAGAAGCTTGGCCGTCGTACTATCCACTTCTCTGGAGCTTGCACGCTGTTTGTGCTCTTGATCATCGTCGGCTCGTGCTCTTTCGCTGGAAACGAAGCTTCAAACTGGGCGATTGGCGCCGTCTTGATTGTGTTCGTCTTCGTCTACGACTTCACAATCGGTCCGGTCACATATTCTATCGTTGCCGAGATGCCGTCGACACGTCTGAAGTCGAAGACAATTAACCTGGCTCGAGCGCTGTACAATGTATCTAACATAGTCGTCAACGTCTTGACAAACTATCAACTCGGTAGTGGTGGTTGGGCTTGGGGAGCGAAGACGGCATACTTCTGGGCCGGCACCTGCGGCTGCGTGGTTGTTTGGGTATACTTTAGACTGCCTGAGCCTAAGGGCCGTACGTACGCCGAGCTTGATGCACTGTTCGAGGGTAAATTCGATGCAAGAAAGTTCGCCAGCACGCAGGTGGACCCGTACGGTCGTGGCATAGGAGTGGAGAAGATCGGTGGAAAGGAGGCGATTAACCCTGAGTGGAAGGAGTGAACAGCTGCGCGTTCTGTCTAGCCATGCTCTCATGTTGTGGAAATGACCGGATACAACCTTGGTAAAAGGAGGTGTTCAGCGATGATTTGCACAAGAACAGTATGTCAACAGGGCTACTGGACAGTGGAGGCTATTGTTCCGCTATACTCAGCTCTCTTCGAGACATAACAGCCACGCATCAAAAATAAGCATGCAAATATGACCACAAATTCAATGACCGTGATTTTCGAATTCACTCCTATGATATGAGCATATCCTGTGACTAAGCTGATTGGATGCCTCAGACATCACGTGTACTTAACTTCGATGACCATGCCGCTGCAGCGCTGTTCCCCGCTCGGACAAGTTCGAAGCGACGCGTCCGAGACTTCCCGCCAGGCGCACTCTTGCATCAGAGACATCGACAAAATGAGCGCGATTCCTCCGGACGGACGACGAACCAAATGGCCTCCGCGAGAAAAGTGATACCAAAGGCCTGCGATGCTTGCCGGCGCCGCAAGGTCAAATGCAATGGGCAGCAGCCGTGCTCTGGCTGCATGTCGGCAAGTTTGTTATGCGCATACGATTCACCAAGGAAACAAGGAGGTAATAGAGGCGCTAGAGCGACAGTCCTCAATGAGCTCAGGGGATTCAACGTACAGCGTGCTACTGCAGCATCGCCTACTTCAGCTTCAAGCGGGTCGATACACTCTCCTCCAGCCACGCCTTTCGAACCAGAAGCATCCTTCGTGCAAGCTTGCGTCAACGCCTACCTTTGTCGCATACAGCTGGTCGTGCCCATCTTGTCGCAGCATGCCCTGGAGACAGAAGTGCAGCTGGCGAAAACATCGCCTGCTTCCCTCCAGTTTGTCATAGCTCTTTGCGCCTACGTTGCAAACTTTGGGAATGCTCTCACTGAGACACAGCGGGAGCGACATTCTTCCTTCAAGATGGATCTGGGGCGCCAGAGCCTCGAAGATGCTCTCCGAATGCAGGATCCCAAGCGTGTCACAGAACCCAATCCTCGCTCAATGCTCATCTCATTCTTCTTGTACGGCGCACATGCTGGTCTTGGTGATTACCAACAAGGCTGGTTCTACCTTCGGGAAGCCACGACACTTTTCACGATGCTGAAGAAGGATGCAGTCAGTTGGTATGACTCAAGAGCAAACAGCTGCATGTTCTGGATCTTGTTGATCTCCGAGAGGTACGCCGGTCTGTAGGTGGACGTGGAACACTTGCTTACTTGGAGCAGATCTCATGGTGTTCGCAGAAGTAGACCGATTACGCTTCAGGTTACATCATCTAGTCCCACTCTTGTCGGTTCACAGACACCAGGCCTTCAGCTTCTCGCATCTATCTTTCGGCCGCTTGACGAGATTTTCTTTGCAGTTTGGAATGGTTCGAGTGAAAGTTGTAGCAAGGAATGGCTGCTGGAGCTTGAACGCGATGTTCGAATAGCTCTGCCATCCATGCTTGAGCTATCCAATGAGGAGATGGCGAATTTGCGTGTGACCCAATTCTGGCTGCGCATCAAGCTCTGGGAACTATTTCCGCGCTTTGGGTTCTTGTCGACCGAGTCAGTCTATGAGTGTCTGACGTTTCGGTACCCAGTAGCAGTCGCGACTGAGCTGACCATCCTTGCAATGAAGTTGCCGATTACAAGCCTCCAGGTTCACGGAGTGGGCATGGTAAGCCAAACTCGACTTCTGTAGTGCCCACAGCTAACTTATCAGACCGAAAAAGTGTTTGACATAGCCTGTGCAGTCGCAGATGTGCTGCCATTTATATCAGTATCAGCCTCTCAGATGGAACTGGGTCCAGTGGATTACCTGACGCAAGTCGTCTCCGTACTGGCCAAGCTACCTGGGGGTACAGATAAGTTTGTACCCCTGCTTCTCGCCAAGATTAACGAATTGCGGCCTGAGCTGGTTCATTCGCTTTGTGCTGCGATGCAGCTGCCCTTCGCGGCTTTCAGTGATCCCATGAGTCCCGACACGCGTTTTGTTTATGAGGAGGAGGTAGGCAGGGGATTGTATGCTGATCTCAGACGGGTAAGATGATCTTGCGCGATTGTTATCTCGCGACTATCATATTCGCACCCTGCACTGGAAGTAGCACGACAGATGTGTCGGAGTTTAGTATATGATTTAGAATATCACGCTACACAGGTTTCCTTTGCCCGTAGTACCAGGATCGAGGGTATCACGAATGAACCACTGTTCTGAGAGGCTGACAGCCGAGAGGAAATACAGCGGGACGCCACAAGTGTGCTGTTCGGTTGCTGACGTGACGCCGTTACGGTAGTGTACGGAACTCATTGGCACCCCAAGGTCGAAGTGACAATACTGTCAGCAGCCAAATTTGAAGTAGCGGACAACTAATTGCTCGACTAAGCCATGTTTGCCTGGTACTTGTTCAGTGGACCACAATTGTAGCGATAGACTACAATTATAGCGGCAACAAGAATCACTTCTACATAAAGCAGTAACGATGATGCTGTCCAGCAGTCGCTCATCACATCATAGGTCACGCACCACCATTCGGTTCTCTCAGCTCTGAAGAGACGACTGTTGTTGTTGAACGGCTGCTGGACGATTTGAGGTCGGCAACTCACGAGTCTGTCCAGCCCCAAGAGACAGTGACAGTCCCGGGCAACTTCATACTGATGGATAGAACACCAATTCACAGAGACTTGGATAGACAGACGGGTCTGTGTGAAATGGCGGATGAGAGTGATGGCTGAACGCTTCATCGCTTAGTTAATCACAAGCGTGTAACTAGTCGGAAGAACAAACAACGCATGCAAGGTAACAGTTCGAACCCAACTACACCTCTTATGCGTGCTCTGCTATGCTTGTTCGTTCTAGACTAAGTCACGTTTCTTAACGGGCCACCGCCTAGATCATGTACCTGTACCCCTTCTGCAAGATCCTCGCAGCTGCAATGTCAATGCCCTCCGCCTCTGCCGTCCTGCTTAACTTCTTCATATCCTTCTCCGTCAACTGACTGTCTTCATTCTCCATACGCGCCATCTGCTTGTTCTGCGCCTCGAGATAGAACTTCATGATCAGGAAGCACATCAAGCTAAGGATTTGAAGACCAATACACACACCCAAAGCCGGCCTATAGTGCGGTTTCGAGCTTGGGATGTACGTGAATGGCGTCCAGATGGATGCCGAATTACCAATACTGTTGATGAATGCCAATGCAGCCGCACGCTTGGCGGGAGGACGTGGAATAGCGTTCGAAATCCAAGCGTAAATTGTGCCGTTCTGGGCGAAGACGAAGTTCATAAGAAAGAAGGAAAAGTAGCGTGGCCCGAAGTCATCAGTGAACATGAAGATCAAGAAACCGATTATCGATATGGCGACCGGATAGGCGAGGAACCAGAAGCGTTTGCCGACGTGATCAGACAGGTAGCAGTGACCGTAGGAATAGAAGACCATGAAGACGTAGGGTGGGGCGACGAGGAGCAGGGAGATGATCCGATTGTAGCCGAGTGTCTGTGTGAGGGTGGGAAAGAAGTTCTGGAACCCTGCTGAACCAGTGATACCCATGTATGCGATCGCCACTGACGAGCGTTAGTACGAGATCGTGTGAACAATGTGTAAGGAAGGGCGGCTTACGGATATAAGTCTTGGGATCTGTGAATGCAAGCTTCATGCCCTTTATTTGGCTCATGCCACCAGCTTCATCAGTATCAGCCTCGGCAGCATCGATAGCCAGACGTCTGACGGCTACACGCTTCATCTCTGGGCTCAACCCATTCCAGGTTTCCGGGAAGTCAGGCAGGATGAAGATCGCTGCAATACCAACAGCCATGGTGATAGCACCTTCAATGATGTAAAGCCTGAGTCACTCGGTCAGCTTATGCATATACCGAGTCTGCGCTGACACCTACCATTTCCAAGCAGCAAGACCCATATGTCCATCCAAACCGCTCAGGATACCTGCAGCGATGAGAGGACCGAATGCACCAGACACCAGTGATCCAGCATAGAAGATAGCGTTACGCTTCGCTAGCTCTTCCTTGGTATACCACTTGCTCAGATAAAATAATGCGCCTGGGAAGAAAGGCGCTTCCACGATACCAAGGATGAAACGCGCTGCGACGATGCCGGAGTAGTCGTGCACCTGAGATGTCAAGCAGGATACCAATCCCCAAGCGACAGTCGCGCAGCCGAGATACAACGAAGGTCTGCCCACCCAGTTGAGGATGAGATTGGACGGTACCTGCATTAGAATGTAACTTGACCATCGTTAGCGTAGCTTGAGGAAATGCCAGGAGTTACCAACCCAACGAATAAGATCGAGAGACCTGTCTGATACTGATCGCCATTAAGATCAAGGTCCGCCTCCAGACCCTGTAAACGTGCTGCGGCGTAGTTGTTCCTGAAGATTGATCAACGCTCATCTTGTCAAGGATCGCATGAATGGGTACCTATCAATGTAGTTCATCAAATAAATAGTGATAAGCACTGGCATGATTCGCGCATCAATTTTCTTTCTCAACTTCTTCTCAATCTCGAGCTCCTCTGCAGAAAGATGCCCATGGTGCAGGGCTTCCTGACGCACGGCTTCCAAGTGCTCTGGATCGTCAAACTTCCCTCCCACCAAATCGTGGTCGCCGATCTCCTTCTCTGTAGCCATAGCGATGTTGGTCGTTCTTGGAAATCAAGTCTCGTAGTATTTGAGCTGTCTAATGCTCCTCTGAAGAGGGATTCAACGGCAGCAACAGCCACACCACTCGATGACGGGAGAAAGTCCAACGTCACACTGATGCACGTCCTTTCTGGCGGTGACGGAGACAGGATGATTCGCTGGATAGCGCGTTGTCCCAAGAGAGCCCGCTGCTCAATTGAGGGGCGCGTGAAAGTGCCCGAGGACTCGCATATATTGTAGATCGCGACTGTGGTTACACGGCAGAGTTATCGCGTGTCGGTAGCCGATTACGTCCAGGCCTGAGGCGGAGATGTTCAGCAGAAAGTTGATTTGCTGGACTGCGTTTTGCCGGTAGAGATACGAAGCAAACTCGTTCTCTCCTCAGCTGTGGCTTCTCGGTCTCTAAGGTGAGTAACCAAGACAATTTGCTGCTGTGACAGAAGTAACAAAGTGAAGGAGATGAACAGTCTGCTTCTTGATGCCGAGGGAGACGTCAAAAGGCTTGTCGATGCTTTATGTACAGAGCAGATGGCCACTAAGCTCTGGGGTGGAGTCTGGGGTAGCACTAAGCACGTTCAGATGACGAAGATGGCGGCCAACAAACCGGCTGATTGGTCGACCCCGCCCAGAGCCTCGCAACGAGGAAGGCGAAACACGCTTCGAAGCCTGACACACGTCTTGGTAATAACTGGGGCAACAATATATCGGCTGATGAGTAGGGAAATGATTCGCTGGAAGCTGTTTAATCGGCGTAAATGCCGTGTCAGTGGAGTGGACGTGATTGACCGGGATGCCGGCGCATGATCGGTGTGAAGGTCCAACTTCGGCAGTTCTTATGCATAAGTGATTAACAAGCGCAGTGCAGCCGTCTGCGGAGTCAACAGTAGCAACTGAGTACGTAAGTAAAGGGTATAGGTATCTCGAACTAGGTGAAATCGTAATTAGGGTCGTTTGACTGATTCTTTAGAGCCGCAAACGCCTTCGAGGGAAGCAAGTCACATGTAACTTGCGCAAATGCACCGCGGGTATCTGACAAGGAGCAAAAGAAAAAGGTGCAACAGAAACAATGTAAGCAATCGAACAGCATGCGCTGGTCGAACATGCGCATCGACTCCTCGCCTATTGGCGACCCTGGGGGTTGTGCGGAGAATACTGCGGTGGCACAGCGTAGTGCGCCTGCGGTGCATAGTCTTGTGGATTGTAATTGTACTTCAGCTGATGAGCGCTCTGCTGACTCTCCCGATCCAGACGGTCTGAGTGCTCTTCTCGTGTCTCTTCCATCGTGGGAAGTTCCGTAGTGAAGGCCTTCTGATCAAGCCCTGGCGAGCGGAGGTTATCGGATGGAGCGTATGAGCTTGGACGAGAACTCATTGAGCTTTGATACTCGTTTGATGCCTGCGACCATCGAGCATCTGGCATATTCGGTGAGGCTGAGCCATCGCTCGCGTGTGACAGGCGACGATCTGGGTGCAAATGGCCTGACGATGGCTGTGGGTGATGGTAATCGCCAGGCAGCTCCATGACAGCGTTGTTTTGTTCTGGACAGATGAATTGCTGCTGACTCGAGTGGTGTCGCTGTGTAGGTGAGCGACCGGGCGACATAGGAAGATTGTACGGCTGTAGATTCGCATATTGCGGAGATGGACCTGGGGAACCCGGATTCCTACTCGAACGATCTGCAGGGTTGATCGTCTTTAGCTTGCCCTTTTCCATCATGCCATGCAAGACACCCGCATCAAGTAGCTCGGCCTTCTTGATGAGTCGCTCGACGAAGACCTTTGAAGCTGCTTTATTCTCCTTTCTCACGAAACCGGCCATGGTCAGGTTGCATTTTATCTCAATGTCTTCGCGCAAGTATAGTCCTTCGGGTGGGGCTCCTAGACCTAGCTCCGTAGTCTGCACTGGTTCGTCAGGCTGGTTGCCACAAATTTGCCATTTATTGCGCATATCTACACCTGCGGGCGCATAGATGTGTGTCTGCAGACCCCACGGCATGTCGTGGAAACATCCCTTGAATTTAATAGCGCCACTGCCCAGCTTCCCAATACCCGGAATGTACTGGATGCGCTGCGAGATCTCATACCAGGTCGCGTAAAATTCGTCAGACGGCGCATCTCGTGGCGCTTTCACGGGTTTGACGCCGGTAACGAGAGGGTTCAATTCGATGACTTCGACATGGCTATGTAGGATGTCGATCGCCAACTGTCGTGGGATAAAGGACGGGATGGGCGTAATATGCGTATACGTTGTCTTCTTGCGCATCATCTTGACGATTGCGCGACGAGGAATCGGTGGAGACTATGGTTGGAAAGGAGCGAAGGCGGCGCCAGGTAGTAATATGCTGACTGCACTGCGGCCCTGCGTATGTTAGCTAGTAAGCCCAAGGTTAAATCAGCAACGCGCGATAACGCGTCACTCGCTTGGCAGGGCATGATCTTACAACTCGGTAAAAGCGGCTCGAGGGAAGTCTCCAGTGCCAGAAGATGGCAACTGAATTGCAAAGATTCGAAAAAGACCAATATTAGGGTCAAGCCTTGACTTTAACGTATTCCTCACCCGGAGGGATTTGTTTCCGCAGCGGGGCTGTGTTTTGTGGCATCATCTTTTGCCAAGCATCTGCCAACACGGCTGGAGACGCGAGGTTTCGAGTCGTAGATGCGCCGCCGCCAACTCGGTGGTTCGGTAGCGCGAGTTGGCCGCCGCTATGTTGCGCTTTTCGCTGACGATCAGTGATCCGGAAGCCCAAACTCCCGGGATTAGTTCATCACACACCAAGGCACCTGGTGGCGCTACGCGAAGAACGCGTCGAAGACTTTGTGCGGCGTGATGCGCTGATGTGAGATTATTGTCAGCCTGCAAGCTGCAAGGGGCATTGCTGATGGGCGCTGTAATTGTGATGCCGGTGCGCTGTAAGAGAGGATCATCACATTGTAGCATCGTCAAAATAAGCGCATTTTCAACTTGTAGGCAAGTTTACTCGTCCTTAAGAAAACGCGTAAAATGAATTCATCGCGTCCATGTCGGGCGGTGGACAACGAAGTTGGTGATAATGTAACGTCACCGTATTATTTATTGCCACTACATATACTAGCAGTACCACAACAATGGCAATATACTCAAGATCTCACCATGAGTCCTTCGGGCAGATAACATCGCATGCTTACGTGAATAACTTAGCGATAGTTTCCTTGACGTCGTTCTCAAATTCGACGTGTGTCGACTTCAGCCACGGTGTGACGGTCCGCAATGTCGATATCTTACACGGTACGTATGTCGCCCAGCAGCTAGCTTGATCGTTTTTGGGAAGCCACTCCAAAGCAAACTCTATTGTTTAGAACAAGAGCGCACTGCAGTCACACATACTAGACGATCACTGCCAAGAAGTACTCAAGAATGCTGCGCCCCGCTCAATTCATCAAGCCAGCACAAACACAAACGCGATATTTCCATTAGAAGCCTACCTGGCCGCTGGCATGGACATGAGACGAGCTCCTGCTGATCGATAACGACTGCCGATGGAGCTACAGTCATCACCTTCGACATTGCGGGACCACCCAAGATCCAGTCAGCTATACTATGAGCGGTCGCGAATTTCGTCCATAGTTTACTGTAATTCACTGAGTTTTTGGCGAGATTCTTTCACGCGTATTTGCTTTCTAGCAGTCCTGGACGATGCTCTTTAGCTCTATCTGCAGCCCTTGGATGGCATCCTGGTCCGGCTTTCAATGGTATTTTTGGGCACCAGAACCCACCATAGATCACACTCGCGCTGTGATCATGATCTATAGTGTACGTATGACCAGCTGCATACCGTTTCTCTCTCTAGCGGAAGACGGTAGTGGGGCATCTAGTTACAATCCTCGTGCTACTGTTTGTGCCATGGAAACCACAGGTATTCAGACCACGACGGTCATCAATCCGCATCGCAACAGCCGGAGACTCTGAAAAGATCGACATGGGTCAGCCGACTTCGCTGCTACGTTTCCAGTCATTTCTCATAATAATCAAGAATACACGTCAACAATCATCTCTGCCGCTCGTTCCGCGATTCCGTACACCAACGTCTGAATGTGGGCACTGGGCAATAGCGGGATGATACTAGCGTCGACCACTCTCAATCTTTCCGTACCATATACATGTAAATGAGTGCTAACAACACCGCCATCCTTCTCTGGAAGCAGTGCAGCGGTACCAATAGGGTGGTAGATACTCAGCGTGTTGGCTAGCGCATAATTCTTCCAGTCCTCATCTGTCTGAACCGCCTTTCCAGGCTCGTACTCTTCCGTCCATACATCCTTCAAAGGAGCAGTGCACGCAATCGTGCGCAGAAACTTGGCGAGATCGATTGCCGCCTGGAGGTCGTATGGGTGTGACAGGTAGTTGGGGTTAATGAATGGCTTGTCGCTGATGTTGCGTGAGTTGATGTGCACACTGCCCTTACTGAGAGGGTGTTGGACAACCCCAATAAGCGAGAAAGTCCCAATACCGAACAGCGTCGAGTTAGTGGCTGGGTACCCCTTGAGACCAGTGTAGCCATCAGAGAAGATGACTTCGAGCTGCGGCACCGTTGCGCTGTGTGGTGGAGAGAAGTAGCTCTTCTTCACCTTGCCAACTGCCGAGGTCAAGCTTGTGTCACCTTGGACCAGTGTGCGGAACTTTGCAGCGGTGTCGTTTGAAACGATGTCCCAGGGGAAGTAGGCATACCCGCTGGCGGTGTAGTCGTACAGAGACACCTGGCCGGCGTTGTACGCTGCAAGCTCAATAGCCGCGCGGGTAGTGTTCTTCAAAACGTCGAATGACGGGTACTCAGGTCTGAGTTGATATGAGCTCTGGATTCGGATGTGGTCGGAAAGATTTTCGCCGACGGCAGGTAGATTTTTGACAACTGGGATGCCCAACTTCTTCAATAGCGTCGCGTTGCCGACGCCTGAAAGCTCGAGAAGACCAGGAGTCTGAAACGAGCCTGCACACAGGATGACTTCCTTCCGAGCATGGACGACGGTTCCGTTCTCGAGCGTAACGCCGGTGGCGATCTTGCCTTGAAAGTTGATCTTCGACACGCGTGTCTCAAGCTTGACTTCGAGATTGGCTTTGGCGAGTTTGAGGTACTCAGGTGCGTATGATCGAGTGTAGTTTGGGCTGACGTTGTTTGGCTGTGTACTGACCCCGACAGGGTAGCCATTGAGCGACTCTCGGCTGGCGACAAGACCAAGGTTGTTGAGGGTAGGTATCCATGAAGACTGGTGCTTAGGAAAGATGCGACTGATGAGAATCTTGATGGGACCCGTCTTGCCAACGCCTTCTGTGCTGTAGTCCGGAAATGGCAAAAATGTCTCAGCCTTCAACATCGCGGAGTACAAGGTCTTCCAATTCCACCCTTTGTTGCCCAGCTCCTTCCAGGCATCGAGCTCAGCAATCGAAGTACGATCCCATGACATCAGGTTCAGCGCGCTACTACCTCCAAGCACTTTTCCTCGATTTTGCGCAAACGTCCGGTTGTTGGCATTGGGCTGTGGGGTGGTTGTGAGGTTCCAATCGTACTTGCCACCAAGCGTTGAGCCCTTTCTTCCTGGGATATAGATGCCGGGCTCCTGGCATCCATCTGGACCTGCTTCAATCACAAGCACGGTACTGTTGGGTAATCCAACGCTGATGCGCGACGCAACCGCAAGTCCAGCTGTTCCGCCGCCTACAATGATCTATCATCTATGTCAGGACCGCAATGTATGCGGTTCAAAGTCCCAAGCTTACAAAGTCGTATGTGTCAGCAACATCTACGACGTTGGCTGCGCGTGCTTGCAACAAAATGTTGGTTGCCACAAGTGTTAGACTCCAGAACCGCATGTTGTCTTTTGCAGAGTACAACAAGCAGGATAAGAGGCAATATAATGTAAAAGGAGAGAATCAGGCGTCCTTACCTCGACATCATTTCGATGCTCGGAGCTCTCCACTCCTGCAGGGCACGAGTGAGCTAACCCTACAATATCGGAGCTGGCCCTGGGTCAGACAGAACGAGCCATGCGGCCCATTTGCCGTGCGGTCGAAGGATCTTAGCATTTTCTCGGCCCCCTGCAGGCGTTTGCGCTAGCGCCGCTCTTTGTACTTTCTCATTGGTCAGACGCCCTTCAGTGAGAACTCAGGCTAATCTCCGCTGTATGTAGTTATTCCTCCGAATCACACTCCTTGAGGAACAGTCGTCTCCGATATACTTTCACATCCCGACGAGTATCGTCTGTGCAAATGTTTCACATGTATTGCAAGCGATGCTGGCCTCAATAACGGATGAGTCCACCGTTTCTACAGGACCCCACTACAGGGATCAAAAGAACTTCCGCCCAGACATCCGTGCATTACGGCTGACCCCAGTGGGTAGCATACAAGCCCTACCGTCCGAAGTACTTCAATTCGAACCTCCTCGCCACAGTGTAGCTTACAAACGCGAAAGCAAATCCCAGCTCAAACCCCACATCACCACCATACGGCGCTTCTCCCGCCTTCAACGCAATGGGTCCCACCCACCAGACTTGACTCATACCTGTGACCATGCCAGCAATGCCACAGCAGAATGCAAAAATCGCTGCAAAGCCGGGCGGAAGCTTCGAGGACTGGTCGTATAAAGCTGGGTCGTATGCGTTCATGCTGCATTTGTAGATGAAGTGGTCGCTGAAAGCAATGCCTTCGTAGATTGCGAGCCAGTAGCCTGAACGTTGTTAGTGAAGCATTATACTTGACAGGAGCTCGGGCTTACCAATGAAGTTCATGAAGTTGTCGAGTACGGTCTCGAAATGCGAGTATCCGGGGATGGCGATTGCAATGTAGACGCCGGTACCTACAGCAGTCCAAACAAAGCGCGGCACGCGCTCTGTCCATTTCCCGCCCAGTACTTGGATTGTCAGACCAACGGAGTAGATATTGGGACAGTTGTTGGCGATGATGCTCAAGGCGAGGATGACAATGCAGAACTTGCCGAAGCCGCCTAGGGGTCCGAAGAGTACTGCAGCGAGAAGGCCGCCAGTTCCAGAAGCTGCATATCCATCTGCGTACTTGTTCTTGCCGTCATTGAGCGTAGTGGCGGTCATAACGGCAATGCCCAGCATCTCAGTAAAAAGCAGAGGAATGATGAGGCCAATCCAGACAGCAAAGAAGACCTTCGTCCTGGACTGATTGCGGGGTTGGTAGACTGTGTAGTCTGCTGCGTAGCTGGTCCATCCTGTCGCAAAACCGTAGACAACGCTTCCAAAGCTGAGGACACTTCCCATTTCGCTGACGCCCACACCCATCGGGATGTTGACAAAGTCTCCAGAATGAGCGAAGACGCCGAGGACGATGAGAAAGACGATAGTGGTGGGGATCCAGGACCAAAATTCGTAGGCGTGGACGATCTTGTAGCCGAAGAAGGTTACGAGCAGCGTGCAGAAGGCGATGATAATAATACCAGCATAGCCTGGGACATCATTGTTGACAGCATGGATCAGCTGGGCACCGACGATCGAGTTCACTGCCGACCAGCCAAGGCAGGCAAGGACGTTGAACACCGCGACTATGGTCGTTTAGCAAAAAGTGGTGAACGCGGAACTGACAATGAACGTACTGATCTTGACTCCATACCAGCCGAACCAGTAACGCGACAGAACCATTTGTCGCAATCCAAAGCGTGGCCCGAAAGTGGAGAAGTAACACACGGGGATGATCCCAATGAGGTTGAAGAACAAGCACACCAGACAAGCATCCGTGAATCCGAGAAAGAAGAGCGATTGCGCGAGAAGGCCGATCGCGAAAGACGATACTACCATATTGGCGGAAAGCCACTTGTGACAAAGTTAATTGAATGCTATTTCTGACTCTCGGCGCAACTCACCATGGTGCCAACATTCAACAGAGAGGTGTCGTCTCTCTCGTCCTCTGGTACCCTCTCGATGCCGCGCTGCTCGACATTGAATCGCGCTGCGAGTCGCTGAACCTTCGCGTAGGTCGAATCTCCTTGCAAAAAAGTCTCTCCGGGAACGGCACCATGGCTGACATGCGACCCGGTGCTGAGACCGTCCTGCTTCTCCATGTCGGTCATGTTGGAATCATAGAACCCCATCCTGAGGCTGGTCGCGTAGAGCGGTCGATAGCCGGGTTGCTGGTCAGGTCGGGAACAGTGCAGAAAGATCCTGAGGTTTGGAGTTCATCCACTTCGTGCGTCAATAGCTGCCTGACAGAGAGAACGACATTCGAGTGTAATTTCTAGGAGCAGGCTGCGAAACTCGGACGAGGGCTAGATATGGGGCCTTTGACGTACACGCCGTTAGTCCCGTACACCAGACTTCGCACAGGGACTCTAGGCGAGGCGTGATAAGCCTAGCCGTATCTCGTCAAGCAGGGGAGGTGGACGGAGACGGAAGTTGAGATACGCGCGTGCCCTGGCGCTTTCCGCGAATTTTTAATCATGTTTTCACGCGCAGCTCGCCGTGGGCGTTTCGTGCGCGATAAGCAAACTGGAGTGGCCAATGGATGGGACGGGAAGCAGACGTCTTGCCCCCACCTTACCGTAGCTTGGCCGAAAGCTTGTCACTAGACAAGCTCCAGACTTAGCCACAAAAGCCAGCCATACCAGCCGTAGGAAAGCCTGACATCCGGTCTTTCGCGCCTCTTCGAACTGTCTCCTCCAACCTCGAAGTCCACGATGAACTTTCAAGACTGCACTTTCATTTCCTGATATGGGTAGCGGACCGGCCCGATCTCGGTTGGCCGGATTTCCCCGAATCCCACAATGACTAGGTAGCGCTCCCTCAACGTCCCGACTTTTGACCAATTCCAACATCTGTATGAACATTATTGTCAACGTCTATCCGATACAATCGGCCGTGCAGTATCAGTATTTGGCCCGATCGATATTGCAAAGGTCACCGCGAATTGTGAAGTTACGCCATGTCTCATTCCTTACTGTCGCTGTGGAAAAGCGTCGAGTCGCAGATGCTCAAGCTTCTCCTCAAGTTTCGCCGGTCCCAGAATCAATATCTGGCGACCAGTAGTACATTTTTCTGTTCACCTGGTCTCCTGTTCTTCTTGTCTACACCATCCACTCATCTGCCCACCACGGGACCCGTCCCTTCTCGTTCAATCCCGTTTCCCCAGAACCAAGCCAGGTCCCCATTGCTTTGGTCCAAGAATGCCTTGCGGAAGATAACCAACACCCTCCTATCCTCATCCGTATACTCATTCATCCAAGGACGAGGAAAGTAAGGGTCTTGCGATAGAACGTATGGACAGCCTGTTGCACACCCTTGTGATCCGTAGTCATTGGCTGGACGCAGTCGAAATCCAGCCTCCACACCACCATATCTTCACACAGCACACTGTTCCCGCCCTTCATATTGAATACCTCCCTATCCTGGCTATGCGTATCGAATACCCCCTGGTTCCTCCCAATCCTTGCATCTCCCTGCTTCTCCACTTGACTAACAGGCTCAGCCCGCGGCAGCCCAAACACCCACTCCGCATCAGTGCGCGCAACCCAGTAGCAACTCACCAGCGCCCGAGCCAACACTTGCACCGCGCGATCGATATCGACGCCCAGGTCCTCCATCTGGTCAACGCACAGCCCGTAATTGCGCAACATGAAGAACCACTTCTGCCTCAAGCGGTCGTAGGCGCTGCGGCGTTTGCCGCAGTAGAGGCGCATAAGGCAGTCCTCGTCTTTCCTGCTCTGGACAGTAGCGCGAGATCAGCATATCCCTGAGTTCTTTTCCGAGCGGCGAGATGCGCTCTTGGTCATACGTTTCGCACAGTTTCCTGCCAGCAGGGAAGGTGCGTAGATACCTCTCGTCATTGGGCTTAAGCAATTTGAAGGAGTGCAGGACGAGGGAGGGGAGCGGTGTGGCTTTGTGCGAGTGAGGAAGCAGTAGTGCAGCATTGTCGTTGTAGATTGAGCGCTCCATGTCGCCGTCTGCGCGCTTGAGGGAGTATGGTGTAGGAAAGGCGTGGGGAGGTGAGCTATTGCTTAGTGTCGACGGCTGAATGGAGCCTGAGGGACATGTAGGTGTATCGCTGGTAGCGGGGAGGGCCCAGACAGAGCCGCAGCCACCGCGATCGATGCAGTGCTATTCGTTGCTTGACATTGTGTTGTGGTTTGTTTTCTCGAACTTGATGAAGGAGTCTAGGGTCGAAGGGGGACTTCTTATAGTCGCGGGCGCAAGGTATGACTGGTTTGGTCGTGAACCGTGGTTAGATTGACTATTTCGGATACAAGTCAGTGTAGTGTCGAACGTGCAATGACAGTTGACTCAAACAATGAACATTTTGGCAAGTGCGGCTTTAGTGGACAGGCTATTATACGATGTTCTTGCAGACTCGCGTAAATGGGGTAGATGTACCACTAGAGATTGACATTTCGAAGTGACTTTCCGAAGCGTGGCAGAATGAAACCCAATCTTTTGACAGCAAAGTGAACAAGCATGTGGACCTAAAAAAAAACCTAAAAACACCAGTCGTACATGAAGGTATCATAATGGCACCATGCCTGTTCTACCACACTCTTCCTCACTCTGCCTGCGACTCTCATATCGCCTCCCTGAATACGCTCCTCCGGCTCTCCGTCGGACTGTTCTCGGCGCTGTTGACGCTCCCTGGCTTCTTGTGTGTCTTGATCTGCGGAACGTGAGGCATCTGCGCCGTGGCACCACCGTGGTAGCTGGTGTCCTCGCCATGGTTCAGCGGCCTTGGGCTCACACCGCGCAGACTTGCAGCATTCTCATCGCCAAAAGGATCGTTGCGCGCGCCTCGCGCGTCGAGGTGCTCGTCGTAGCTGTCGCGTGTGCGGCTGCGTCCACGCTCTTCGTGGGGCTGGGGCGCAGCATGATTTGTCGGCGCGTAAGGGTTCGCGCCGCGCGCAGGCTCATGCAGGCCAAGTTCTTGCTCCTCGTAGTACGTCTCGTCGCCGACCCTTGCTGACCATGCCTCGTCCGGATCCAGGCGACTGCCAGCGCCGCGGCCTCGTTGCGCGCCGCCAGTCTCCGTGTAGTCACCCTCATAGGCACCAGCAGCCGAGCGGTTGTTCCTGTTCTTGAACTTGCGGACCTGCGTGTCGATCCAGCCCTTGATGCCGGCGGGCGCGGGGCCAGGGTAGTTTGATGCGCCGCCGCGAGAGGCTTTGAAGGCAGCGATGGGGTTCATGGACGGCGGAGGCAAGCCGTTCTTCTTGGCGTTCCATTGGGCGTAGAAGTACCAGCCGAAGTAGGAGCCCGAGACGAGCAGGAGCAGGATGATCAGGAAGACCCAGCCTCCGTTCATCGTGTCGGTATTGTGAGGGTGAGAGTGTGCGAGAGGTTGGGCGTGCGCATGCGCGAGGCTGCCTGAGAGGCACGGATGGGTGAGCCTGATACGGGCGTCGGTGCTACGCTCGGCGCGGATGCGGACGGAATGACTGCGACGCAGCAGATGTTCAATGTGAGAGCCTGCAACAACGTAACAAAGGGCGACGCCGAAATTCTGAGTCGTATGTCGTTGGCGAGCAGCTGAGTCTGGAGAGCTTCAAGCAGCCAAGCGTAGGCGGATGACGTAACCAAGCCTACCAATAGCTGGCAGCGCGTGGCTTGAACCAGCAATCCATTTCCGCTGGAAGCCGTCTATATCAAGCGCGCTATGAGCTGCAATTGAGCGTGGACATTGCCATCTCCACCATGTCCGTTGCAGCTCTTGTTCCTGCCTGCCTCCAAAGTGGTTCCTTCCTCGAACATGACGTACCAGGCTAGCGCGGCGACCAAGCGGGAGCCAACAAATGCAAGTGGGCCCTTGTCGCTCCTGCTGTCACGACATTCAGTTATCGCGACTCCTCATGGCGACTTTAGTCTTACTCTTGTATAAGACCGCATTTCAGCGAGGTTTCGGAGACTAAGTTCAGGTTTCCTCCTGAAAAATTGATATTCGACCCCGCATTAGCTGGTTTTGTTGATCACTTTTGGTACGCTCACATCTCTGGAGTTAAACACGCATCTAAAGAGTTACTGATGATTTGCAGTCGCGATCAATATGACTGAGCAGGCGGTTAACGACAACAGCCTTAGCAAGAGCAAGGACTCCAATACAGACACCACAAAGCACTTGACCGTTACCTTACCAGCTGCTGGTGGATCTTCCACAGTGGAGGCAGTTCTGGAACTCGATGCAGATGCAACAAAGCACCCACGCCTGGCCAAGATCACCAATTATCCAGCCAAAGAAGGGGTCAATCCGCCCTCAGACGTTCGCGAAACACACGTCATTCTGTCAATTGGGTCTGGACATCAGCAGGCAGCCATCTTCTATGATGAGTGTGTGGGCCCCATTCTTGCTGCAGTCTACCCAAACGACCATGAAAAGTTCCAGATTCACACCACGACTTCGGTGACTAGTGTGCTCGAGCTCACGAACAATGTGATCTTCATGAGAGCAAATGCGGGTGCAGCATTTCGGATCATTGTTCTCTCAGGTGACGGCGGTGTCATCGATCTAGTCAACGGGCTATCTTCGCGCGCGACATCACCATCCTACGTCGCGCCCCAAGTCGTCTTGCTGCCATTGGGAACCGCAAACGCGCTTTACCACTCCATAAACGTTGGGAAAACAAACACGTGGGGCGTCAATGCACTGGCATCATCACGGTCTCGACCCCTTCCTATCTTCACAGCATCTTTCTCACCTGGCGCACGGCTATTGGTAGATGAAGCGCGCAGCGAAGCGGAGCTCTCGGAAGACCCCTCAACAGGTCGACCGACCCTCCACGGCGCCGTAGTGTGCAGTTGGGGCATGCACGCCGCCCTCGTCGCCGACAGCGACACAGCAGAGTACCGCAAGTACGGCGTTGAGCGCTTTAAGATGGCTGGGAAGGAAGCCCTGTATCCTGCCGACGGCTCAGCACCGCATGCGTACAAGGCTAAAGTCTCTGTGCTGCGGGGTGAGCAGTGGACGGCGCTGAAGGAAGAAGAGCACATGTACACCCTTGCAACCATGGTTTCGAATCTCGAGCAACCTTTCTGTATCTCGCCGCACTCAATGCCGTTGGATGGGAGCATGCACCTCGTGCACTTCGGGCCAACAAGTGGAGATGAGGCCATGAGATTGATGGGCCTGGCATACCAAGGCGGCAAACACATCGAGGACCCGGCTATCCGATACGAAGCAATCGACGGAATACGCATCGAATTTGAAGGTCGCGAGGAAGAAGAGCGATGGCGACGAATTTGCGTCGACGGTAAGATCGTAAGGGTCGAGAAGGACGGCTGGGTTGAGCTGCAGAAGGACGCGAGAAGCGTGCTGGACATTGTTGTTGTCTAGACCCCATCAGATAGCGGTAAATCCACATCCCAGCGGCAGCAACGGCTTGGAGATGTGCTCAGTGACACTCGCCTGCTATCGGGAAACACGCCTGCTTCTCGTTTACGCACGCGGCATGCATCACTAACACAGCGCACTACCGCCGCTGCGTCTCCGAACAGAGTTTCTCTCCGTTCCCGGATGCATCGCCGGACAGTCTACGGCTTTGGTCGGTGTTACCCATGTTGAGGCTCCGCGAGGCGCAGGAGCAGACCGAGTATCACGGTGTGAAGACTGCTCGCAACGCAGAAGCGGAACGTGAGTGACTTACTCGTACAGGGGAAAAGACACACTCGCGTCGTGGAGATGCTGAGTGTGTGAGCGGCCACGGCGGTGCAAAGACAGGCAGGACGCAACATTCCCGTCGTCGAGGACAATTCGAAGCCACCTCGTACAAATCGCGAATTGATTCCGCAGTTAGGCCGTTCGAACGCTTGATTGGCAGTACTGGGTATCTATCTATCTATATCATTACGCCCACCCTCCCTCGAGACGCCGTGATCCTGTAAGCAACACCGATACGTCACACAATCCGCTCCTTCCTTCCTTGCCCAAGACACTCCGCTCTGTGGAGCAGCACTTCTACCCCCCCTCTTTCACTTCACATCAACATCCATCCCCCCCTCCTCATCCTACTCGTCCTCCTCGTCAGCACCCTCATCCTGCCTCGCAAGCACTGCCGGCATCTTACCCGACATCGCAAAAGCGCCTCCGCCAACAGACATACCCGCCGCACCCCTCTCGACACCCGCGCGCCCCGCGAACAAGCCGGGAAACATGGGTTTGAGCGCGGCGAACCCCGCGCTACGGCGCTCGTGTTGCTGCACCTCGTGGGCGATTTCCTGCACTTCTGACTCGTCGAGCTCGCTGAGTTCGGATTCGTCGTCGGCGTCGTCGGCGGCGTCGTTGGGGTTTTGGAGAGCGTGGTCTGTGTCCGCCTCGCCCTCGGCCTCACCATCGCCCTCGCCATCGCCCTCGCCATCGTGCTCGTGCTCGTGCTCGTTCTCGTCAGCGTCTTGGTCGGCCTCGTTGTCGTGCTCGTGCTCGTGCTCGGTGTCGTGAGCGTGGTCGTTGTTGACGCTCGCGGTTGCCGTGCCGGGCGCGCTGTCGAAGAAGGCGGATGTTGCGAGGAGGGAGGCGCCCAGACCTGCGCTCGCATGAAGCGGCGCAGGCTGATCTGGTCTGTCGGTTGACTGGCGCTGGAAGAGCAAAGGGATGGTGCCGTTGGCCACAGGAGGAGAGCGGATGGGCATCGAGGTACTCTGCTGGGGCGTGCTGGCTGTAGCGGTTTTCTGCACACAGGCCTCGGCTCGTCGCTGGATCTCTCGTTTGCCTACAGCTTTGGCTCTGGGCTTGGGAACCTGCTCGGGTACTGTCGCGGCTTGGGGCAGCGACGGTGGCTGCTGCGGGTGCAGTTGGCTGGGATGGAACATCGTGAATGGCGTGTTGTGGCCGTCAGCTGTGCCATCAACTTGGACTGTCATCATCGACGCAACGGACAGGGGGTTGGCTGACGCTTTTGGAGTGACGGTGCCAGGTTGTACGGCCGGTTGTTGCTGTTCAGACGACAAAGGTGGCAGCGTGGGTCCAACTATAGTGTACAGCATGGCGTAGCTGTCGCCAATCAGGTCGTCGATCATTGTTGGCTTCATGAGGCCGTTGTTGAGCCGCTTGAGCTCGATGGCGTCCCGAAGCACGTCCAGAACGTGATGCTGGGTAGACGGACTCTGACACCATGCCTCCATTCGTGCAGCGAGGGCGCTGAAGTCTTCCTGATTAACCGATTTAAAAGCGGAGTCTTCTTGTCCCTCATTGACGTTGCCCATGCGACGCAGCAGCCTCAGGTAGCGGGTGCAAAGGTCCTTCCATAGCTCGCTGTGCTGGAAGAAGTCTGTCTGTTTGCGGCGCACGCGCCTTGCCAGCGCTTCGAAGTTGGCCTTGTCGGCAGTGAAGTCCAGCAGATCGATGAAGAACTTTGTATAGCGTAGCGTGTACACGAAATGACGGCCTGGTCGCTCGTACTCCGGCTTCCACACCTGGACTGCCATGGTCTTGGTGAAGATCGTTTGGGTGAGTTCGTGTTTGGCAGCGTGCGCCTGGATGAGGTCCTTGTCGCCGTCGGAAAGGATGTAGGCCGATCGTGCTATGATGCGGTGGTGCCAAGAAGACTTATCTGCTTGACGCAATGCTTTGATGAGAGCGAGGACATAGCCTTCCCATTCATCCAGGTTCCCCGGAGCGCCAATGTTCTTCGAGTAAAAGGTGTTGGACAAGAGCTCGGCGCCTTTGGTCTGATCAATGGCTCCGCGCTTAACGAGCTTGTGCACGATCGAGACCAGCTTGTAGTGCGGCTCAAGTATGGGTTCGCCACTTCTGCCCTTCTTGTCCGGCAGCCTGTGGATAGCGCCGACAGCAGGGTTGATCACATCTTCCCAGCTTGGACCGCGTTCCTCCGGCGGTGCAAGGCCCGAAGAGACTGCTTTGATGTAAACGTCCTGGTTTGCAGCCCACATCTTCCAGAGGCCCTTTGCTAGCATGTAGTGATTCCACCACTTGTCTGGATTGTTCCTGATGGCTCGCCTGTACAGCGAGCTGGCAAATTTCCATGCGTTGTACGGCTGCAGCGCGGCGAATGGTACATCGCGTTGTACGCCTGGCAGGCCCGGCAGGTTGACGAAGCGTCTCTCGCTGTCCCGAATTTGAAAGGCTTCCATGCCGAAAGGCTCCCGAGACGATGCATAGATGCGGTCGCCAAACTCAGTGTACATCTGCGCTATCTGAGCTTGCTCTTGGGACAAAGCGTCAGCTTCACGCATAGAGCATGCGACTGCCATAGTGTAGCAGTTGATCGCACCGCGTTGGAGGTTCGATAGCTCGATCGTGTTGCTGTTCATCTTGTCCGCATTCCAAGACACGGCTTCTTCGAGCTGCGTATCATACACCTGAGCAATACGATACCAAGTCTCCCACCGTTCGGCAGAGTACTCCAAGTCTTGTAGATAAAAGGCCTGCGCGTAGTTGAGATCCTCTGTGGGTCCTTGAGTCATGCGCTTCTGTGATCGGAATTTGCTAAGAGCGATGTTGCCCATGAGGAAAAACCAGCCCTTTGACGCAGCAAGAGCTTCTTCGTCAGGGATGGTTCGATTGACGAGCGAGCCAACGCCTTTGAGGCAGTTGAAGAGCGTCGTGGGATGTATGGGCGACTTGAAGAACGAAGAGATGGCTTTGCGGTTGAATGCAACATCGTCGTGCTGCTTGGGCCGCCCCAATGCTGCGTGAACCTTTTCAATAGAGGCTCTCAGCTCTTGCTTAGTCTTGGGTAGATCTTTCAGATCCACCTTGGCGGCTTGCGACATGACAAAGGGAAGGAGGCTCAAGGCAGCCTTCTTGTCCAGGGTGTCGGGTACCGATGAGAAGTCATGGCAGTCGAGAGGCTCGATGAACAGCTTGAGACCGTAGAGATCGTGCAGTACTTGGCAAAACTCGAGATCGCGGCTGTTAGCATCGATGATATCGTCCAAGCGCAGAATCTCATCCTTCGTCATCCGCAGGAATTGGCGTCCGGACTGGTGGCAGAAGCCACGAATTCCAGTAGCATGGTGAACGTGTCGTAGAAACTCGAACAGATCGTCAGACGGTGTGGGAAAGTGAGCAGCATCCTGTGACAGCCCTTCCCTGAACAAGTAGTATTGCAAGGTCCAGAGCCGCAATTGGATGTCGTCAAGCCTGGTGGACATGTTGACAAACGCTTGACCAGGCAGTCCTTCAATTCTGGGCATTGGGGTTTTCCCAATGCGGATCAAATCCCGGAACATGTTGGCGGCTGAGAGGATGTGCAGCAGTTTCGCAACCGCCGACATTGATGACTGAACATGCTCGAAGGACAAGCAATCGAACGCTGCCGTCTCTCCGCGCATGATCTGCAGAATCTTGACAATCATCTCGTCGATGACCCGGAAGCGGGTCAAGAGCTTGACCTGGCGCTCAGCCAGCGACAAGTCCTGGAAATTGTTGGTCTCGAAATCGTCGACGAACGCCTCGATGCTTCTGAGATAGCAGGACAGCACCTTTGGAGGATACTCAATGGCATCGTATGCTTCACGAAGCCTCTGCCATAGCGAAAGACGGACGTTGACGCTAGCCGAGTCGAGGAACTTGCGCATCTCGAGAATGGGAGAGGGTCGGGCTTGTTCAAGCTCTGCTTGCGACCCTAGGTCGGAGGCACGGTCTGAAGCGTCAGGCGATGCGCGCCGTTGCGAGACCGCCTCTTGGCCGGTTGGAGGGCTTTCTGTTGCCTCGGCTATATCGCTCTGCTCCAAGATGGGCTCCAGGCTCTCAATGACCGTTACGGGGTCCTTCTCATCGTGGTCGAAGACCTTCAGAAAAAAGTCCTTCATGCTGATGCGCACAAGCTCACGATCAAGGGCAGCTACAGATAGCTCGGGCATGACAGCGTTGTTCTGCACCTGGATCGTGCGACCGTCTAGCGCAACGAATATAGCCTTTAGTTCTGCAATGGCAGACAGTACATGCTCAGGCGCAATGTCGTCTTTGACGCTCATGTGGAACACCGACGCCCAGATATGCCGGAGGGACAAGTCGTCCATGCCGACGTTTGAGCTGCAGCAAGAGCGGAGTTGTATGGCGTCCCGTGCCAGGGCAGACCAGCGCTCAAGTCGGTCGCTCTGCAAAGTTTTGGTCGATCCATCTACTTGGCTGTGCGGATGCTTGATCAGCGAGTAGATATCGAGGTGGAGCTCAAACAAAGTCTGGACAATCTCGATCTGAGACTGATCGAATTCGGACAGCGCGAGGGTTTGTGACTGGAGGCGAGCCTTCAAGATGCGGTCGTCCAGATCGCTTATGCGCATCTGCATGCGCTCGAGTATGTACTCGTCAACGTGCACAATGGCCTGGACGACGTTTCGCTTGAGGTCCTCGGCCCACTTGAAGCCCAGATAGCTTGCCGGTGCGTCGTGCGACGATGCCTGCCCTGCGAGAGAGCCTCGAGACAGCAGTACCTCGACCCAGGCAAACACAACCTCTTTGATGGAGAACCAGCTCTCATTGACGCTCTGCGCGAACGCACTCAAGCCCTGATCTTGCAGCACTGGCTTGGGCGACGATTGGCCGGCACCTGACTTTGCGTAGCCCAGGAACGCATTGAGACCAGCCTCCCTTGTTAGACCGACCAAGTCGAACGACTCGGTGCTCAGTAGGACTTGCGCAGCACTGCTGTTGCCGTTCTGCAGAGCCATGTACATGTCGCACGCAGCCTTGTCACCGGTCTTGGTAGCGGTGGATCCCGGAAGGGCAAGCAAAAGGGCTCGTAGCTCATTGGGCTGCGCAAGGCCTTTGACGCTCAGGCGAGTATAGATGTCATTGACAATCTCGTACAAGCATTGGTCGGCGTGAGCGAATGGCTCCAGTTGTCTCTCAAGCAGACTGCTCGCATCCTGTACGACTGTCTCACCAGCTTGCCCGGTTGCTGTGTTGCGAGTACGTACACGCTTCGCACGGCCGCCATCTGCAGTCTCCGGAAGGCCGGCGGAATCTGTCGATCGTTTGCGCGAAGGGGCTGGAGCGACGTCGGTGACTGCCGAGACCTCTGCGTCTTGAGCGTTGTCTTTTCGAGCAGCTCCAGCATTGGCTTCTCGAGCAGCTCCAGCATTGTCTTCCCGACCAGCTCCAGCGTTGGCTTCCTCCTTTGTGGGCGCTTCTGCCTCGACAGCAGGACGGGACGGCTCCACAATCCGAGGCGGTGAAGGCTGAACATCCATGAGCTCTTCTGCAGCTGGGACAGGCGACGTCTCGGCGTCGGCGTCGACGTCGACGTCGACGTCGACGGGCTCTGGCGATTCGCACTCGGCAGGAATGATCAGTTGCACACGAGCGCCGGGCGCGGTGTCGGGCACGAGGCCCCCTCGCTCAGCCAAGAGGTGCTGGAGTATCGACTCTCCAACACTCGACCAGTCCCACTTTGGCGGTGCAAGGCCAACGGCGCCAGGCGCTGGCTCGACAGCGCGCCTGCTGCTGATCTCGGCCACGTCTGCGGGCAGTGGCGCAAACGGATAGGGGTTCAGGCGCTTCGTGAGGGACTTGGACAGCGTCTTGGGCTTCATCATGGACAGAGGCGGCTGCATCAAGGAGACATTGTCCTGGAGCTTTCCCACCAGCTGGCGCAGCTGCTGGCCAGCCAGACCCTCCTCGAGGCCGGGCAGACGCAGCAGGCTTTCCCACAGCTCGTCGTTGCCGTCCATGACTGCCTCGAGACAGAAGCGGGCCAGACGCCTGCTGCCCAGCATGGCGGCCACCGAGGCAGCGCGCAGCCACAGGTCGAGGTCGGTGTCCTCCTTGTCCAGGGCCTCGGCGAAGTAGCCGAGGGCGGCCCTCAGGTTGTTCCCGCCGTCGACGCCTGCGATGGGGCCGTGCTGGGCGACCCAGTGCTGCATCAGCTCCAGCAGAAACTGGCCGTGGTTCTTGTAGGAGAGATGCAGGATCTGCGGGAGCGTGTTCGGCGCGCTGTCGGCCGCGCCGACCAGCTGCGCGGGCCCGGCCTCGAAGTCGTCCTCCAGGATGGACTCGAAGACCAGGCTGTCGCCGAAGACGTCATGGCGCTTGTACTCGGACAGCGACTCGTTGTACTTGAAAATGTCCGAGTCGAAGAGCTCCTTGTACGCGGCGGCCGTCTTGAGGAACGACGGCGGGCCCTCGGAGTGGAGCTTGAGGGCCGTCTGGTAGAGGCGGAGGGCCTCTTCGATCTGGATCTCCTGCGTGTCGTCGACGTCGTCGTCGGGGTCGTGGTCCGACTCGACGTTGAGGGCGTGCCATGCAGAGGCCTTGGAGGCCTTGGAGGCCTTGGAGGCCATGGTGGCTGGGTTCGCGGCGGTCCTGGCCGGATTCGCGGCGGTCCTGGCTGGATTCGCGGCGGGCCTGGCTGGGTTCGCGGCGGTCCTGGCCGGGTTCACGGCGGTCCTGGCGGTCCTGGCGGTCCTGGCGGTCCTGGCGGGGGGGACATTGGGTGCAAGCTCGTGCACAGTAAGCAATGCGGCGGCCTGAATGACGGGCGGCGCGTCGCGTCGCGTCGCTTCGACCGTCGACAGACACCTAGATAGATGCTCGCTTGGCGGCCAGCCCTACCCAAGCACCTTTCGTACGCGGCCACGAGTGCGCGTCGACACGGCACCCTCCCGCTCGCTCGCCCTCGCAGCCAGCCCGCGACTCCCTCCGGGCCTCACTGCACCGCTTCGGACCCCTTTGGGCCTCACTCCACCTCCGCGCACCCGAGTCCTGCGCTGTGCCCGCTCGGCGCCCCTTGAGCCGCCATGGTCGCATCCCCGGCGGTGCCAGAGTACGCGCGCATCCCCGGCGTTTCCTGCTCGCCGCTCGCCGCTCGCAGCTCCCAACTGACGCCCCCGCCAGAATCTACGAGGACGAGCTGCACTCGGCCATCGAGGCGCGCTCCGAGTCGCTCCAGACGCTGCGCGAGCTCGGCCCGCCCGACCTGGTCCATCTGATCAAGCAGCCCGTCAAGTCGCCCACGAAGCAGCTCGGCGTCTACCATCACGTGAGCGGCATCGACGCCTCGTCGTCGGCCAGCCTGGCCGCCTACATCAACACGCTCACCTACTCGCCGCACGACAAGCAGACCAAGGTGGTGTCGGGCCTGTACTGGTGCGCCGCCCGTCGTCTGCCACAGGTGCCCGCCGCTCGCTGACCACCCGACAGCTGCTACAATGCCTTCTCCCGCCTCGACATGCGCGTGCAGGTCTACATCCCCGGCACCGTCGAGAGCTACTGCATCGACGAGCGCGGCGACAAGCGCGTCGCCACCGACGAGCTGTGGCTCGAGACGTACCTGTGCAGCGTCCTGCGCGCATACTCGTACGCCGACGACGGCTCGGGCGACACCATCAAGAAGATCATTGGCGTGCGCCGCTTCAACCCGGTCACGAGCACCGAGAGCGAGCACAAGTTTCTCGACGCAGCAGAGCGGCTGTTCTTTAGCGGTAGGGCTCGCCGCGCACACCCCGCGCACACCCCGCGCACACTCTACGCACACTCTACGCACACTCTACGCACACTCTACGCACACTCCGCGTACACTCTACGCACACTCTACGCACACTCTACGCACACTCCACACACACTCCACGCACACTCCACGCACACTCCACACGCACTCCACACACTCCACACACTCCACGCACACTCTACACACACTCCACACGCACTCCACACACACTCTACACACACACTCCACACACTCCACACGCACTCCACGCACACTCCACACACTCCACGCGTCAGCTGGCTGATCTTGCACAGGCTGGCAACTGGGCTCTGACCCGGAGATCCAGGTCCCCAACCTCGTCTCGAACCACCTGACGACTGGTCTCCTCAGCTACATCCACACCACGGGCCGATATGCGTCTGGCATCAACCTCTTCGAGAAGCTGCGCACCCGCGACCCCGAGATCTCGTCCCTCCTGGCCCGCGTGTACATACAGGCCGACGAGGAGGTCAAGGCAGTGCAGCTGCTGCACGACGTGATCCAGGAGCTGCCCATGGACTACTCGCTGCTCGACTGCCAGGCCGACTTTTGCAACACCAAGGGGCGGGGCGACCTTGCGCTGGAGATTGCAAAGCGGAGCGTCGTGTCTGCACCCAGCGAGTTTGGCACGTGGGCCCGGCTGTCAGACATCTACGTCAGCCTGGAGCAATGGGACCTGGCTCTGCTTACGCTCAACTCGTGTCCCATGTTCACGTACCAGGACAAGGATGCACCGCGCATGCCGGAGCCCCAAAAGGTCTTCCTGCCCATCATGCCGGAAGCCCTGTGCGACGAGATCGAGGACAGCAACCTCGACGACATGGACATGGTCCACCCTACGTTGCGCAAGCTCCACGCAGCCGGTTTCAAAGGCACGTTCCTAAAGGCATACATGATCCTGACAGAGGTCACCAAGAAGATTGGCTGGGATCAGCTGTTGAAGATACGCTCCCAGGTCTTCGTCATGGAAGAGGAGTACCGCCACGAGAAGCAAAACGTCCCACACTCACACTCGCGCAGCGCCAGCACCACCGCACTTCGCTCGCCTTCGCCATCCGTGCACGCATCGCCGCCCGTGCACGCATCGCCGCCCGTGCACGCATCGCCATCCCTACACGCATCGCCAAACCCCGAGGTCAACGGCCATGGCGGCAGCGACGCGACCGAGGCAAACGGGGAGCCATCTGCAGAGGCAGCCGTCGAGGACTCACTGCAGGAGCCCGGCCACACCGTCGCCGCCGAAGTCGTAAAGGCCGGCAGCGAAGACCCCCATGCCACCGAGACCAACGGCAGCCCGTCGCAGCCCAACTACACGCAGTTCCAGAACAAGCGTCTGTGCGAGCGCTGGCTCGACAACCTGTTCATGGTGCTCTACGAAGACCTGCGCGTCTACACCATCTGGCGCACCGAAATGGCGCAGTACAGGCAACAGCAGCTGCTGTACAAGAAGAGCGCAGAGGAGTGGGAGATTCTCGGCGAGCTGGCCGAGCGCCTGCACCACACCGACGAGGCCGTCGAGGCGTACGAGAACTGTCTGCAGATCAAGTTCTCGCCCAAGGCGATGAAGGGCGTGCTGAAGCTCGGCCACGACAAGAGGAACACGCGCGACGTCACCGCCGCGCTCATCAGACTCGTCACCTGGCAGTACCGCTGGTACTCGGAGGTAAGCCATCAATCACTTTCCCCTCCTTGCCCGTCGACTTTGTCCCCGATATACCGGACTGAGCACCGGGCTGAGCACCGGGCTGAACACTGGACTGAACACCGGGCTGAACACCGGGCTGAACACCAGACTAAACACCAGACTGAATACCAGACTAAACACCAGACTAAACACCAGGCTAAACACCAGACTATACACCAGACTAAACACCAGACCAAACACCAGACCAAACACCAGACTGAATACCAGACTAAACACCAGCTAAACACCAGACTGACTTTACCGCCTCCCTCCTCCCCTGCTCGTCGACTTTGTCATTGGAATGCGAAACTGACGGAACTAGTTCTCCCCCGCCCTCCTCTACACGATCCGCAAACTCATCGAGGAAGAAGGCGCCGTCAAAATACGCAGCATCATCCAGGGCACCAGCTTGCCCCAGCACGTCCTCGACCTCACACACCAGTACGCTGCGCTGTGCGCGGCCTTTAGAAGCAGCGGCAGCGACGGCTAGGCGCTGCTGTGACGGCGACCCAGCCTGGGGTGCTGGTGAGGCGTGGGTGGCGTTCTGGGAGCAGCGGAGCGGGTTTTGCATCGATAGCGGGTCAGTGTGGTGATGGACATGGAAGAGAGATGATGCTTGTCGACTTTCCGCTCGCGAGGATCGTGTTTTTCGATGCAAGCCTCGCGTGGTTCGAGGAGCATGTACGAGTTGTCGTGCGGAAATAAACGTTTAATGTTGCAATATGGAGCGTCACAATGATATTGATTGATGCCGTGCATCCCACCTCGTCAACGCTGGGCAAGTGAGAACACGGCTTGTGTGCGGAGGAACGTGCTTGGTCGTCGTGTAGGTTGGCAGCGTGAGCATGTGAATGGTTCTAGTCGGGAAGTGCTGCTGACGTGTTTTGTTTTCTCATCAATGATGTGCACCGGTCTTCTGCTGCTGCGGTATACTGCCATCGTCTACGGTTGTCTACTACAGCCGCTGTATACTGCCATCGTCTACGGTCGTCGTCTACAGCCGTTGTATACTGCCATCGTCTACGGTTGTCTACTACAGCCGCTGTATACTGCCATCGTCTACGGTCGTCGTCTACAGCCGTTGTATACTGCCATCGTCTACGGTTGTCTACTACAGCCGCTGTATACTGCCATCGTCTACGGCCGTCGTCTACAGGTCGTCGCCTACAGTGTCTTCACAGTGTCGCATGCGGTTCAACAAGGAGGCATCATCAACGGATTCACAACAGGCAAACGCCAGACGACGGTATTGGCGCACAAACGGCGCGAGTCTTGTGGGACTGTCAGCACTTCTGCGGCGTTAGCAGGCACCGGTGGACGCGGTGAAATGGGGTATATCTGCACACGTGCTGTCCATCATCCGCAGCGTGTCTTGCAATCTTTGGATTCGTTTTATCGTCACACGGACTCCCGTCAGAAACCGAGTCGGGCCCATGCGCCTTCACACAATCACCTGCCCAGCGCGCGCGCATCCATACTGAAAGCCCATGCGCACCGCTGCAAACTCCTCGCCACCAGATCGCAGATGATTCCAAGTCCGAAGTCGAGACTTTTGTGAGCCGCCAAGCATTCTCCGCTGCGGGAGAGTAGCTTAACGGTAGGACTTCTGGTAACGGGCGCGGGCACCGGGACCGCCGAACTTCTTGGGCTCGCACCGTCTGTTGTCGGCGACGAGGAGTGTGCGGTCGTACTGGACGAGGGCCTGCTTGAGCTGGTTCTTCGAGTGCTCGTCGACGTACTTCTGGTAGTAGGCGACGATGGACTTGGCGATGGCCTGGCGGATGGCGTAGATCTGCGAGGTGTGACCACCACCGGAGACGCGGACGCGGATGTCGACGTCGGCTGCGCGCTGTTAGTCTTCTGTTTCCCTGCCGTGCTGCGGGTGCGCCCGGTGTCTGGCGGTGAGCCGTGGGTTTTTGTGCGTACCGAACTTGTCGAGGCCGAGGATCAGGACGGGCTCGTAGACCTTGAAGCGGAGGATCTCGGGCTGGACGAGGGAAAGAGGCTTTCCGTTGACCTTGATGAGGCCCTTGCCGGCCTGTGGGAAGTTTCATAAGCATGCTGTCTTTGGAGTCTTGGATGCGCGCGATCGTGGCGGTGCGGGCGTACCTTGCAGTGGGCGACAGCGGTCGCGGTCCTCTTCTTGCCGAAGCACTGAACGGATTGGGAGGCCATTTTGAACGACTGGGGTTAGTACGTGCGAGGTCGTGAGAGATGCGGGCGAAGTCGTGCTTGAGGTTTTGCAAATGTTGGCGAGTGTCGATGGGCTGTCGAAAATGGGGTGTGGGTGCTAGCCGGATATGGCGTAGCCTCCACCCACTTCGCCTCCAGCGCCACATCCCCAAGGCGAACACCATCATGACCGTCATCAGATGCCTTTGTTCCTTCATTGGCAGGTCTTTTGTATTGGTTCCAAATTATGGATTAGCACTGTCACTCTCAAGCTCACACTCTCCCACACTGTTTGTTTACAATGCCACACGATCTCTACGTCTTTGGCAGCAACGGCGAAGGCCAGTTGGGCGAAGGTATCCCTGTTGCAGACATTGTAAGCAAGCCGATAAAGCTTCCACGGACACAATTCATCGGAGATATCAAGGACATCAAGTGTGGCGACAATCATTCGCTACTTCTTCTCGCCGACAACTCGGTTTCTGGGATCGGACGGAACAATGTCGGCCAGATGCTCCCTGACTGTGATAGACCGCCCAGGCTCACGCGATTTGAGGAACTGCACAACAACGTATCCTTTTGTGCAGCTACTTGTGAATCATCGGCTATCATCAACTGTGTAATGGGCTCCCCCAGTGTTGTCCTCACCAAGGGGCGCGGGCAATGGGGCGAGCTGGGACGCGGAGACGAGTGTGACATGTCTGAGTACAAGTACTTCGAACCTCACTACTTGAGATCAAGCTTGCCAGGCATGACGATTGATTTTGCTGCCGGTGTATGGCACTATGTTGCCCTTCAGGACGACGGCTCTGTGTACGGCTGGGGCAAAGCGCGTCTCGGGCAGCTGGGCGATGCTCTTTCAAACAAAGTCAACATTCCGACTAGAATCGACAACATCCCCTTTCAGCCACTGAGAGTGGTTTGCGGCAAGGACTTCACTTATCTGGTTGGCGACACGTCCACGGGTGAGCACAAGATATTGGGCAAGGATAAATTCAACATTCTTTCGGCCATGCCACCAGACGTAAAAGGCTACAAAGACATTGCAGCGACATGGCATGCTATTTTCGTTCTGTTCGATGATGGACGCCTCACAGCATGGGGCAAGGAGAATCAGTGGAAGCTCCTTCCCGCAGACCTGCCACCCATCGAAAGCATCGCTGTTGGTACCGATCATATCCTAGCGCTCACCAAGGATGGCAAGCTTATATCATGGGGCTGGGCCAAGCACGGCAACTGCGGTGACCTTTCCAATATCCGAGAAGAGATCAAGAATGACATGATTAGTGGGTTCTGGAACGACATTGATATACCTGGCAAGATCGCGAAGATTGCCGCCGGATACTGCACAAGCTTCGTCATCACTGAAGTGGAAGACGAGCCGAGCCCGACAAAGAAGCTAGAGACCATGAAGTGAGGAACAAGAAAGCACATGTCTAGCAATGCAACGCGTATTGCAGGTGGGTGGGTATCTCATACTCCTCGCTATGCAAATCCGTCTACTAACACTGTATCTAGAAGCGAACTATAGGTGTATGGGCCAGTCCAAAGGATCTTGACCTGACCGCCGTCTTCCAGGCTTCGCATCTACGGGTCAAGGGGCCGGACTCAATCGAACGTCAGACCCGCCGGGAACCGATGCTTGTCCCGCGCACGCGTCACCTTCCCATCACTCTCCCACTCGATCTGGTACCGCCACCACTTGTGATAGTTCCACACCTCCCACCTCAGCAAGAAATGCGCAAGATCACGTCCTACATACAGCGCGAACTCCTCGTCGTCGGGCTTGACATCCCAGCCCGTCCCATCCGCCTCGAAACGGTCGTATAGCACGCCCTCTTGTCCGACCGGAGTCGTGCCCTGCGATACTGAGGCCCAGGTCTCAGACCATGCCCCGTCGCTATCGATTGTGGAACGTACCAGGAAACCCCACTGGTACATGGTGCCGAAGTTGTAGTAGTTGCCGACCACGACTTCCTTTCCCTCGCGGCGGATCAAGACGCAGTTGTTGTTGCGCCGCCACTCGAACACTTCGATCTCGGGGTCGAGGAACTCTCGAAGACACTCCTCATTTGTGTACGCTAGTACTGTGGCTATGGCATCGCAAAGCCGCGGGCGAGCGGCCTTCATGACGGGATCGGTGCTGGAGGTGTATGCCTTGGCGTCAAGGACGTGCATGTGACGCGCCGGTGCTCTTTTGGAAAGCAGTGTGTAGTCCTCGCGCAGGGGGGCGATTATCGTATCGTGCAGGTCTCGACCGCAGGGGTTGCCGCAGTCCATGTCCTCGAGTTCGAAGATCATCTGTTTCTCTTCGTCATCTGTACGAACATGCTGCCCAAGCGGTGTGTCCACAGCTTCGGCGATCTGCTCAGCGACCGATAACTCCGGTTCCTCGAGCCTTATGAAAGTGCTTCGCTTTGTTGTCGCATTGATTCGAACGGTGTCTAATTCTGCGCGCGCCTCCACAGCGGTGGGCCACCGATCAAATTCCTCCTCTTCAGCATCCCATATGCTCTTCGGTGGTGGGGCGTCTCTCGGCAGCAGTTTCGGTGAGACAGTCATGGAGAACTGGCCGTTGCTTAGTTTCCTTACCCAGGGAAGGTGCGTTTCTTGTGACGGGGAGCCAAAGAGTGAGCGAGGGTCACGGGTGGGGGACTGCAGAGGCGAGATGAGCGGCCGGGTCCTGACGCCTTCACCTTGGTTTGCTGGCGCGATGTCTGGTGACGCAATATTGTTTGGCAAGCTATCATCGTTAAGCCGCTGGGCACTTGGGTCCGAGCCTTGCTGGCGCTGCACTTCGAAGACGTCGACTTCGTCATCTGGGCTTCGAGACCAACGCTCTGCTGACTCTGGCTTTGCCCGAATTGTTGATTGGGGGTCGAGATCGTCGTCTTCATCCCACAGCCCGGAGTTACACTGAATCTCCACTTGCAACTGTTTGTTTGCACGTCGGAGTGTCTGCAACCCATTCGAGGTGACCCGGTCTGCTGTGCTAGTTCGCGGTGCTCGCTGGAAAGTCAATTTTGGCGACGTTGGTGATGGGGGCTCAAGTTCGAAGGGATCTGGCGCCATCCATGACATGGTAACTTTTGGAGGCGACAAGAGGGTGTTGAAAAGTTTGGTGGTGTTGTAGTGCCTTGATGTTTGTGGCGGAAGAGCCGAAATTGGTCTGATGCAGCCCTGAGGCTGCTGGGAGAGCAACATTGTGTAGCGATCCGTGCACTGGCGCTGGAGAAGGCGAGAGTTGCAGCCTGGGTGTTCGAGCACTGTGCGCCGACTATGGAGCCGAGAAGTGAAGGGGCGACTTGAAGGTCGGATGGTTTACACCCCAATGTCGAGTACGATCACCTTGAGGAGTACATTACTGAGGCTGACTTATAGCACATATCTTTTTGAAGGCATGTTATTCACAGAAGGCATTGAAAGGAGAGAAGCAAAACAATAACCAAACACGCTGAAATGAACTGCAAATCTGAGCAGTCTGCACAGCGGCCCAACTCTTAAAGAGATCATCAACGACTAGACCACGACATGTGCACACATTGCTCGTGGATCGCTCGGACCGCATATACGGCACTCTGACACGTCTACAAGGGTGAAGTACAAGTCACATGCTTGTACAACCGCGTTTCGCGCAGCGCTAGCCGGGATGCATACCACGTGCGCGAATGAGCTCTCTCCACCTACACTTTTCAGAATCTTCAGCAGCAGACCAAGGAGGACCATACCGAGGATGAAAGCGAGACCAAAGCACTATTTTCGACACAGAGAGAGTCATCCAGCCGCAAGGGCGTCATGTGCGAGGACGGCAGTCACAGGCTAGTGTCATCGGCATGGTAGAGACATCGTGCGCTGCACGCGAGCGAGCGTGTCGTAGTCGATGCCTGGTCTTACTGCAGGGGCGGATGCGGGTGATATATGCATGTTGCACTCGAAAGGGTTTTGTTCCGGAAGTTGCGCAAGATGGCTGACGTCACGCGGGGAAGTGCAGGTGCAGGCACAGCCTCATCCCTTATTGCAACCATCAATACTAACCGCCTACATTTGACTGACGGCACATCAAACCATTACTTGACTTTGTGGGATTTTGGTTTATGGATAATTGTTCCATATATCGGCAGAACCGTCAGAAGTGGTATCATCCTTCTACTGGCACCACTTAGCCTTGTATCTGAGGAACTTGGACTCGTTGAACTCCAGCCTTGTGGACCCTCAGATACCATACGATGCACGCGAGACAAATTTCCCATGGACATTATATTTCCTCCGTATGCTGCCTTATCGTACAGATGGGGTGCGAAGACTCCGCAGAGGGCCATCAAGCTGAATGACTTCTATTTCGAAATTGGACATGACCTTTGGACATTCCTACGTTGGGTGTATCTACAAGGTCAACACAAGGTATTCTGGATTGACGCTGTGTGCATTAATTGATCGGACACTAAGGAGCGAGACCATCAAGTTCAGATGAGGCGTCGAATATACAACGATGCCGAGTCAGTCTCGATTCGTCGCTATGAAGTGCTAAGCGAAACGAGAGCCTTGAGAGCTCAAGATGCCCGTGCAAGGAATATTTGTGATACATGCCAGGAAAAGCTTTACTAGCCTGGTGCGAAGACGGACATTGGCGTCGCATCTGGATCATCCAGGCAATAGTAACACCGCTCAGATACACTACGGATCCAGATCGATTGACTGGCACAAGCTCGAAGCGCCCGTCCTTGACGCGCACGCCATATTCAATCATGGTCATCCGGAGCACACTTTTTACTTAGACGCTGTCTCTGGGAACCTGGCAATCAGAATGGCAAGATTCAGAGGCCTTAAAGAGGATGCGCATCTTCACTGGTCTCATTGATATCGAAATTTCAATCGCACCACGCTAACGATCTCCGCGAGAAGATATATTTTGTCCACGGTCTGTCGACCGATAGTCCAGACATGATTTTTGACTATCGCCTGTCTGCACAGAGACTGTGCAAGCACATTCTGCACCTAGTCGGCCGTTCTCTATCTGTCCAAGATGGCTGGGTACCTATAGAACTGGAGCATTCTGGTCTGGTTGTAGCACACATTCTCAAATTCTATTAATCCACGGAAATGCTGTTACGAACTTTCGGGAACGTACTGAAAGATATACAAAGCTCATCCATTCAATTGCTATCTAACTTCGGAAATACAGTCCCGCATCCTCAAACCACCAGCGCACAGCCCTAGAATGGACCGCCCTCCATGTGATTTCATTGCAACACGGTTGTTTCTATTCGTTGAACGATTCGCTGTACCTTTGGATATTTTTTGACATCAACACAAAACGCTTCAGACTCATTTCGCACATGAGACTTGGCACACGCTATTATGGTCTGGCCATTTGGCGAGGGGACTGCAATATTCTGGTGGTATCCCACGTCTTCCATCTGTATACTGAAGTGACATGATTCAGTGTGGCTTTTCCACGATGTCCGAGCTGGGTGGACCTTCCAAGCTGAAATGGGAAGACGGGGTCTGCGCAAAGCTCGACGCGGTTGCGCCTCTCGCAAAATGGACAACACCCGGGCTTCTGTGCGGTTCACAATGGGAAGAGTCGGTGATATCCAGTGGTCTATGGAGGATTTATTCACATCTGCAGGCTTCGATGACCATAAAGATGCAAGCATGGCGCAGCGGCAGATCGACTGGGCCAACGTATCTACTGCCTTCCAGACTCTGGACTTGGCAAAGAAGACACCGAATACGCATGTAGCGCTTGGATGAATCAACCATTTGATACCGGTGTTGAGAGCTTTAGTTGGCTAAGACCGTACCTGGAAAGATGTTGTAGGAGATTTCATTCTCCACCCTTCCCCTTCACGCTTCTTCATATCTAAGTGAGCAAATGTAAACGTGACTCTACTCAAGACAGAGCAGATGGCTCTAACAAAGCAAACCCCACCGTCAATCAAGCCAAGGAGGTAGCACACGCCTAGCATGCCGTGCTCCACCGAGCGCTTGGTTATTTCTCTGCCACGCAGTGTCCAAGCGAATGTTGGAATTGAAAGCACACACACAGTCAAGCGAATAGTCACGCCCAAGCAAGAGAACAAACTGTTGTATGCGATATGTGCATTACTAACTATTTGTCTGAACTATGTAAAAGCCGGTCTAGCCAGCATATAGTGCGCGCCCTGTAAATGCTAAACAAAACTCCTATGCAATGCGTTGTAAATGATCCACGCCGTTAATGCATTTCAGCTGGCCGGCAGCCGGGTATATTATCGTAACTCATCTTCCTTTTTCAATCGTAAGATCATCAAACCATGAAGCATCAGTCATATCCACTCAGATCTCATCGTGTCCTAACCAACAGACTTGCCTCGACGGCCTTTCCCGCACTCGCGCTTGCTCAGCGGCTCGTCTGGGAATACCCACCCGCGCACACGCTTCGCCTCGCGCTTCTCACCAAGCTGTGGCTTGGGAATCCACGCATCCTTCTCGAGGTGGTTTTGCCTTGTCAGCGCCGCAGGGCCGCCGACCTCCATGCGCCAGGTGCCCATGCCCTCGAACGGGTTCTCCTTGGCCAGCATGTGGAGGTACCACAGCGCGAGGGAGGCAGTGAGCTGCACATCGCCGGCAGCAGACATGCCAGACGCAGACAGCGAGATAGGAGCCGAGAGCTCCAGGTACCCAAAGATAGGCATGCCGGATGCGGCGTTGAAGGTGGTGGGGTCTGGGGTCGACGAGTCGCCGCCTGCGCGGACGCACAGGAGCTCGATCTCGGTCATGATGAAGCCGTAGCGGCAGCCGTGCTCGCGCATGACGCGCTGGAGGTGAGCGAGGCCCTGGAGGTAGAGGACCTGCTTGGGTGCGGACTCGCTGCGCATGCCCGTGTTCCAGTTGTCGTAGCACTTGACAAGACCGACGACACGACCGCGAGCATCGCCGAAGAGGGTCTTCTCGAAGTCGGAGGGGTAGCTCGAGACGAACTGTGGCTGTTCGCGGGCACCGGCAGCGGACTTGATGGCGCGCATCTGCATGTGGCTGTTGCCCTGGGCGATCTTGAGAGCTGCATTGACCTTGTTGGCGTAGTGGTTGGTGCAGATGTCGTGGAGAGAATTCTCGTTCTCAGGCTGCATGTTCTGGCGGATGGGCTGGGGAAGGTAGGACTGAGAGACAGGGACCTCAAGGAGGGGGAGAATGGAGGGGATCTCCTTGATGGCAGCGATGTTGAAGTCTTCCCAGCTGCGAAGGTTGCGGACATCCCACCAGAAGTGATTGTGGATACCACGGGGAGCGGCAGTAACGCGACGGACCAGAGCCGGGGAAGGGTTGGGGCCGCTCAGGTACTCGAGCAGAGATGATGTGGCAACGGGCTGGTAGGCATCGAAGCTGGACTGCCCGGTGTAGGTGGGGTACTGGACAGCAGGGGCAGGCTCGAAGTCCAGAAGAGGGAAGTCGAGTGACGTGGCAGTGAAGCTAGGAGGCTGCTGTACCTGAGAGTAGTCGACGGGGCTTGTGATGTAGGTCGACTGAGGCGCGGTCGGGGCGGTCACGTAGTTGGGGATATTGCGGTAGGTGGGGAAGCCATAGCGGCTGATGGTGGACTCATCAATGCTCTGGACAGAGGTAGACCTCACGTGACGTGGAGCATTGAGAGAGCTTGAGCGGGAGTGAGAGTGATGAGAAGGAGGAGCGTACGACGACGCTCGGCGGCCCTCAGATGGTGTGAATGTGATGGGGGAGTTGAGCATAGACAGCCCGTTGAAGTCGCAAGAGCCGTTGGAGACAGGCGAAATCAAGCTATTGTTGGTGTATGGGCTTGACTCACGGTACGACTGAGAGACGGGTCGTGCGTAAGGGCTGTAGCCATAGCTGACGCTGGAGGCAGCAGACGTCGTCCTGCGATGTCTGATGGGCCCAGCGGTAGGCTCGGCTACCTGATCTTGAGTGCGGACCTTGGGGAGAAGGGTAGGTCCAAGCTGGCGCACAGGCGATCGTGGAGGTGTAGGAGCCACATTCGGTGCGGGTGAAGACTCTTGCGAGTAGTATGTGACATCTGATCCAACACTACCGGGAATGTAGTTGTACTGCGTAGCAGGCGGCGTTGAGTGGCGGCTGTACATTTTGATGATGTGAATAGCTCCAGAGCTATTGAATGTTTGGACAGGAAGATACAATTATCGAGTAACGATTAATGAGGAGAACCAGCTCCAGAATGTCTAAGACAAGAAAGAAAGAGGGGAGAGGGAGATGTCTCGAGCCGGTGGGCAGTGCTCGCAAGTCTTCGATATGATGTTCGATGTGATGGTGGTGGTTGGGCGGCGGAGCATGTTGTACTTATTCCTTTCGCAAACCGAGACCTACGAACCAGTGCTCACGGCGCAAGAGCACATCTGAAACATGATCCACCCGCCCCGGGATCCTGGACTGAGATCTCGACAGGCGGTCTGGTGGCAGTCTTGCGCAGAAGGTTCTACAGCATGGAGCCTTGCAAGGCCAACGTGAAACATGGCTTTCGAACTGGGCGAGCACGTCTAGCGAACGTCTTAGTGGTAACCCTGCTGCGTTGTTCGCTGCATCTGGTTTAGTTTTGTGTAGTTTTCAGCGGTGTACTGACTCTGAGTGGCTCTCAGCGGTGTGGTTGCAGGAAGGGCTTTACTAGAGCGGTAAGCGGGAAAGCGATGCGCTTGCAGAGCGGTTGGCAAGATGAAACCGGGTCGCTCGGCGGGCCGCTGTAGAACGTCGCCTAGAGGTCGATTACGATGTACTCGGCAGAGAAAGTACCGCAGGCGCGTACTCTGTGTACTGTGTACCTCTGTACGCGCTGCGATGCCGTCAAGCTTCAAAGCGAGCGTATTCATGCGCGCAATGTCGCAGCCCACCGCTCATCCCTTACCTTCCCTTTCCATCTTTGAACAGTGTGCTGGACTGTACCCTTGGCAAGGCTGGACTCCATCGCGGCAATTTAGGCATGGAGCGGTGACGGAACGAATAAAGAGTCGAGGTGTTGTTGCTCTAGCGCCCTGCGGGAGGGCCTGTGCGGTGCGTGGGGCGGGCATCAGTCGGTGAAGAGTCATCACGGTTCGACCTTTCGATTGGACCACGACACTTGGAAGTTTCGTTTCATCGCTCAACGGGCGTGATGTCCCGCACACCGACATGCGGCATTATGCACGAGACTGTGACTCACCATGGGCGAGAGCATCGCATTCACGACTATAACACGACCAAGACTGCGCTGCTGCACGACGCGTGAACGCGTTGTTGTCAGGCTGTTGTCAGGCTGTTGTCAAAGCATTGGTTCTGGGTCTCCGGCGTCGCCCGCCTATGTGCTGTCACTTCTCGTGACAGGAACGACATCGCCCGACTGTCACTTTGCGCTGCACGCACTGCCCCGGGTGACGTCTATCGTTCGTCTCTGCGAAAGCCGGCTTCTGCAAATCCATTCGCTCTGCGCTTCCAAGCGCCCAACCCTACTGTCAGATGCCGCAGTGACTGCCGCTTCGTGGGGAGATGGGGGCTGTCAGAACTCAGAGCCTTATTAAGCGCTGCGGCGGCCGTATTAGGAAAATGCCGACACCAAATATAACCCGAAGCAGGCGCGTACATCTCGAACCGGGAGCCAGAAAGAACGTTAATTGCGTTAACTCGGAGACAAACTGTCAAACCTTCCTGAGGCTCTCTCCACACATTTCAAGGTTCAGGAGAGCCTCACAGCCTCAACGCCACAACTTCGGGGTAACCACAGGCGCTTACAGACTGCACTTGAGAAACAAACGGCAGCACTGATTGCACGAAGATTGTAGAAGCTTTGGGGCGTGTATATATTGGGAATGTTCGCGGAGCCGCTCAGCCGCACAGCCTCAACTACGCGCTCGGAAAGGTGGCATGACGGCGGCATCGTAACCACCAGTGAAGCTTACATCTCATTAACGTCGTATGTTTGAGACGGCGCGCAAGAAATCTGTCAGGGGCATACCCCTCAGTCGAAGCACCCGGCGAAGGAGACTGCCCATCGCGACTTTGTAGGAAAGATAAGCCAGGAAAGGCGCCGAGTTCAGGCCACTTTACTCTCGACGTGCTCTTTCCACCACGCTCCCCAGTCCACTACCTGTTTCTTCGTCCTGGCATCTTCTGCTGCGAAGACAACGGCGTGACTTCTGAACGCTTCCTCAAGATCGCAGCCCAAGAAAGTCCTCTGCGCCTCGTGCGTGCTCATCTCCCCCTCCTCAACAGCATCGACAGCCATGAGAAACTGCCTCACCAGTCCCGCGTCACCACCTCCATGCCCACCACCCGCAGCATGCGGGACATGCTTCGTAGTCTTCTTGGATGCAAAGTCATGAACGCTGATCGTCGTGCTGTCATACTCGATCTCTCCTTTCGTGCCGTAGATTCTGCCTCTCCTCTCACACTGCTTCTCAGTATGCGCGATCATGTGAAACAGCGCTGTCTTCGCGCCTCTGCTGGCATCTTCACCATCATCGTCCCAGGTAAGTGTGACGACTTGGTCATCGCAGACGTCGTTGTCGGACTCCCAGACGCAGCGGCCGAAGTAGTTTCTCTTGTTCCTGACTTCAAGCGGAGTGGTGGAGTCGTAGTCTTCGGCCAGATTGGTCAGGAGTTGGTCTGAGGCGGCTTCGACGCCCTTGGTCTTGTAGAGGTCTTCGATTTCTGGGTTCACGATCTTCACGGGCCAATCCGCGTTGCCTTGCGCGAGCTGGTTCTCGAGATAGATCTTCTTCGCGCTGTAGGAGCACGATGGTTCGTACGCGCAGGAGAGGCAGTTGGTCGCGCTACCTGCTTCGGCTGGCTTGCGTGACTTGCGGAAATACTTGAGCGATCCTGCAGAAGTTATGGATGATGGAAGGTGAGGTGGAGATGTAGAAAGACTGGGCGTACAGAGCATCCACATGAGGAAATCGATGTCATGGCAGGACTTCGTAAGTAGGGAAGGGGCAGAAGTTGACTCTTTGCGCCAGTTGCCGCTGCAATATGTGTTAGTCTAATCATCCTCTCGGAAGTAGGAAAGGTGGTGGCATACCGAACATAGCTATGGCTGAAGTGCCACCAGCCCACAGGCTCGCAATGCTCGATGCTGAGAATGTCTCCGATAACGTTCTTGTCCCGTACCAAATGTCGCAAAAGCATGTTGTGGGGTGAGTATCGAAGCACGTGGCATATCCCGAAGACCGGCTCTCTGTTTCCTGCTGCGACAGTGCTCTTCTTCGCATCGTTAAGTGCCTTGTACATTCTCATGCAACTGTCGAGTCGCGTACTCAATGGCTTCTCACAGCAGATGTGCACTCCCAAATGCGCAATGCCGCGCACGACTTCCTCGTGCATCTCATCGAGCACGCAGACGAACACCACGTCGATTGTTGGGCCGCCCTCCCCGTGAGCTTCGCACTGCCTGTTTTCTTCCTCCCACTCAACCCATTGCTGCCAAGTGGAGAAGTGTTCACCAGGCTGTGCGGGCAATTTCCCATGCCATATGAATCTCTTGCCGAAAGCCTCGCGTTTCGAGTGTGTCGGCTCGCACACAGCCGCGATGATAGCGTTGGTGCCTTCCAAAGCAGCCTCGGCGTAGGCTGTGCCACGGCTACCTGCACCGATGACCATAACGCGAGGTGGATGGTCGAACTTTTGAAAGTCGGGTGCTTTTAGGTATGCTTCGTGGCTGCTGCCATTGGTCTCCGAGCTACCTGCGAGGAAAGGCGCCATCTTGCTTAGGCCAAACTGAGGTAGTTTTTGGAATGTTGTAGACTTTTCAGTGGAGCGTGAAACCTGCGCGATTGAAACCTCTCAAAATTTCAACTTGCTGACACCAAGTACTTATGATTCCCTGCAAGATGCTTGCTCGTGTAGAACGCTATGTTAGACACGCAAATGATCTTATCATCGACTCCAGGCTTACTCGAGCGATGGAGGATGGCGTGCGGGGTTGACCTGATCCGCGGATCTAACAGGCTTGTGGAGTGGAATGAAGCTGAAGAGTCGTATATCAGTGTTGCATTGCAGCTCTGAGGTTGCAATGCGCGCTTGATCTTCACCTATAATGAGCGCTCACGCCCACAGGGCTCGTGGTGTACATGTGGAGGTAATATACGTGGTGCACTCGACCAATGATATCATTGATGATTAATAGCGCCGACCCTTCCAGTCCACAAACCATCTCCACGAGTCTCACAGCGGCTTCGCTGTATGCTTAATGAAAGCGAAAGTAATCTAGTCTAGTGTCTAGATGAGAAAAAATGCATCAAAGAAGAAAAGATGCCGCTCGTATGCTTGCAGAAAAGAACGCCTAAGAATATCACCATTCATCGGTCAAGCTCGTAAAATAGGAGATAAACCTCCTTCTGCATGCTGAGCACTTCGCTCGTCTTGCTCTCCTTGATCTTGTCATCGCTGATGCGCCACCAGCGGTTGACAGTGCGCCTAGATTTGCGCTTGAGGGGGTTGTTGTCTACCATTGACTGCGCCTTCTCTGATGCCTTATCCTTGAGCGATCGCAAACTCTGCGTTCGCGATAGCTTGCTTGCAGATTCGCCTGATGAGGGCGATGGTTGCAAAGAGTCGCCATCCGCCCGAGGTGCAGAGGTTGGCGCCGGTCCTCGTGGCCCTGGTGTCCCTTGTGATGAGTTTGATGATAATGACTGCAGAGAAGGTGAGTCTAGCGTCAAGTGTGAGGGGATAGGCGATGCAGAATCGCTCGAACCGTCGAAGTTCGTAGATGACAGTCGAGGGCTCTGCATTGCTGAAGCAGCTGCAGAAGGCAGCGGGCTGGCCTGGCGGCTGTATGCGCCTTCGAGGCCAAACGAGTGTGGTGTAGAAAAGGGTATGGGCTGCACCTGCCGTCGGAATGATTCGTAATGCCCACTACTGTGGCTACCCTTATGTGTGACCATTCCTAGTAGCTTGTAGTTCTTCCGATGCAGCAAGCCACCAAGTGGTAGTGCCTCTGGGAATGAAACCTTGGCCAAATTCTTGGTCGATACGGTCCCAACGGCGAACATCGACCTTGAAAGGTGCACAGCGAGCACCTTAGGAAACAGAGATATGTGCATGTGGCGCGCTATGCGGCGTTTTGGTACCAGCTTTGAGTCTGGAAACTCGACGTCCTCGGGTGGGCTTTCCGGGTCGTCTTCTAGGGCTTGCTTGATCTTAGTAATGTCTGATCCCAAGCGCTTTCTGATCTCGGGATCAGTAGCTTTCTCAAGCTCCTGCTCTTTTGTCTTCACGGCGTGATCAAGACGGCACCACTCGCACCTGAAGTCATCGATATGCTCGACCTTCAGCATGCCATCGAAGCATGCATTGAGGGTTGTCGAGGAGACTTGCGGTACACTGAGAGTCAAGGTCACGAAAGCCGAAGAGGAAGGCTTCGGTTTAAAATGACATGTCAAGCACTCAATCTGAGACTCGATTCTGCCCTCGAATGGAAAGCCCTCTTCATCCGGCAAAAGAGCATCCTCATCTTCGCCTTCGTTCTTGACACCATCTTGCAGTGGCTGAACGCCGAGTTGCTCCTCGGTCTCGTGCCGGCCAGGCGCACTGTCACCGTTCTCTAATGCGATGCTATGGCGGAATGCATGTCGTCTAGCTTTTGTACCGGCATGGTACTCGTCGCACAGTCGCTCAGTGACGATCTGCAGGAACTCTTGCGCGTCTTGCTGTTGCCGGCTGATGCGTGTCCCAAAAGCATGCTCGAGTGAGCGTATGAATGACTGCGGCGATATCGTCTTCCTGTAAATGGGTCGCTCGTTCAACTTGTCGAGGATGTCCTTCAAGCCGTGTGTAAGCAGACCCTTCTGCAGACCCTCGAGCTTCCCCGGCCTGCTGTTCGTATTCTCCGCATTTGACTTGTCCGGATCCACAAGGTACACTTCCGGTCCATCAAGCTTCCTTCTATGTGTCTCTCTAATCAAGTATATGCGCAAGTCTGGCAAGCCGGCCAAGGTCTGCAGTACCGAGTTGATGAAGCAGTCGTTTGCCGCATTACTCAGTCCGACCACGCCCTTCTTCTTGGTGCTGGAGCTCGTCGTCTCGTCGTCCAGGAAGAAGGTGGGTCCAAAGACGTAGACTAGAGTGATGGCGGCGAGGGATGCGCCTGCCGCATAAGTTGCGATGGTGGTTGCCTTCTCTGGCATTTTGCGGCGCGAGCTCGTTACCGCGGATCGGGGATTGGTCGACGGGGTGGTGCAGAGGACCGCAGAACTGTGACAGGCTTCTAGCAGAAGTGCGCTCGATCGGGTGCAGGACGGGAGGAATGTGCAAGTGAGACGTCTCTATCCTCCATTACTGTCTGACAGCCGACTCGTCATGCTGGCAGTCATCCGCCGTTTGCGCGGCGAGCCAGCAGCCCGCAAAGTGAACTGCCAAGCAAAGCGTCTCCGCGCTTGTCCGCCCAAGCGCAGTCGCAAGGATCTCCAGATTTGAAGTTCGGACGACTTTGTAACTTTTGTTGGCAGGACCACACGACACCCCGCAGCCCCCAATGGCCTCTCTCAGCCGGTCAGCACTGCTGCCTCAGTGCACGTCATGCATACGAAGAGTCGCGCGTCATAATCTGGATGGAAGGGCGCCGCAGCAGCAGATACGTAGCATCTCGAAGGCGGCTAAGGAGGCCAAGCGAAACATCGTCGTCAAGCTGCTGAAGGATGTGCCGCGATATGGACGCGCCGGTATGGCGAGCGTGCCAGAATTGGATAGAGAGCTTAGCTAATGTCGACAAGGCTCATACGTGCCTCTCAACCCGGCCACGATGCGCAATCGATGGTTTCCCGCCCGCGTCGCCGACTATGTACCGTTCCAGCAACTAAAGCTGCTGAAGGCTCAGGAAGTGGATATGCAGAGGGACACAACATATGGTGTACGCGTGGCTCTGGAGGAGGTCGACGAAGAGGAGGACGTTTTGACACCACGGAGACCATACGTACGGCCGATTGAGATTGAAGTGCTCAGCGTAGGTTTTGCTGTCACGAACGGAAGGATCACTGCTGACGTGCCTAGCCTGAGCGATCTATGGAACTTCTCGACACATTCGTCCCTCCTTCAATCGACTTCTCACGCCAGCGCATCGAGGCTCAAGAGAACAAGCCACGATACGGCGCGTCTGGCGCAGCTGATGTTCTCACAGCAGCTGCCATGGGCGCCAACACAGAACGATCCTCGAACGCCATCTATGGCTCGGTATCGACAGCGGACATTGCTGCGACCCTCAAGGCAGCGCTGGCGCACAACGACGAGGCAGCCCGTGTCATCCTGAATGAGGCAGACGTTCGTTTCGTAACAAACACAGAGGATGGAGATGCGCAGCGTGTGAAGGAGCTGGGTGTGTTCAAGATCGAGATACAACTGCCGGGTGCGGCAGAGCCATTACTGAGGAACGTCCGGGTCAAGGCGAAGGACATGGACGCGTGAAGTCGCAAGACCAGTACGCCATCCGCGGCTGCAGTTCAGACCGTGGGTTTTTCCGTTCGCTGTAAAGATACGCCTGTACAAAACATGTAGACACTGTTTGGGAATGGTTTCGGAAGAATGGGACCTCACGAGCTAGAAGCCACAAGCCACAGCCGCAAGCACTCCTGAGCTGATCCCATGACCCTATGTGATTGGTGGGACCCTGATTTCGATGTTGTGATGCAACAAACCCACTCGGCAATTCAAGGCCTTACTCTGCGTTCTGGCACGTTCTACGGCGAGTTTCGGACAGAAGCACAGAGCTGGCGACGGTGCAAGTCCACTCTGCCGAGCAAGCGGCCCCGCGATGACTTCAGAGCGCGGCCGTGAGCGCCAGCCCTACCGGTGAGCCCATCTTAAATCTCTCGTGCCTCCCACGCGCCTTGCAAAAGCGTATCAGTCAATTGATACACAAAGGTACGTACACCTAGCCTCAGAGATAGTGGTACGCTGTAGCGTCCCCGTGAGCTGCAATTGCGGCGTTTGGTTGGGTAGTTGAGACAGTTGAAGCTGAAGCTTGCTCGTTGCGTCAGTCTGCGCCAGGCGGACCCCGCTCAGAGACCCCACCAAAAGCCCACCGGTGCATCATCGCAGAGTTTCTCTTTCACTACCGCGCTCAACAACTCTTGCAGCACCTTCATAAACACTCCGTTTCCCAATTGACTGATTCCTTATTCACCAGAACACCTTACACATCACATACAAAATGGTCTCCGCACAGTCTGTAAGTTCACCCTAAGAACACCGTCTGTCAGGAGAACACTGCTAATCAACGTTCTGAGCAGGTCCTCTCCCGCAAGTCCGGTGTCATCACCGGTGATGATGTCCTCAAGCTCTTCCAGCACGCCAAGGACGAGGGTTACGCCATCCCCGCCATCAACGTAGGTCCCTCAGAGCCCAAAGTTGCGAGCTCAGCTTACAGGCTCAGGTGACCTCCTCCTCCACAGTCGTTGCTTCTCTCGAGGCTGCCCGCGACGCCAAGTCGCCCATCATCCTTCAGACATCGCAGGGTGAGTTCTTCTGAATCTCCGCTTATCTTTCAATCGAGCAGTGAGCTGACAAGTTCCAGGTGGTGCCGCCTACTTCGCCGGCAAGGGCGTCGACAACAAGAACCAGGAGGCCTCCATCGCTGGTGCCGTCGCTGCCGCACACTACATCCGTGCCATTGCACCCATCTACGGTATCCCCGTTGTCCTCCACACCGACCACTGCGCGAAGAAGCTTCTGCCATGGTTGGACGGCATGCTCGATGCCGACGAGGCCTACTTCAAGGAGCACAACGAGCCCCTTTTCTCTTCCCACATGATTGATCTGTCCGAGGAGGAGGTTGAGTGGAACGTTCAGACCACCAAGAAGTACCTCCAGCGCGCTGCCCCCATGAAGCAGTGGCTCGAGATGGAGATCGGTATCACCGGTGGTGAGGAGGATGGTGTTAACAACGAGGACGTTGACAACAACTCCCTCTACACCCAGCCCGAGGACATTCTGCACATCTACAAGGAGCTCTCCGAGGTCTCCCCTTACTTCTCCATTGCCGCAGGTTTCGGTAACGTTCACGGTGTCTACAAGCCCGGTAACGTCAAGCTCCAGCCTTCTCTTCTCAAGAAGCACCAGCAGCACGTCAAGGAGGCCACCGGTGCCAAGGAGGACAAGCCAGTCTTCCTTGTCTTCCACGGTGGTTCCGGTTCCAGCGTCGAGGACTTCAGGGAGGCCATCTCCTACGGTGTCGTCAAGGTCAACCTCGACACCGACATGCAGTACGCCTACCTCGCCGGTATCCGAGACTACGTCCAGAACAAGTCCGGCTACCTCCAGAGCCAGGTCGGTAACCCCGACGGTGACGACAAGCCTAACAAGAAGTACTACGACCCCCGTGTCTGGGTCCGTGAGGGCGAGAAGACCATGTCCAAGCGTATCACTGTTGCGCTTGACGACTTCTATGCCGCTGGCAAGGTCTAAATCACTCAATGGGAAAAGGCTCTTGTCGAGGCGTTTAGTTAGATTGGACTGCATCAGAGGAGTCGGCGGTCCTGGGGGTGAGGTTGACGATTCGAACGATGACATGACCCAAATGTACGGATCCCAAAAGAAGGTTCCTGATTATATACCAATAGCGAAACATTTCCTCCAAACACATTGCTTTAAGATCCAGTCCACATGTGGAACATGTCTATCTGCATCAACAGAAGCTTGTACCCGACCCCATCACTCCTTGCAACACTGGAAAGACACCACTGATATCGCGTGATCAACATTCTCTTCACCTCCATCAAGGTCTGCGCAAACAGAGATGCGGGTCTCTGCATGTCACCAAACGTAGCTAGTGTGTGGATACCCGCGCTGTCCGCGATGACATCACGTTCAACGCTCTTTCCAGACCTCAGACGATCAGCACCAAATCATGGCAAGTAGCATCGCTGGCAGAGCGCGTGACTGTCGTCTGTCGTCAGCGCTGTGTATTTATCCACAGACTCCTCTCCACCTTTGCAACCACCCACACCCTCTACGCAAAACCTCGAAACCCTCTTCTATAACTCATTATCAGCGACCCACTTTAATCAATTTGACAGGTCACAGTTCACTAGCTACTCCAATTAGCAAGTCCTTACACGATGTCCGGCGGTCACTCTAGCAGCGGAATTGGCGGTGCCATCAAAAAGGGCGTTGGCATGGTCCACGTAAGAACCTCCAATCCACAAGTCCTCGTCTAACACCTTTTGACTTGCTTCAGGGTACTGGTGAGGCTATTCGCGGAAACTTCAATGCTGCAGTAGACCAGGCCGGTGGTGACCGTGTAGGCGTCGATAAAAACGCAGCGATTGCCACCAAAGGTGCCAACGAGATTGAACACGGGTACCATCGAACTGGCCACGGTGCCGGCGTCACACCAGTCGATGCTGAACGCGAGCGCTTAAACACGACCCAAACTACATCTACCAACTACGGATCGCACAGCACAAACACTGCCAACAAGCTCGACCCGCGCTTTGACTCCGACTTGGACCACCGCGGCACTGCAACAGGATCAACCAACGTCGGCCACCACTCCAGCAACGTCGCGAACAAACTTGATCCACGTATTGACTCTGATGCGGACCACCGCGTAAACCCCAACAGTACGATCAGATAGATGAGCCGACTACCTTCACGATACTCTCTTGACACGAATAAAATTATGCCCTTCCTTCATCAGACTCTCTTCGCTTCTTTGCTCTTACTGATTTCATAGGTTGTTGCAAGCCGACTCTCTACACGCAGACCTACGGTACTGATTCTCCCACGACACCCTTCGCAAGCAAGTGGGAACCATCGAGTCCATCCAGCCATGACCAAGAACACGACGAGGACTGCAACTGCCACGCCCAACACATCCACCGAGGTTCGATCAGTGGCGGTACGATGTTGGAAGCAGCTCAGAAGCTGGACCCGATGCTCGGCACAGAATATAGGTCGACAGACCATGGCCCGCACAGCACCAATATTGCCAACAAGTTGGAACCCCGAATCGACTCTGACGCAAACTATCGCGACAATGTTTCAGCTAATAATTACAACTCGGATCACCATCCTGGAGCAAACAGCCAAACCAGGGTTGGCACCTTCACGCGCCGTGGAACTGAGCCCTCCCTACCTACCGAATCTCGAACCGCGCCCAGGTCAAATTCGGACAACAACGTGCGGCAAGGAACCTCATCTAGAGACACTATGGATCCGAGGGTCAACCGTGGTGGCGTGAAGCAGATGCGGTCAAGTGGTTCGTAAGCTTGGCCGATGGGTGACGGGTAGATGATGGTTAGCTAAGTATCTTTCTAATGGTGTAAGACAATCGATCCCTCTTTTTACCTCTTGTCTATGATTTCGCATGTCAGTCTCTGTGATGCAGTGTGTTGAGGTTAGCGGAAGCTGGTGCCGTGGCATGTGTCAGTATCGTTGCGCCCATACTTGTGGGCTGAGTAACTCCGTGTAGGTTCCTATCTAGATACTTGCTCTACACTGCCAAATTGTGAACACCGTTCTGGGAAGAAGTTGGGATTGCATAATCTCGACTTGCGCTTGGGGATATCGTTGATACACTCCAGAGGGTTGCGAGGTTAAGACTGTGTCGTGAGATGTTTCTGGTCTCGAAGCTGTGGTCGGCGTGTTGCGAAAGGGGCGATGCCAAATACGAGATGGCATTTTAGAAATGCGTTCTTGAGGGGTGGTATTAGTATTGCGATCTAGTGATATGGGTGTGGCGTTTTGAGAGCTGGCGTCGTTGTGGTTTGCTTCTTCTGTGCAATCTTGCAGTTTGCCTTGTGTCAGGGTGTGGTTCGGTTCAAAGGTCTCGTGTGTTGTGGAGGGGTTGAGATCTGTGGTCTTGTTTTGGATGCTCTATCGATCCCTTTGACCTAGGGATTCCGTTTTGCTCCAGCTCTTCGCGTCAAAGCTTGGTAAGGGTCTGAAGCGATGGAGAGTCTCACTATTAATCACGACCGGAATTCCATACTTCAGGTATTACACTGCGCGGTCTTTGGTGCAAATCTCTCCTGTAATCCCATCAGCGATAGACATGACGTTTTTTTTGGAATGACTTGATTCACGTTGCGATATATCAAACGCATCTTGTTGTAAGAGGACATTTGGAGTCCGCGCTAATTGAGTCAATACCACAGCTTCAATGTCCTTCCTTTTGTGTCGTTTTTGCTTCCTTCTCCTCTTCTTTGCGAGCAAATGATCCCCCCCCCCCCCCCCACATTGTTGGGATGATGAAGTGCGCTATTTCACTTCTCACAGTGTACACGAGACGGGAACAATATAGTGGTGATATGATGCTCATTCTATGGTTTTAAGAAGCGTGATATGGTAATACAATGAAACATTATGCATGTAAATAGAGGTGCAATCGCTAATGCCAAATCGAAAGTCTAGACAATCCACTCTTACTCATTCTTGCACTCAAGCTGCCTGTCACAGCTGAGCTGATGCCTCATGGATAAAACGCTCAAGAGAGCACCTTACTCAAGTTTGCCAGGGTACTGAACAAGAGTGATGTATGCGGGAGATGTACCCTGGCAGACGTAGTCGTCGGGGCCGGATCCACCAGCGCGGCAATAGTTGGGCAGAGTGGTGGTAGCGACGAACTGGATGTCGTCGGAGACATCCTGCTTCAGGATGAGGCCGTTGCGGTCGGCCTGGTAGGCGAAGTAGATAAAGGAGTTGTCGCCGCACTGGTAGAATTTGCCATCCTCGACATTGCTGGCGGATGAGCAGTCGAAGTCGAGCGTGCCCGCGTTGGTGGCCTTGATGTTGAAGCTGAGCGAGCTGATGGTCTTGCCGTCGAGCTTGCGAGCGGTGAAGTTGCTGATTTTCCAGACGTAGTCACCCTGCTGGACGACAGGGCAGTTGTCCTGGCGAGCCTCAAGCGGAGCGGCCATGGAGAGGCCAGCAGATGCGAGGAGAGAAGCGGCGATGACCTTGAACTGCATTTTGAACAGGTTGGTTATTTGGGGTTTTTGGTAAAGGTTGGATATAGTAATTGTGATTGGATGTGGAAGTGAGGGCGATTGCTGTGAAGATGATTGTTTGATGCTATTCTAGGGAGGAGAACCTGTAGACTTATGTACTGATTGTGTTCACTCCTTCCATGCAGCCTTCTGCAGACCAAGAGCGAATAGGTAGGATTCGCTTGACGTCAAGTGACACCCCATCTCTACACAAAGCGGAGATATCTTGGCAAGTTGGTACCAGCTGCCAAACACGGACTGTGAATGTAACTGCACGGCTAGCAGCGCTATAATTGGAAGATGTCTGTGCTTAGTGCGGCTACCGGGCGCTCTATAGGGCAACCGTGGTGCAGATCTGCTGGCGAGATTAGTCCGACATCATTGTGCCCCAAGAACAAGTGGATGGAGTCAAGCATTGTGCAGTGTCGCCGCATCCGCTCACGCCGCAATGCCAAACCATGCGGAAATCCTTGGTGACCCATCGTGCCCTACACCCAAGAGAGCAAGCAAAACGTCTGCCCAGCAATCGAGCGGATGGTCGGAGTAGGTTCCGTTTCTGTTCATATGACGATGGATCCTCCGTTTTGCGGCCAAGCCTCGTGTTGACAGCGAGCCGGTGCCCTTCTCCACAGTTCGGGCCGGGCGTAGAATACTATTTTCGGAATCTTTCGCCGCTGTAACTTCGTAGAGGTCAACGTGCTGGTGGAATATGATTACTTGCTGGCACTATAAGCCGTGTATGTTCAGGAGGTGCTTCTACGTTGCCAGTAGACATGGTGACACGATAACCTAATCGTGTCGACAGCCATGCAAACCTTTTGGACGCGGTAATTTCCAGCCTGCAGAACAAGACGATGGCCGTCCTCATGGAGGATTCTTCGGTCGCACCCGTACCAAAGTTTCTCGTGAACCCTGAAATCGAGATTGCGACGTCGGCGACATAGAGTTTGAAGACGAGTAGAGCTGAACAGTCGCCGTGCAAACATTAAGCCGAGGTGGCGAGCTGCAATAAAAGTCGGGTAGCGAAGCTGTGAGATCATCCCGAGGGCGCTAGGCTGAGGCTGTCGATCTCACCCCACATTATTTGCCAGTGCGGCAGTGCGATATGTCTGTGCCACACACCGTGACTTCATATTTTTCGTGTCGCAAGCCACCAGACATCACAAGGGCCCCTTACACGAAGAATAGACTTGTTCGCGACGTGCAGCATGCTAGCACAATACGTCGACGTCACTTGCTAATAACGTATGACAGCTGCAGATCATTGGGTCTTTCCATCGACGGTCGAACAAAACACACGCTGCGTTTCCCAACAACCAGGTTACTAATTAGGCTCCACGGTCAGGACACGGCCCATTCGATATCCTCGCTTTGTTGCTTGCACTTTCGAACGGGATCCACTGACTTCATAACAAGTACTATCCCAGCTTCCGGACTGACTCGGACTATTTCAGGAGTCTGTGCCAGATATTCCTCTCTTGACTTCATAATATCTGAGACTGCCATATTTAATCATGGCTACTCCACCGGTGATAACTCCGTTTCAATGACACTTTCGACATCCTGAGGATGCCCCGAGATACTGTCAACACTGAACCCAGCCTCTTTTAGCAAATTGCTCCAGTGCTGCTCCGTCCGCTCAAGTCCGCTGACGTAGTTCATCAGTTGCATTTCCAGGGTGGTCATGAGACTCGTCGCTCCCTTCGCCGGCAACATAACCTCGTAGATTAACAATGCGGAGTATCCCTGCTACATGGCATCCTTTATATTTGCAAACATTCACAGCACATCGGCATCTGGCCAGTTCGACTTTAGCGTTGCACCAGCCATGGCCAGTCTCCAGTTTCACTGCCTTCTCTCAACTCTGCTTCTCAGCATCGGCCCATCTCCTCAAGCCACTAACATCCGAGCCCATCTGTAGTCCGGCTACCACAACAGGTGTTTCAAAGGCCAGTGCCCAGCCTCAGTCGAATAGAGTCTCAAGTATTGCTAGAAGACGGCGTGCTGCCTCTTTAGCGGCATAGCGATTGGCGTCTGACCCAAATGACGTTTGGTCATCGATTCAAGAGTCCTGATGGTCTCCAGAGGATTCGCTTTACCGGCCGTGGTGGCTGAGAGCGAGAGGCTTACGTATCGAAGATAGCTTCAAGCGTGGCCCGTTATCCTTATACTGCTCTCCTGAGTCGAGAACCGACTACAATTGTGATTGGCACAGATACGCACGACTCATTACTCTGTGGTCGTGAACAAGGCAATAATCGAGTCGTGTTCCGCCCCATGCTGCTGTCCCGTAATAAAGTGGGTCCAAATGTACACGTGAGGCACGGCAGAGTTACAGCGGACTTTCAGGCATTCTGGGGTAGTGTAGGATTTCTAGCATGAGGATTCATGAGAGATCTTGTGGCCAACACTGTTGTCGCACAGACCAAAATGTCAAGTTGCATGCAGACGGAAGAGTTTTGGATTTGATATCTGGCAAATGCCAGCGCCCTAATATTCTCTTCTGCCTCCTCATGGCTGTTCTTAGTTAGGTACTTGCTGAGCTCATTTGTGTATAAGAGTAGTCGGTTGCAGATGCTCGATACTTGGGCTGAACGTTGGATTCCAAGGTGTTGTGGAAAGCTTTGGATTCAGCCCTTTCACAAGTTCCGATGTACTTTCTTTGCTTTGTGTTTCAACATCGATCATCTCGAGGTCAACCTCGCTGATGGAATCAACCGGCTGAGCTGGCAAGAGGCGCCAAATAAATGTGGCAGGAGCGGGAAGGGTGGGAGCACTTGCACGAGACGTTTGTTGATGCCCAGGTGTCATTTCCGAGAAGCTCGTTGATGACTGGCGCATTGACGGCTAAGATTGGCACAATCTGTTGACGTCAGTAGTGCTTCACCGGCTGCATGGTACTGCTGAGAACCCACTACCTCTCGTTGAGTCCAAATAAACGCCAGCAAGATTTGAATTAAGAAGCCTATTGAAAGTGTACATCTTGCTATCGCCATTTCCATGACGAAGATACCTAGCGAGAGGAGGAGGTCGATCTTTATTTTCTTGGACTGGACGTGAGCGATGACCTGATATAACCATCCAGCCTTGTTCATCTCCACATAGATGTCTGTACATCCTCCAGTATCGATATCGGTACAATATGCAGCAAAGCATCGGTACTACCCGCAAAATTAGCCCTAGAGACACCCAAGGAAATGATAACTCATAGAATATTCCCAACAGTGATGACGATATCATATTAGTCACTATGCTGGATGAATACTCTTTTGTGGTTTGTCAGCTTCACCAACGTGATATGGCCGCAAATGCTGGCACTCACTGCCAGGGTCCGGTAGGAACTGCCAGTTGTGATGCAGATACAAGCAATGCGTGTATTATGTGATGTTTGCAGCGATGAAAGGGACAATTGAGACAGCCACGACGAACAGTACGTACCCGTGTAGTCGTGTGTTCTTTCTGGAAAGTCTGTGAGACCATTATGATCATGAAAAAAAGGATGCAAACATCCCCTTAGCGTCTTCTTGCACAGATTGATTCATCGAATCTGGGAGGGCTTCGCGCTGCTCTTGTGTGAAAGCGATTGGTGCTCTCACGGTCGCTACATGCACTCACGTCAGCATACCGTCCGGAAATTTGATAGTTGAACTTACCAAGAAACTCCCTTATGGCGTATATTTATGAGCGTGAAGAAATTTCATGCAGAAAATGCGAAGAGCTCGTCCCAGATGTAACCCTTGAACCCGGTCGTTTTTCAACGGGCAGACCATCGTACAGCGAGATTCGCGTTTCTACTGCACACTATGCTCGACATTCGATAAGAATATCGGTAGCTATGGTGTTAGTCGTGCGTCGACATCACGAAGGAGGCAACAGGAATAATCGCAACATCGCCTGCGATTTTTGATCTGAGGAAATATACATCTGTACAGCGTGCTGCTCATCCCACACAGCTGGATATACAGGTCCTGTTACTGCTCCAAAGATTTGAGACCCGTTTCCCTGCTGTATACTTGCGGTATCCAATCAGATCGTCCTGTTAGTGCTCTTTCACCTACCCATCGTCTCTTCGTTGGGCAAGTGAGGCACAGTCTATGGGGACGGCCGCTACATCGTTAAAACAAGATCTCCACAAATTCATGGCTCATTTAGACCTGAGGTTTCGCACTGCTGGGTATGTCGCTGCATGCAAAACCGAGGATATGATAACCATGTGCGCGTTCAGACTATGTGTTTCGGACTGAGAGATGTATTGCTTCCCATCTTGCAGAGAGCGATCAAAAGCCTTAGATTACAGACACATTCTGCAACCTAACACCGCAAGCATGCCTAACTCAAAACGAAACACAACAACCAGCTCACGAGGCGCCCAACCCCATCTTCACAAGCACAGCCTTACATAAAAGCACCCTAGTTGAACAGTATGGTTGTGCAGGCATCTCAGCTCTGAGTTGCGTAGACCAGATCTCATCTGCCGGAAAAGAAACAAGACTTGCTCATGTCAGTTGACCGGGTATCGATCACACGAGAGAAATGCAAAGATGCTCGCTCTCGCACCTTGATCAGTATCACCTGGTTCTTGGACCCTGCCATACTTGGGGACGCCCCCTAATAGACAAAAAGTTGGGTTCATCTGGACGAAAAACTCGCCTGACAAGCGCATGGTTCAACAGAGATACAGAGTCAGCAATAACACCAGAACACTAATCAATTCCAGCTCCTCAAGTGATGATGGTATACGTCGTTGAACAATCTTTTTTCTTACTTTTCGTCAAGCTAGATCAGGTATAAGGCTACCAAACAGCCACAAGAACCATCGACACACAGATCACGCCGTATTGCCATGTCCCAACACCAAGCCTCAACGCCGGACTAGTAGCAGCCTGCGCCACCGCCGCGCTCGCGCTCGCAGTCCACCACATACCCGTCTTGGTCGCGCTCGCAGACGACGCCACTGTGGCCGTCGAAGACTCGCTCTCGGACCCGCTCCCCGTGCTGCCCGAGGACGAAGACAACAACGACGACGAGCTCGAGTTCGTGGCATCCGCATCGTTGACCTTGATACTGCTGTAGTCACCCGTGAGGTCGCCGTACGCGTAACTCGCCCCCGGGTTGTCGTTCACTACCTCCACCTTCTCGAGGTACATGGTGAACGGGCCGTTGGCGTAGTCCGTCGCGCCGCCCGCCCACTCGATCGTGCCCTCATCGTTTGCGCTATCGCCGCCCGCCCAGATGCCGATACGGATGTTCATGGGCGTCTGGGGGTAATTCTTGCCACTGACGGCATCCGCATAGTTCAGTGTCCTGATGGCGACCTCGTCGACGTACCACGTCGTGCTCGCTGAGGTCCAGACGATCGTGTAGTTGTGCGTTGTGGTCTGGGTATCCGACGCAGCGGCCCAGGCAGCACGGTCGTAGGACGTGGTGTTTCCCTTGCCTGCTCCGATCAGTCTGCGTCTCACTAACCACCAGCCCAACACCGCAGCATGAAAGAGTAGAGAAAGAGGAACGTACCGAAATAGTTCGTCTGCACTTTCGACACATAATCGCTCCCACCAAGCCACTCCCAATCCAGCTCATCCAGATCGTCAGACTCCAGGATCGCGCTCGAGACGATGCCCGTACCCGGCGCGGCGCGCAGGAAAAACGACACCCGGCCGAAGAATATGTACCATTTTGACTGAATCGTGGGTGCGTCGCCGGATTTGGTGATGGTGAACTCCAGCCCGGACGAGGTGGATGTCACGTTCCCTGCAGTCGTATTCCAGGCATCGCTGTCGGCTCCGGAGGTGGTGAAGTCGTGCGTGTAGGTGCTGGATGCGAGGCCTGTATCGTCTGGACATGCTGGGGAGGGTTAGGATGGTTGTCATGGTCATGGAATGGAATGCTGACTCTTTTCAGTGGGGTTGCATGATGTGGATGTCTGGGCGATTGTGGTGGATGCTGAGAGGAGCAGGGCTAGCCAGGTGATGTATCGAGGAAGCATGATGGCTCAGTGTTGTCCGAGCACCAATTTTTGATCCGAGTTACTTTTCAACAAGCGATCAAACAGGGTATGCCACCGGTAGTTATGGGAAGATATGAGGAAGGGATCAAGTCCAGCAACAGCGGGGATAGAACGTTCTTCAACTACCCCCAATACCAGCCACACGAGTACGTAGGCCTCGTACAGCGGCACCCAAAACCGACAAGCGACACATTTCAAGCACACGAGCGGGCGCGGGAGCTAGCCATAGGCACGGAAAGTCGCAATAAAAGCGCCACTTTCCTAGGAACGGATGCGTTGTGAGTGGACGTCAAGTTATGCTCAAGACGCGTGCAGGGTGACGACGCCGCCCCACCCGCACGTCGGTCGATGCGGCTGAACTATTCGCTTCCATGGCGACCGTGCTGTGGGATCGGACGTTCCTCTTGAAGTGTCGGGGCATCATCTTGGTCTGAGAAATATTGCTCCTTTGCTACTGGAGATTGACGGTGCGTTCTAAGGGGGTAGCAATCTATGCGACAGAATATCATCGGAAGTCAGCGAAACCCACGCATCGCATCGTTGGCAGAAGGCCTGTGGAAATCGTGAACGATCGTGGGAGCATTCGCGTCCTGTACTGCTTCGTATGTCGTGCGCGTCGTGTTGCAAGAGGCGCAAGTCGACGGTGGTGGTGTTGTTGGGCGATCGGAAGCTAGGAGCACATTACTATTGACATCGCGTCAGATCGATAAGACGGAAATAACAAGGCGAGCAGCTATCTCGACCGCTACCTACCAGCCACCCTAATACCACTGCGCCTCAACGGCGAGCGACATCGGTTGGCATCGAGACCAAATGTCAGAGCGCTCCTGAGCACATGACATTGCTCCTTGCAATGTCGAGCACCGAAGACGCCAGAACGAGACTCGAAAACGAGGCATGTGCGCAGACCACCGTGTGCGCAGACCACCATGTGCGTACGAGACGGCTGTCCTTCGCACCGACGACCTTGTCTGTCGGATATCGAGAACGACGTCCAGATTCAACGTGAACGATATCCTCCGCTGCCATCAAAAGCTGTCCAACGTACTTCCGACCGTCTGCAAACCTCCAGGGAAAGCAAAAACTCACACTCGACCGTCATGGCAGCATCACCGCACCATCGCATCGCGACATTGGACAGCATCCCATCGGATCCGCAACTTCCCCATTTCCGGGCCCCTATGCACAACATGCCCGTTCCTCCCGAGCACAATACCCACACACCACAAGCCCAAGCACCCCCCAAAAGCGCACACAGCCACACTGTCCCGAACACGCGCCCCAAACCCGAGTCACTCCACTAAATCACACACTTGCCCGTCCTCCACAAAACGAACATCTTACAGCCCGCCCCCTGACGCTCACTCTGCCCACCGCCCCGGAGGAACTTGATGCGGCGCGGGCTGTCGGTCGACAACGCTGCCAGCCGTCAGCGAAGCCGCAGTTTAAAGGCGTACTCATCGCTCCCGCTGCGTTGACGGAGATGTAGGTCTGCAGTAAGTCAGTACAAACACTGTAGTTTGACGGGTCGTAGAGCTCCGTCGCGTTTCAAAGGCACGAGATAGCGGACGGGTATGCTGGGTGGCCTGCTTCCGTGTCGGGTAGCTGGGTAGGTGGTGAGGGCGATGGCCGGACATGGGATGTGTGGCACGTGCATTGGGGCGATAATCAGGAGACGGGGAGTGACGTGATCATTATATTCATGCAGTCGTACTGATATAGCAGGTACTCTGACCTGGTCAGATACCCATCAGTCTTGATGAACGTACACCTCCACAGCAGTCTCCATGTTTAGACCTTCTTGCTCGTAGTCTCCTCCGCGTGCTTAGCAAGCACATGCTCGGGGTTACTCGACAGGTTGTTCTTGGACGCGTCGCTCTGCTGCTGCGTCTGCGTCTCGCCGCCCTGCTGGTTGGGCTGCGCCTGCTGGCCCTTCTGCGCGTCGGACTGGCGCTCGGGCTCGGGCGACTGGCGGCCTTGCTGGGGTGCGGACATGATGTCTGCAGGAGTTAGATTGGGCTGTGGCTTCATTGAGGGATGTTGGGGGTGGAGGTGGAGAGATGGGTGCGTACGTTGAGGTTCGGTTGGCTGTGGGGAATTGGTTGGTTGGTTGGTTGTAGGAGATCTTCTGGTGATGTTAGATGATACCAATTCAAGGACGGGTAAGTTGACGACATACGTTATGTTTAGAAGATCAGAGAATGGCAGTGCGATGATGGTTGTTCCCAGAGTCGCGCGCGTCTCTTTTGAGCTGTCGTCTGCCCCCACCACCATGACGTCAGAAGCTCAGATCGCGCTTGTGCATAACAGCGACGTAAGGAGCCATCCATCGACGTAAGAACTCCATGTGCTCCACTCATCAACGCCGCGCCGTTTGTGCCGTGCGTGTTTTGCCGACTTCTGGCTGATTACCATGCATGACGAGCAATGCCGCGCTGCGGCCTGATTTGTGATGATGATTGACGGAACTGCATCTCCGGTTGATGAGTGAATGGACGAGGCGGGCGGCGATTGAACCGACACTGGTATCAGAGGCCAACTGTGTGCGGATAAACTGCGTCGAGGACTTAGAGCTAAGCCAAGTAGATGAAGTTATTTCTGCAGAAATGCGTAGAAGCTTCATGAGTCGTTATGCATACGTGTATTGTGGCTACATCGCAACACGACTGTCAGCTCCTCTTCCCCATCTCAACGTCGCCCTCCGCCTCGCCATCATCATCCCACTCACTCCCCTTGAGTCTCTTACCAGCCCACAATCCAATTGCAGTCATACCGCTCACAGCCAGGAACCAGCCCTCGAACCACCTCTCCGTGAAGCTCGGCTCCAATGGCGCCCCCAAAGCATCGCTAATGGCCGACTTCATCTCCACGGGAAGATTGCTCCGGAGCAGCAGTGCGGAGCTGATGACATACGTCGCTGCGATCTGGCTGACCAGCAGCGCGGTGTTGGCCTGGGCGTGGTGCAGCACGCCCGGCGCGGCGCGGGAGAAGAGGTAGAAGGTCTGCAGCACGGCGTTGAAGGAGAGCAGCAAGATGACGCCGGAGAGCAGGAACGAGATGGTGCGGCTCCACGCCACGCGGTCGAGGGAGGGGTCCCAGTGCTTCGCGAGGAGGGCGAGGAAGTTGTTGATTGGGTCGGACGATGCGAAGGAGGCGGATGAGGACGAGAAGCGGCGCAGTGTTGTGATGCTTGTAGCGGCTATGCGGTACGCGCAGTATAGGGCGAAGACGAAAGAGAAGGCGTTCAGCAGCCGGCCGTACGCGGTGTGTGAACGGAGCTGTGTCTGTCGTCGATTCTGCAGGATGGATTGCGCATTCTGGAGCGTGTGGCGCATGGTTTCCAGGCCTTGGATCTCGAGCTGTAGCATGTTGCGCTCCTGGAGGTCTGGGTTGCCGCGGAATGTGCCTACGACACGGCCCATGAGGCCTTCTTGCGGGTGGTCGGTGAGTTTGCGTTCGATGGCGCGGAGACGCGATTCTTTGGTGAGGAGCATGTCGTTCGTGGCCTGGATACCAGCTTGCTTGCGGGTGATATCCGAGTCAGACACCTGCGCGAGTTAGCCATGTCTTGTTGAAGGTGGTGAGGATGCGCTTACGGGTCGATATTTGACGCCAAAGGTCTGCCACAGCGATGAGACTGCAGCGAAGCCTGTCAGGGACGCCATCATGCTTATGCCGATGACACCGATCCTCTCAAGACAACCTTCGCTGAAGGTGTGGTTGTGCACGTACGACTCCTCATGCAGATATGTACCCAACAGCCCGCTGCCGAGATACCAGAACGCCGCGAGCCATGCTGCCAGACCGCACGCCTCCAGTATCCAGGCAGCCTTCCGCTGGCCACCTTGCGCGCCTCCCGTCTTCAGTCCCGCTCCAGACACAACCGAATGTATTACGAGCGCCGGTGTCGCGACAACGAGTAGGAACAGCAGCGACGGGAGTGTAAGCTTGAGCGCTAGGGTGCGCGTGGTGCGATTCCCGGTGCTGGTGATCTCGCAAAAGATGAGCTCGGCGAGGACGGCAGAAAGGGCCATGTTGATCGAGAAGACGACCGCTGAGAGAGATCGCGCATTGATTCGCAGGCTCCTGAGTGGGGAAAATCGCTCGCGTGCGGTCGTTCCGGGCAGTCGTGCTTCGCTGTGGTGCGCCTTGCGGTCGGTGTGGCCGGAGAGTATCGGGAACAGCTTCTGCGAGACCCCGAGCGCTACCACCAGGAATGTGAGGAGGAATGGCAGCGCAGAGATGATCGTCTTCACTGGTCCTCTTGCAACCATGTACTCTGGCACGCAGTCATCGCAGTCATCTTCCAGCGGAATCATCGGTCCGGCGGTGGTTAGGTGCGGAGGAACGTTGGTGTTGCGCGGTCGCAGTGTCTACGTATTCGAAACGGTGTCTTGTACGTCCATAGGACTCGGATCGGTCTCAGTCGTTGGGATGCATGAATATGGAAGGCGTGCCTCTAGAAGTGAAGCGGGTGTCGTTTGTTAAGATTAGAGCACCTCCGAGGCAGTCGCACTCAGGAACGCGTGTTCTTCGAAACGGAGCTAGAACCGTCAAACGTCATCTCGTCGATCAAACAGGGATCATGCGTAAACGATACCGACATGCAGCTTGGCTCTAACTTAACAGAGTTCATCAGCATGACAAGGCTGTTTGGCAGTATGTGTAGTTGCTTCGATGTGTTGGCAAAGTGCTTGCTGCGAGACTAGTTCGGTGCGAATACTGAATGGCGGTATATTCGCTACCTCATAAGGCCTGTGCATGACCATCGTGATAATCCACCCCTCACACGCCTTCCATGATCTTCTGCGCTGCTGACCTGTGATCTGCCTTCGGCTTCTGTTCTGGCGGCTGGTACGCGGCCTCGCGCTCGTTGGCCGCTGCTCTACTCGCAGCCAGTTCTGCTGCAGAGGCCGGTTGGAAGGGCTCGAACTGTATAGGCTCGTACGGCTGTGCGCCTGCTTCTCCGCTGTTCGCGTCACTCACTGTGGCAACTGCAGCCTCATCAGACCCAAAATTTCTTGTCCGTGTTGTGACACCGCCCTCGCCATCCTCGTCATCACTACTCGAGTCGCTGCTGATGTCGGGACTGTCGAGGTTCTGTAGCTCAGGGCTCTTGAGCAGCGATCCTGGACTTCGCAGATCTTTCTCAAAGTTTTCGTCCTCGCTCTCTTCGGGGTGGTGTACTTGAGCCAATGGTGATGGCTCGGCAGGCTGTGTATATTGCACGCTCTGGACCTGGAGAGACGCCGTGACCGCGGCAGCCTGCTCGTCGCTCGCAACGAAACTTGCGCGTGGGCTTGGAGCAGGACTTGTGGTGACATCGATGAGAGTGTCGCTCTTCGCCAGCATCTCTTGGTAGCCAGATCTGGAAGGATCGTTTGCGCGTTTGCTGCGTGCCTTGTCCCGCTTCGAGGACGGGCGCACAACGATGACAGGAACTGGGGAGTGCTGCAGGCAGTACTTCGACACACTACCCGGAAGCAGACCTTGGAACCCGCCTAGACTCTTACCCCTAGTACCGACGACTAGTATCGCAGGCTCGTATAGGTTGATCTGGAGAAAGGTTATAGTGCGGTCGACACCGAGACGCTGAAGTAACATACCATGTCATCGATGATCTTATTCACCTTGCCGACCGAGAACTCCAGAATCAGATTGATGGCCTTGTTCTCGTGATTTCGACTTTGTATGTCTTGCATTGTTGCATCCGCCTCCCTCTTGTATCGTCCGGTCTCCACACTGCGGTCGCCTGCGATGGTGTCTTCTTTCTCTACAACTCGGAGGCACACGATCTCGTCGCCGTCGTCCACAAGCTCGTTGATGAGCCATTGAAGCGCATAGGTCGAGTATTCGTTTTCGTCGAAACCACACAAGAATGTCCTGGACCGCTTCGTGTACTCGTAGTCCTTGTGTTTCGCTATCAGGGTAAAAGAGCTCTCTTCTATAAAATCCGCTGGTTTGTCGAACGTGTCGAACGAGACACGGGGTTGGAAGTTCCTGTGGATTCATGTTAGTTCTAGGTTCGACTTGAAACCAGTACGTGGTAGGAAGCTCGCAAGGTGCTGTGGCAATAGTGCAAGACTTCCCAGCGCATTCTCAACCAGCGCACCCACACATCGTCACTTACGGCGGAGGAGGCGGCGAAGACAACCTGCGCCTCTGCTTCGGCTTCGGGCTTCCCCGGGGCAACGACGAATTTCTATGCGCGAGGAACTGAACGGACGAGCGACGCGGCTCTTCCTTGGAAAGCGATCCCGCTCGAGTGGGGAGCAGCAGCGGACTGACGCCCTGGCGCGGCACCGGCGATGCATTGCGCGAGGAGCGGTCCTTGGGGGATGCGCTCATGCTGGCGTGAGGCCGAGTGCAAGATGAGGTCGAGTGCAAGATGAGGTCGAGTGCAAGATGAGGCCGGGTGCAAGATGAGGCCGAGTGCAAGATGAGGCGGGGTGCAAGAGGAGGCGCGGTGGGATGCGCGACGAGACGCGCGAGCGCAAGTATGCCAGGTAGTAATGAGTGCGATTGGTTGTGAGAAAGTGAGTGCGAGACGCTCGTGAGGCAGTACTTGCTCCGGTGGATACGCTGCTTGGCTCGTTGTAGTCGCGCCTTGGTGGTGACGCTGCTACCCTGGCGCACTAGGAGCTCCCGCGGGGTCCATGGGCCGGACAGGGCAGAATTCACGTGAAGATCAAGAATGCCATGTTGGGGAGAAGCGTGAAAGTGTACCATTACGGCAGTTGCGATGCAAGCGTGAATTTATACAATTACGGCAGTTGCAATGCAAATGTCTACGTGTCTACAGCGGGGTCGTGATCATCAAGCAGTCATGTCCTTTTAAGCAAGAGACTTGGATCCCAGGCCAAGACGCTCGTCCTCGGCCTTGAACACGTCCTTGATCTTGCCAGCGTCCTTCTCGTTGGCGAGCTTAGCAGCAAGGGCGGCAAGCTCCGTGTTGTCGATCTTAGCGATGATGGAATCAACGTCGTTGAGAGCGGCATCGACCTGTGAGGCGGGGGCATCGCCGGCGCCGTGGAAGTAGTTGGCATCCTTGACGGCACCACGGACGACACGCTTGTTCTTCTTCGCAGCGTTCTTCGCCGCCTCCTTGGCCTTCTTGCCCTCGGCCTTCTGAGACTTCTCGGCCTCCTCAGCCTCCTTAGCAAGCCTGGCAGCCTCCTCCTTGGCCTTGGCGGCCTCCTCAGCGAGGCGCTTCTGCTCGGCCTCCTTTGCGAAGCGGCGCTTGTTCTTCTCGGCGTGCTCAGCCTGGCGGAAGAGCTTGATGCGCTCGTCGAGGGCGAGGGCGTCGTCGACCAAGTGCCTGAGACGGGCAGTGTCCTCGGTCTTCTTCTTCTTGCGGGCGGCGTTGTTCTTGCGCTCGACGTGGCGCTTCTGGTCGCGGCTCTCACCGTCGTCGGGCACATCCTCGTCGAGGTACTCGAAAGAGCGCCAGCTGTCAAAGTTGTACCAGAAGTTGTAGAAGTTCTCCACGTCCTCCTTGGAGCTCTTCGCGTTTCCGAGCTTGGGCACGGGCTGCTTGGTCGAGAACCGGCCCTCGGCCTCGAAGACTTTGCCCCAGAGCTTGTAGAAGTTGCCCTTCTGGGTGTCCTTCTTGGACGGCGGGTCAACCTCGGCGGCCTCGTCGACCGAGTCGAACTGCCTGCGGCGGACGGGGTCGGACAGGACCTCGTGCGCCTTCTGGATGCACTTGAAGAACTGGTCGTCCTCGGTGCCGCCGGCGGCCGCGCGCTTGTCGGGGTGGTGCTTGAGGACCTTGCGGCGGTGGGCGCGCTTGATCTGCTCGGGGGTGGCCCTCCAGCGGTGGCGGGTTATTCCGAGGATAGCGTAGTGGTCCTGCGACTTCCAGTCCTTGGCCTCGCGCAGCAGCATCTGCGGGTCCTCGGGCTCGTCGACATCGTCGGGGTCGTCCTCCTCGACGCTCTTGACGTTGGCCTGGGCCTGGAGGCGCTCGTCCTCGGAGAAGGTGCGCTTGTGGCGGACCTGGTCACATGATTAGCCGACATGCATGTTGTACGTCTTCTGTGTGCACTGGACCTACACGGCGGGCGTAGGCCAGGAAGTGCGGGCCGACGGGCTCGATCTTGCGGTCGTTGGTCTTGCTGAGGGAGCCGACGGGCTTGAAGTCCTTCTCGCCGGCCCAGCCCTCGGGCAGGACGGGCAGAGGCAGGTTGATCTCGACGTTGGCGCTCATTGCTGCGGTGCGATGCTGTCGGTGCGGTCGGTGCGGTCGGCGGGGATGGAATTTTCAAAGCAAGTCGCTCTCTCTCTCTCTAGCGGCCGCGGCGCGCCTCGCCTGAGCCCTGATCCTTGCTCGCCGACTCCCGCGGTTCGACCATCTCGGGACAACGTGGATGCTCAACCGTGGAACCAGTGACCACGGGCCATGGGATTCTCTTCAAGTTTGTCTTTCTGTCTATTCTTCACGGCGCATACCATACCATCAGCATGTTTCAGGGTCTCCAGGTACGTTCTCCGCCCACATGCCGCTGTTCGCAAGCTGACCCGGGACCACGCAGCGCATCCGCGGTGCCATTGACGCACGCATAGCGGAGGAACAGGCAAAGCAGCGCACCACGCCGTCCGTCCCATCACGTGCAGGCGCCGCCCCGAGACGGTCGAGTTCGCGAAACCTCTCGCCCTCGAAGCGGCTAGCAAAGGGCAAAGATGGGGACAGCAAAGCTGCGCCGCCAACGGGGAGAGGGCCCGATCCCTCAGAGTTCGACCCGGAGTTTGTCGTAGGAGAAGACGACCAGCCGAGCCGCACAGGGACGCCGAAGTCGAAAGAGAAGGCGCCGGCTGCCGAGACTACAGCGCCAGCTGAGGACGGCAGCGACAGGAAGGAGGACACGGAGAAGACGGCCGACGCCGACGACGAGACAGAAAAGGCGCCTGAGGTTCCACCAGAAGTGCAGACTCGGTTGCGCAGACTAGACAAACTCGAGCCCAAATACGCCACACTGCTCTCCTCGTACCGCATTGCGCACGCCCGAGTCGGCGCCATCGAGACCTTCGAAGCCTCTCTGCGCGAGTACACGCCCCTCACGTCCATCAACGACGCCTCGGCTTTCGTCGAGTACCTCGGCCAGCTGAACGTCAAGAGCGACATGCTGATGGAGGAGCTGAAAAGGGTGTCGAGAGAGCGGGACGGCCTCCACAAGAAGCTCGAAGAGTCGGAGAAACGCGCAAAGGAGGCTGCAGACGAGGTCGAGGCTCTCAAGTCGCAGGCTACAGAGGAGGCTGCGACTTTGAAGGACGACTCGACGGAACAGAGCGAGTCGACTGCACCGTCGACTGCATCGAAGGCGTCTGAGCAGACTGCTACCGATGCGACCGAGGAGTTCTTCTCGTATGACAGCGAGCTTCCGCGACTGCAGGAGCAGCTACAAGAAAGCGAGGAGAAGGTCGGGAAACTCGAAGAAGAAAACAAGTCGCTGAAGAGTGAGCTTTCGTCGGCGCAAGACTCGGCCAAGTCGTTCATGGAGAACCTGGAGACCACGACCAACGATCTGAACAACTTTAGAGACACCTCACAGCGTTTCCAGAAAGAAGCTGATGAGCGGGAGAAGAAGCTCGATAGCGCCATCGAAGACCTAAAGTCTAAGCTGGCTGCAGCTGAGCACGATCTGTCGAAGCACCGGGAGGGTCAGGGCGAGCACGAGAAGACGATCACTGAGCTACGACAGAAGCTGGATTCGACCACCAAGGAGCTTGAAGAGCTGCACGAGTCTCGCGGCGAAGATCTAGTCAACAACGAAGAGGCGGACGCCTTGCGCACTCAAGTGAAGAAGCTGGAGGCTGATCTGGAAGACCTAAAGTCCGCACACGCCAAGGGCGAGAAGCGTGGCGAGACGCTGAATGGACTCCTGACGAGCGTGCGAGACAAGTTGAAGGAGACAGAGACCAAACGAGACGAAGCCCTGGCCGAACTTGAGCAGGCCAAGAAGGAGCGGGAGTCAAAAGTTGCTGCACAGAAAGAAGAAGCGAGGACAGAGCCTGCACCACGACCCGCAGCTACACCGGCGGCTGCGCCAGCCTCCGCTAAGCCCACGGAGTCGGCGTCGTCGAAGAAGAAGAACAAGAAGAAGAAGAAGGGTGGCAAGGGCGCAGACACACTGGCCGTCGTGGCTACGGAAGCGACACCCAGCGAAGACGGCACTGCCAGCGTACTGGCGAGCCCGCGCGAGCCAGATTTCTCGCCCGCCCAGCTGGAGGAGGCACAGCAATCCGTCGCACAGCTCAAGTCTGATGTCGAAGCCAAGATTGCAGTCATTGAGCGACTGGAGGGCGAGCTCGCTCAAAAGGTCAACTCGTTTGAGGACCTCAAGAAGAAGCTCAAGGACCAAGACGACATGAAAGAGGAGATTGAGACGCTGCGACAGGACCTGCTCGACTTTGGCTTGGAGCACACCGAAGCCAAGGACAAGGTCAAGGAGCTGCAAGCAGAGAAGACGGCACTGCAAGACAGCCTAGCGAGGCTGGAGAAGGAGATTGCCGACCTGAAGACGGGTCGAGCCGCCCAAGAGAGCTCCGAGAAGGATCGCAAGGCTCTAGCGACCGAGTTTGAAGAGCTGAAGGCCAGGTCAGACTCGTTGCAGACTGACCTGTCTGTCGCGGAGCAGCTCGCGGCAACTCGCTTCAAGGATCTCACAGACATGCGCGAGATCCTGCAAAAGGCGCAGCCTGAGCTGGCATCCTTGCGCAAGGAGGTCGCCGAGCTCCGCTCCACAAAAGAAGAGCTGGCTACCAGCACAAAGGAAATCCGACGCCTGGAGGGCCGCGAAAGGGAGCTGAGGTCCGAGGTGGCAGCCTACCGGGCGCAGCTCGCTGACAGGGAGGGCGATGTCAAGACGCTGAACGAGAAGATCAGGCAGGAGACGAAGCAGCGACTTGCCCTGGAGGAGACCAACAGCAAGATCCAGCGCGATTTGCAGAACTCTGAGAGCGAGCGAAGAGAGGTCACCGACAGCCGCGCCAAGCTGTCCAGCGATCTGGCAAGGGCGCACGAAGACGTGAAAAAGGCTCGCAACAGCGCTCGTGAGCTGGACGAGGAAGTTGCAAAGCTCAAGCGTGAGGCTGGTGGTTTGCGCGACGAGATGCAGCTCAAGACCGCACAATACACTAGCGCGCAGGACCTCATGAACAGCATGCAAGACCAAGCACAGGAGATCAGCACGCAGATGAAAGAGATGCGGGCACGAAGCGAGAGCCTAGAAGAGGAGCTCGCCGACGCCCATCGTCTTCTGAGCGAGCGCGGCCGCGAAGCAGAGACGATGAGGAGGCTGCTAGCGGACGCCCAAGGACGAGCCGACGCTCGCGTGCGCGAGATGCAAGAACGCCTCGACCTCGCCGTCGAAGAGCGAGAGCGCGCCGAGGAGCAAGCAAGCACATTCAGCCGCCGTCGCGCCCGCGAGCTAGAAGAGCTCAAGCAAAAAGTCCGCGACGCCGAGCGCGCTGTCACTCGCGCACAGGAAGACAAGGAAGACATGGCGGGCGCGCAGAAGGAGCTGCGCAGGCACAACGAAGAGCTCGAGAAGCGCGCCGCGCAGGCGACCGACGAAGCCGCGCAGATCAGATCGGCCATGGGCCAGCTCGGCGACACGCTCGACGCGACGGAGAAGCAGGCGCGCGCCCTGGAGCGCGAGAAAGCCGATCTCCGCCGCGCCTTTGACGAGACGCAGGGGCGGCTCGAGAAGCTGCAGAAATCGAGCAAGGCACGTCCACGCAGTCATTTTGAAGGGGGTGTGCACTACATACTAACAACATTGCAGACCATGGCCGACGAGCTCCGGTCCCTGAAGACCCAGCCCAAGCCGGTTGTCGAGTCCAACACGCACTCGTCGCGGGCGTCGATCGACTCGGCGCGCTCGCCTGCTGATGTTGACTATGTGTACCTCAAGAACGTGCTGCTGCAGTTTTTGGAGCAGCGCGACAAAAAGTACCAGCAGCAGCTAATTCCCGTGCTGGGCGTGCTGCTGCATTTTGACAAGTAAGTCTGTGAGGGTTCGGTTGTGGTGTACCGGTGCTAATCGTGGGGGTGTAGGAAGGATGAGCAGAAGTGGATGGCAGCTGTTTCGGCAAGGTGAGGGCTCGAGCGCGTTCAGGGCTAATGAATGGGGGTTGTGGGGAGGTGTGTGTTGACACCAGAGGCGTGGACAGGCGTCGAGGGCTTGTTTGGATAGCTTCTGGACACGGTATGAGTGCGTGGTGTATTGTCAGATGTGTACGAGATAATGCATCGAGTGGTCAAGCATCAACTGTGTACAACAAGCATGACCACGTACAACAAGCACGACCATGCACAACAAGCACAACAAGCACGACCATGCACAACAAGCACGACCATGCACAACAAGCACGACTATGCACAACAAGCACGATTATGCACAACAAGCACGACCATATACAACAAGCACGACCATGTACAACAAGCACGACCATATACAACAACGCATGGAGCCATTGGGCAGCAGCAGCAGCAGCAGCAGCAGCAGCAGCAGCATCGTGGCGACGTTGCATGCCTACTTTGTAAGCCAAAGCAGAAGCGGGCGACGACAACAGGCTTTGGGCATGCTTTGGCTCGGACTGGGCGCTGAGTGCTCCCGGAGCCACGCCGTGGCTGTCGAGGTCGGCGGTGATGGTCTCGGGCGATGACATCAGGGCTGCAAGCCTGGCGCTGCTCGCAGGCGTCGACGCACAACCATTCACACTCTGCCCACCACAAACGACAGAATTTCCCGCCCGTCTGCCCAGCGATTGCCCCATCTCATCTCCCTGCGGCCGCCGCATCTCATCTTCCTGCGACCGCCGCCCACCCAGTGCAAGACTGCCAGTGCAAGACTGCAAGTGCAAGACTGCCGGTGCAAGACTGCAAGTGCAGCACTCCCCCGCCAATCAGCGGCCCAGTGCCAGGATCGTGTTAGGCCCGAGCAACGAGCGCTAAGGCGGGCGTGCAGCAGTCGAAGAAATCGCAGACGGTGCGACAGCAGGCATATCGCGACGGCCACGGCACAGCGACGGCACACACCTGCGTCGCTCTCGAGTCTCGACAGGCTCCTCCGCTCTCCGCTCCCCTCGCCCGCAGCCGATGAGGTGCAGCGCCCGCGCCTGATTGCACACCGCAGGTCCGCACGCCGGCCCGCACGCAGGCCCGCACGCAGTCGCGCGGCGGGGAAGCCCACGATGAATGGCGCCGACATCAAGAAGGCGGCCATCAACAAGGCAAAGGCGGTCGCGCAGGCGGCCAACGGCAACAGCGGCAAGGCGAAGCGGCGGAAGGGCCAGGACCTGAAGCCCATCATCACCACCGAGGGGCAGGGCGCGCAGCACAGGTGAGTTTGCCCGCCACTCTCCCGCGCCGCCTCCAAGACATTCCACCCCCCCTCCTCCCCCGCTAACGCCCCGCAGCACCACGGCGTCGCCGCTGCAGCAGCACAAGATGCACGCCGCCCCCCCCAGCCACTCGCCCGACAGCGACTCGTCGTCGCTCGACGAGGCCGACAACACGGCCGACGAGGAGGACAGCGAGGACTACTGCAAGGGCGGCTACCACCCCGTCCAGGTCGGCGAGCAGTACAAGGAGGGCAAGTACACCATTGTGCGCAAGCTGGGCTGGGGCCACTTCTCCACCGTCTGGCTGTCGCGCGACAACGCCACGGGCAAGCACGTCGCCCTCAAGGTCGTCCGCTCCGCCGCGCACTACACCGAGACGGCGCTCGACGAGATCAAGCTGCTCAACAAGGTCGTCGATGCCAAGGAGCTCCACCCGGGCCGCAAGCACGTCGTTAGCCTGCTCGACTCGTTCAACCACAAGGGCCCCAACGGCGTCCACGTCTGCATGGTGTTCGAGGTGCTCGGCGAGAACCTGCTCGGCCTGATCAAGCGCTGGAACCACCGCGGCATCCCCATGCCCCTCGTCAAGCAAATCACCAAGCAGGTCCTGCTGGGCCTCGACTACCTGCACCGCGAGTGCGGCATCATCCACACCGACCTGAAGCCCGAGAACGTCCTGATCGAGATTGGCGACGTGGAGCAGATTGTCAAGGCCTATGTCAAGGAGGACCCCAAGAAGAAGGACGGGCCCGACGCCAGCGACCGCAACGGCCGTCGCCGGAGGCGCACCCTGATCACCGGCAGCCAGCCGCTGCCCAGCCCGCTGAACGCCAGCTTCAACCACGCAGACCTCGCCAGCTTCCCCGGCAGCGCCCAGAGCCTCAACAAGGTCATGAGCGAGAGCACAGGTAAAGAGTCCCCCACGGCTGTGCCGAGTCCCGCTTCCTCACAAGACGGTTTTGTAATGAGTGGCGCTCTAGGCACTTCGTCGCAGTCCTCCGGCATGTCCATGGCAGAGCGCCTCGGCCTGAAGCCCTCGGCCAGCGAGGACGAGGTGCAGCAGCAGCGCGAGAAGACAGCGTAAGTTTAGAAACCCTTGACACGTCCAGAAGCCCTTTGCACGTCAGAAATCTTTTACACGTCAGAAATCTTTTACGCGTCAGAAATCTTTCACGCGTCCAGAAATCTTTCACACGTCAGAAATCTTTCACGCGTCCAGAAACCTTTCCACGTCCAGAAACCTTTCCACGTCCAGAAATCTTTCCACGTCAGAAATCTTTCCACGTC